TTGCTATTATTTGGTGTTTTTTCTCTCCTTTTTTTAAAAATTATTCTATAGACGAGAGAGCCACAGGTAGGAATAATAAAGGATTATTGTTGTGCGTCGTAAAAACAAAAGACGTGGCTTTGTGTGCGCTTTTCGGCCTGAATATTTCATATAAACACGCGTATGTGTTTTCCAGCAACAAAGACGAACGAGAGCGCCAAGCAGCGAGTTTTGCGACGTGGAAACTGTTTTACCAGTAGCATCACGCGCGCACAAAGAGAAAGCTGCAAAGGGCAAAAAGTGGTGAAATTCGCTCAAATAATGTGCAGACAGTCGAGTGTATCAGACAAGTACTGAATTTCAATTGAATGTAAATCCGTAGCAAATCGACGCCGCAAATCGGGGCAGCACGAGCGCAAGCTTTAAAAAAAAAAATTTAAAATTTTTACTGTAAAAAAGTAAAAAAAAGAACATTATTTCATAAATTTAGAAAACTTATTATTAATTTTTAATATTAAATTTCTTAAAAAAAAGAAGGAAATTTGAATAAAAATTTTTTTCATTTATTTAACAAAATCCGTAGCAAATCGGCGCCGCAAATCGGTGCCGCACCTGCGCGAGCTTTAAAAAAAAAGATTTAAAAATTTTTTCGTAATGTAAGTTAAAAAAAAACTTTATTTCATAAATTTAGAAAAATTATTATTAATTTTGATATTAAATTTCTTATAAAAAAATAAAGAAATTTGAATAAATATTGTTTGAATTAAATTAATTTTTTCAACAAAATCCTTAGCTAAACGGGGCCGCAAATCGGCGCCGCAAATCGGGGCCGCAAATCGGCGCCGTAAATCGGGGCCGCAAATCGGGGCCGCAAATCGGCGCCGCAAATCGGCGCCGCAAATCGGCGCCGCAAATCGGTGCAGCACGAGCTAGCTTTAAAAAATAAGATTTAAAATTTTTTTCTAAAATAAGTTTAAAATTAATTTTAAATTTCTTATAAAAAATAAAGAAATTGAATAAATATTGTTTGAATTAATTTAATTTTTTTAACTAAATCCGTAGCAAATCGGCACCGGAAATCGGTGCCGCACCTGCGCGATCTTAAAAAAAAAAGATTTAAAATTTTTTTCGTAATGGCAGTTTAAAAAAAACTATATTTCATAAATTTAGAAAAATTATTATTAATTTTGATATTAAATTTCTTAAAAAAAATAAAGAAATTTGAATAAATATTGTTTGACATAATTTAATTTTTTCAACAAAATCCTTAGCTAATCGGGGCCGCAAATCGGCGCCGCAAATCGGGGCCGCAAATCGGCGCCGCAAATCGGCGCCGCAAATCGGTGCAGCACGAGCTAGCTTTAAAAAATAAGATTTAAAATTTTTTTCTAAAATAAGTTTAAAATTAATTTTAAATTTCTTATAAAAAATAAAGAAATTGAATAAATATTGTTTGAATTAATTTAATTTTTTTAACAAAATCCGTAGCAAATCGGCACCGCAAATCGGTGCCGCACCTGCGCGATCTTTAAAAAAAAAGATTTAAAATTTTTTTCGCAAAAATTAAGAGGGAAGTTATTACTACAAAGCTTAATTAAGAAACAATCATAATAACTCCCAATTTTGTTATTTTTTTTAGTATCTAACTAAATCAGGCTAATTTTATGTCAAAAGTATGCACCAAATATTAATAAACTCGAATAAACCTTTTTTTTAAGGAAAATGTTGTTTTCAAAGACACTTCCTGATGAGATAAACCATGTGGTAACCAAATGACCAACGAAATTTTCTTTGCTTAAAAACTTATATCTTTTTTATAATCAAACCACATATTCACTTTTTTTTCTGATAAAGTAATTTAAATTATACAAAACTAAAAATATACAACATTGCTAATTTTATTTCGCTTAAATTTTCTGCAATCAAATTAAAACGTGGACACTTTTTATAGCACTCGACGCGAGCAAAAGCAACTCGGGAGTCACAGGTGCGCGTCTCCGCTTTCCACCTCGCTGCTGACTCGAGTGAATTTTCTTCTGCTCTTCAGATTATTTCGTGCTCGCAATGCAAAATAAATTTTTCAGGGCTGGGTTGCAGCAACATTAGTTGCCTTATTTAGAGCAGCAACAACCACTTTGCTGCCCACTTGCATCGCTCGCTGGAACCGCTCGTACCACTTCCCACTTGGCAAAAAAAAAACAACCAGAGAGAATTGCGAATGTATTAAATAATTTAAAATGGCGCGCTTTTGCAAATTAGCAGTTCAGTCGCGATCTCCAGACCGGTTGAAAATTTTCTTCGGATTTATATAATTTAAATCTTGCGGGAAAAAGGCGTTTTGATCTTTTTATGGAGTTGAGCAGGAAATAATGCCAGAATTGGACATTTCAGTGTCATTGATAAAGAGCGTTGGCGGCATCAGAGAGTGACCGCGTAGGAAGCGGAAGTGAGCTCAGAAAAACCCTTTTGTTACACAAAACCCAAAAGAGTCATTTTTAGTTTCATTGCTGGAAAAAGTTGAAGATAAATTTGCACCAAAGGCATTCATCCAGTTTGCAATTAATTTATTTATACAAAAATTATAATAAATAAAATGTTGAAAAAAATTTAATAAAAAGCTAGTTCAAAAGAAATTTAAATTTTAAAATTAGTTAAAACAATTTTTTTAAATGAAATAAAATAAACATTTCAAGATTTTATTAAATAAAAATCAAATATAAAATGAAATTTAAAAAATTATTTAATTATATTTTTTGTATATTAAAGTAAATTGCAAAAATCTAGTCGTGTAGTTTGATGCATTTTGTCTATAATTAAAATTTGAACAAGAGTGTTAATAAAATTTGCAGCTTCTTGATAAACACAACGTCATAATGTAGCAGCTGGACGCCTCGTTTTTTTTCAGTCAGTGCCGTTATATACTGGGCCTTCAAACTTGGAGCTGCTGCGCGAGCAGATAAATAAATTCATCTCAATATTTGCACAAAGCAAAAGTACTGATGTCGACCTCGCAGCGGTGGTGAGGGAATCGCTTGTTGATTTCGTTCTCTTGGTGCGCTGCCAAATTTGCCCGTCTGTCAAGTGCGAACGCGAATAAACACAAACGGTGTAATCCACCGGCTGCTGGACTCCATTCTGTCTGAGAGTGTTTTTGAATGGAATTCCATCCTGATGGACTCGTAATATTGCTATAAATAAGTTATAAGTGATGGAAAACTATATAAATGTGCCGAGGCGACCAGTTGGCCAGTCGATCCGGAACGTGTTGGCTAACGAGGCGAGAATTAATTAATTCGGTCAACCGAAGAGGAGGAGAGAGAATTGTGAAATATGAAATCTTAAGTTATATAATAATGAACTAAATACAAATAAATATAATACAAAAATGAATCAAAAGAAAGGTTGAAATTTGATAAACTAAATAATAATTTTATCCGCACACGATCTTTTAAACGTGATAAAATTGCTCTTTAAATTTGCTCCAAAAGTCCAAATTTTATTTTCAAAATGGATCTTCTACGAGAGATTTTTTTTTCATTTTGATGCATTAACCTAAATTATTTAAATATCTCTTAGATTATTTTAAGCAATCAAAAAATCTAAAAAACAAAAATTACACTTTAATTTTACTTAAAAAAAAACAAAAAAACAATTGTATTCATGGACATTAGATCAGAAATGAAATAAAAAATCCTTAGACCATATTGAAGCATTTGAAGAAAATTACTTTCTATTAGAGACTTTAGATTGTATCCCAAAACGACTGAAGCTTGGATTTTTTTACTTACATTTGCGTCTTCAAAGTCACTTTTTTAGGAAAAATAGACTTATTAATTTCACATGATAATTTGACAAGATATTTTATTGAAAAGCAATAGGAAAGTTTTAGATATATATATTTTTTTTAATGGTAAATTTGTTGCAAAATTATACCAATTTAAATTATTTAATGGAGAGCAATTTTTGCTACTTTTTCACCTGATCTGTTCAAAATGAAATTATATAATTAAATCTTCATTAAAATATAACCGTTTTTTTTAATACAAAGAAAGAAATTGAAAGTGTTTGACTTTCATTCACTTGGAATCAGTCAATTCACCATCCTTTGCATTATATCATTTGCCGATCAATTCCGCCTTGAGTGAGACTGTCACTGGTGCCGCAACCGAACGCCCTTTATTATTCCGAAAGCGTGGAAATGCGATCCAGCGCTGCGGCTGCCTCTCGGTTACGCTGCTTTTTATCAGCCGAGTGAATTATTATTATTGGTATATACGCCACTGCCTATGCATCACACTCGAGCGCCTCTCACGGTGCTGCTCTATTTGTCTGAAATAATCAGCCCGGCGTGTGCAGCCTGATGAAAATATCTCCCGGAGATGAGTAGTCCCGAGGCGGAAACGCCGCGCCGTTTAGCGCGAGCACGTGTTTTTGTCTCGCGGCGAATATAAAAAAAAAAATAATAATCGTCGGCTATATTTACTGATGGTTCTGTTCCGTTGTCTAACGAGGAAAAAGACAGACACACGCTTTTTGCGGCACTCGGAATTGAAAAAACAACACGTCAGAGAGAGATGGAAAGATGCAGATGAGATGGAAATAACTCGCGAAGTGAGAACGGAAAAGGGTTGTTTCAAGCATCGTTTCGTGCTAGTTTAAAAGCTACACTGGGTGGTCCAACAAAATTATTGGAAAAAGTGCTTTGGGTTGATTGGCATTGCTTTCAATTTTTTAAAAAAAGTTAGACATTTTATTAGAATTTTAAAAGCTCATAAAAATTAAACACATGATATATTAATGTTGTAAAGAAAAATAAGGATAAATGTTTTAAAAACGCAGTAAAATGCAAAAATTAAACATTAAAATTTTTGTTTTGAAATAATTTATAATTAAAAAATTAAATTATATATCAAAATGAAGTTTATATTGGAAATTAACATTATTGCTCCACCGATTAGGCCTTGAAAGTTGACAAAATAGATTTTATTCGATATTTCGGTTCTAATTTGGATCTACAAAAGGTTTGGTGGAATGGAGGACCACGAAATCCAGGAGACGGTCGAATCCATCCTGGGAAAGGGCGCCAAGGTCGTGGACTGCGAAAAAAGGTCATGCATTAGGGAGGAAGAGGTGCTGCTGGTCAACGGCTGTCCGGTCAGTCTCGACGGGGACACCGGAATGGCCATAAGGACAGCTCTGCTGCAAGGTATTATTTCTTTCATAAAATTTGAGGAACTCTCCAGTATTGATTGTCACTCTTGAATTTAAAGAACGTTAACTGTGCACAAAGGGTTAAAATTGTTAATTTATTCCCGACAAAATTATTTGAATCCTGGTTTCTATTTCCCTAAATTTGATCAAATAAGCATTTCAATTTATTGTTTCAAACCTTTTATCGCAATTTTGTATTTGTCATTAATTTAATCTTGTTTCATTCTAATTCAAGAATAAAAAAAAAATTGCTTGAAACTTTTTAACACTTTTCAACTTGCTAAAAATAAAGGAAGTAGAACTGCAAAAAAATTTAAGTATATAATTAGTGCCTTTGAAGGTTGAAGGCGAGAGCAATTAAATTATATATTATCTGAAATTGTCTCGTCATTCGCAATTATCCTCTGACGCTGCATGTGTCGCGCTTTGATAAAATTCGAAATTTTTCCTGGAGGTGTGACGCCGCCGTGCGACCTGCTAAATGAATTGCTGGTGCGTGCCGGCATCCTGAAGGCGCCCGTCAAGCTGGAGACCTCGCTCAGCGTCAAGTCCAGCGTGGTCACAAAGGAGAACGTGTCCGTGTCCAAAGATGGACATGTGGTCGACGAGCGCTCGCGCGAAGTCAAAGAAGACAATTTTTACTCAAGGTCTGTGTTTTTCTGCGTAAAAAGTGACGTCGTCTCTATATTTATAAAAGAGATGAAATGAAATCAAAGTTCACTCACTCAGTCTTTGAAACACCAACAAATCATTTATAGAATCTTCATTTTTTACCAATTTATTTATTATATTGAAGAAAATGTGAAAATTTAAAATAATCCTATTCTTTAACATCAATTTAAGGGTTAAATTTGGCTCTTCCAGTTTATTCTATTGAAAATTTTAATATTAAAAAGATATATTATCAACTTTCTTAATACTGAAATAATTTCATATTTGGAACTTCAAAATCGTCAAACAATTTCTCAAGCCAGGGTTTGAAAATTGAAAATCACTTTACAGTACAACAAGTGAAGTTTGGGAGCCGGTTCGAAAAACACCGGTGACCCCGGTCAACACATTGGCCTCCATCCCGGTGCCCAAAGCGGTGCGGGGTGGAGGGGCGGCCAGTTCCAACAGTTCAGGGTGTTGGTCGGCGGCCACAGGCGACGACGTCGAACTCACCAACGGCATCGAGAATCTCTCGTGCGCCTCAACTGTGAGTCTAATTAATGAGAAAAAAAAAGAGAGAAACTTAAAGTGGTGATTTAGATTGTTTTTGTGGCCATTGTGTGTGAATGAGTCTGAATGAGAGAGAGAAAGAATAAAATAAATAATACCTTTGTTTGTTTTTAATAGCAGTGCTCTTTGGCCCACCAAGCAGTCGATTAATAAAGAATGTTTTAATGTTTCAGCCCACTATTTTCGGCACCGTGGCTTCAGATCAAACTCCCAAAGATGGAAGCAGTAGGAGGGTGAGTTAACTTTTTTAAAGAAAAATAAAACAAATACAAACTTTATTATAAATTTTAAAATTCAAACTAAAATTTTTTAACATATTTTATATATTATAAAATATTAAAATAATATTTAATTATTTTTAAAACTTATTCTTATTTTTAAATAATTTGCTTTTAAAATAATTCTTGAATGAAGACCTTAATTAAATCATTGATTTAAGTTAAAAATATAATAAATTTATAATATTAATTTAGAGGAAAATACCACTTCATGTATTTCTTTAAGTACTAAATTAATATTGATAAAATTTTCTGGAGAAAAGTTTTCTATTGTTATATAAAAAGACTTATTTAAAAGTCTTAATTAATATCATCTTTATTGACTATTTTGAGAGTCATTAAATTCCTAGACCTAAATAAGTTTTTAAACAGTCTATTTATTCAAAATTAAACTGTTTTAAAGCACCGCTTAATTTGCAATTTTTTTTTGCCAATTGCAGAGTTTGCCCCAGACTCCTCAGTCAGCCAAAAGCTTTTCCACCCTGATCAACGGCCCCATCGGCGACGCCGCCGCCAGCGAGTCGGGTGGTTCATTGGATTCAGTCCACGATATCCAACCCTCCGATGAGAATGTGAGTTAAAAATAGTGTAATAAAAAGTCGAACCAATTCTATCTCTCGTTTGTGGCAGGCTCTGGTCTACAAAGACGGCAATCTGGTGTCTGGATCGTTGGACGCGCTCTTGCAACACATGGTGCCGACGTCCGAGTACTTTCCGGACAGGGCGTACTTGTTCGCCTTCCTCCTCAGCGCCCGTCTCTTCATCAAACCGCACGAGCTGCTTGGACAAGTCTGTCAAAGGTGCCACATTCACAAACCAGAAAGCATTGTAAGTTTGATTAATTAAATGAAAATATTTATTATTTTTTATGGGTTTTAAAAATTAAAATACAGCACTTCAAAGTATTACTTTTTCGTTTAATTTTTATAAATGAATTTTCTTAAGAAATTTAATTTAATGCTCCAACCAATTTCATTTATAGTTTATATTATTGTTAAATATTTATTAAAATTAATTAAATAACGCAGCTTAATTTTTAATTATATAAAAATTGAAATATTACTAATTAATTGAATTAAATTATTTTCCCATAATTTTGTTCAGACTGCTCCTGCACAGTTTGTGAGACACATCGTCCAGTTGCTGGCAGAGTGGACAGAGACCTTCCCGTACGACTTCAGGGACGAAAGGGTCATGGCCCACGTCCGAGAGTTGACGCAGCAGTGCGTCGCCCTTGAACCCACCGTGCGAAGAGAAGTTTCGCAGCTCCTGCAGAATTTGCTGCACAGGTTGACGGCTTTGGAGCAGTACGAGGAGTTCCTGCAGAGGATCAACTCGGAAACCGCCACACCGAACATTGAATCGCTCAATGTGGTAATTTTTAATAAAAATATGATTTCTCTAAATATTTATCATTTAATTTATCCTCAAAATTGAAGGCTGACATCACCGAGTTGTGTCCCAGTGCGGAAAAATTGGCCCAGCAACTGACGCACATTGAGCTGGAAAGATTGTCTTTCATCGGCCCAGAGGAGTTTGTCCAAGCTTTTGCTAAGGAGAACACCAAACTGGACACCACTTCCTTCAGGGACCTCAAGAAAACTCGGAACCTCGAGTCTTATGTCCAGTGGTTCAACAGGCTCAGCTATTTTGTTGCAACCGAAGTTTGCAAGGTATAAAAATTATTAATAAAAATTTATTAAATAGCGATATAATCTGATTACTGCTGATTAACATTATTCCTTTTAAAATTAATTTAGCATGTGAAGAAGAAGGCAAGAGTGAGAGCTGTGGAGTACTGGGTGGAAGTGGCGCGCGAGTGCTTCAACATTGGCAACTTCAACTCCCTGATGGGAATAATCGCCGGTCTCAACATGTCCCCCGTATCACGGCTTAAGAAAACTGTGAGTTTCAACTGAAGTAAATTTATTTTCAAATACTTATGGACTGACTGTTTTAGTGGGCTAAAGTTTCTTCTGGCAAGTTTGCGATTCTCGAGCACCAGATGGACCCTTCGTCAAACTTTTCCTCATATCGCTCCACCCTGAAGGCGGCAATGTGGCGTTCGGCAGGAGCCACAGATGAGCGCCAAAGAATCGTCATTCCCTTTTTCTCACTGCTGGTCAAAGACTTGTACTTCCTCAATGAGGGCTGTGCCAGCAAGTAAGATGGAAACTTAAATAATTTAATTTGATTTCGATTTTGAAAATTGATCATGAAAGAGAAGTTTAAAATTCAAACTCAATTTAATGTATTTTTACAGGATGCCAGGTGGCAATGTGAATTTTGAGAAGTGTTGGCAGCTGGCCAAGCAGGTGACGGAGTTCATCGCCTGGAAACAGGTGGCCTGTCCTTTCGCCAAAGACTCCAAAGTCACCAATTTCCTTCAAAGCACCACCGTTCTCAGTGACGAGAAAGGTGATATATTATAACTGAAATCGAAATTCTAGTTTCTAATCAAATACCAATCTCAGCTCTTGCCATTGCGTCTTTTGAGTGCGAGCCGCCGGAAAACAGTTTCGAGAAGGAGAGGTACAAGAATCTCAAGTAAGTCCGAATCTCATTCGATTTGGGTTTGATTTGAACGAACGATAAATTGATTCCTCGCAGGGCAGAAATTAATGCCTCCACCTCAAGCACCACCTAATCAAGATCACCAACCCTATCACCGATCGATGTGTACTTAATTACCCGGATCATTAATTGTTTTCGGTAGACATCCATAACCCTGAGTGGTGGTTTCACCATCCGAGAGATGAGAGAATCTTCTTCCTGCAAGACTGACGGTCCAAGCCACAATGTGCACACTTTTACTACCCAGCAGTTAATTAATTTTGTCCTGATTCACGCCATTCAAATACTTTTTTTCGTACGTGTAACAGCAAACTGAATGTTCATTTTTAGTTGATAAGCGTCCCAAATGTTGGGAGTTGAATCTAGTCAAGAATAAGCAGCATTTTGAGAACAACAAAAAAACCGAGTGAATTTTTCCAATTTAATGGTGGAGACGAATGATATTGATTGAAACCTGTGCACCAATTTTATGATAATTCCTGCAGTGACTAATGTTGATTACTTAATTAGAGTTAATTACTCTGGTATCATTAATGCTCTCTAATGTGTAAAGAAAAGAAACATATACAAGCACTTGTATTTATCGTCTCGATATCAACACAAATTGAGCTCCTTTTTGTAGAATATGTACCTGATTTCAATGGGAGAAAATATATAGAGGAACAGCAGCTCTTTTTACTTAAATTTTTTTCACGATTAGGACTTCTGAGCTATTTGAATTTTTAAAATTAATTTTCATCGCTGAGAAGCATAAAAAAGGGAACAATTATTTGTAACTCAAAATTGTACATTAATTAAATCTTGCCAGTCACAAAATTCCATTCCATTTAATGAATTTATGTGATTTAGTGAATTATTTACTAGGCCACTTTGTTAGTTCCAGACAAACGCAGTTTGCAAAAGCAAATTTCACGTAGAAATACTACTTGATTTAATTTAGACTCTTAGTCAACGACAGTGTGTGTACTTACAGGAGAAGATTGATTGAAATGTGGCGAGCAAGAAAGGATTTTGATTGTGGCAAAAATGTGACAGCTCACATAAAATATAACAATGTATCTTGATAATTATAGAACAAAAAGAGATTTGAAAACATATTTTGTCAATGTTCCAAGAAAAAAAAACTACGCTGTATTTCGCTGTTTTCTTTGTGAGCAATGCATACTTATACTGTCTTGTAATGTAGTGAGATAATTTTTTAAAAAATAAAAACTGAAAATTACTCTTAAATTAAAAATTTCTCTTTAGTCTTTTATTATAAATTCCGACGATAACACGACTAAAATTTGGATTCAAATCAAATTCTACTTATTTAAAAAGTATGATTTGAATTTCCCCATCTCTACGTCTGAAATAACTACCTTCAGCAAAAGATATTGAGGGTCCTTGGGGTCAGCTTCGGCCTCACAAACCGCAGTCTCTTTGTAAAGCCACCTTTAAAAGGCAACAATTAAATCTTGAAATGTTTATAAAAAAAATTAAATTACTGAGACTCTGGTCCACCAGACGGAACACGAATGATCATCATTTTTCTCCCAGTAGTTTTCAACACAACAGACTCAATGATCCTTTCTAAAAAGACAAGACCTGAAAAGAATTCAAATAAAAATTTGAAGATTTTTGTCAATTTTAAAATTACCAGTTCTGTTTCTGGCCGATACAGGAAGATCGTCTTTGAATTTGGTCTCGGACTGGGTTTTGTCGCACTTGTTGCTAACCGTAATGACCCGATCAAGAAAATTTGGTGGCAAATTTTTTAGACTTTGTAATGTGCTGAAGACATGTTCTCTTTGTCTCACTAGATCAGGATGACTTCCATCACAAATGTGCAGAACTGCATCCTAATTTAGAAAAAAAACTTGAGTTTTGATTACAGAAAAGGCTTCAAATTATTACAGCATAAGCGACGTGATCTAGAGTTGCGATGAAACATTCTAGTAAAGAGTGAGGCAAGTCGGACATGAAGCCAACAGTGTCAATGTAAAGGACCTTCAGTCGATTTGGCAGAAACCCTTCGTGCATTGTGACGTCCAACGTGGCAAACAGCGAGTTCTTGGGCTCGAGTTTCTTTTCTCCCGTCAAAGCCTTAATTATCGAAGTTTTGCCTAAAATCATTAATTCCTGGTTAAAATGTAAAAACTTGAAAAAAAAAACAAAAAAATAGGAAATTACCAGCATTGGTGTATCCGACAACAGCCACCAAAGGGATTTTCCTCTGCAGTCGATTCTTCTCCAGGGTGTGGTGATAAGTTTGACACTTTCTCATCTCCTCCTTGAGCTTGTTCTCTCTGGTGTGCAGAGTAGTTCGAATTGCGTCTGGACTCATTCCAAAACTCAGTGACACATTAGGTGTCTCGCTCAAAAGCATATTTCTGTGGAAGAAAATTGTAATAAAATATTGATTGAAGAAATAAGATATAATTTAAAATGATAATTAAAAATTAATTATAATAAATTTTTTCTTCTTTAAATTTTAATAGTTTTTGTCCGATTATTTTAAATGATTTATCATGAATTAAAATAATAGAAATACCTAATGTAGGGTAATTCTGCCAAGGCAACTTGTAGTTTCGCATGCTTGGTGATGGCGTTCTCTTTGAAAATTTGAATCACGATCGAGTATCTGTCGTACACTGGAACTCTAAATACTTTCTCAAGTTCACTAGAAGATAAATTTATTAAATTTTATTTAATTGAAATGAATTTGAATACATTTTCTGGTGCATTTTTAAGAATTGGTGGCTGATGAAGACCCCTGTGATTTCCTTGTTTCGGCGGACGAGCTGCTTCAACTCTTCCAACTTTCCCTTTCCGAAGATTTTCCGCTTGTCTATATTCTCCAATGGAACTACTTTCTGGTCCACGACAGACCATCGATGGAGAGTGGAAACGAGGGCTGCTGCCTCTTCAAGTTGCAGGTCTGGAGTTGTGTTTGTCTTTTTCTTAGGGCCCCATTTTACATAAGGCTGGAGCACCAAAAGCTGCTTGCCTTCAGGAGCTCCGGGCAAAAGGCTTTCTATTAAACTGTCATAGCTCTTGTCATCGAAAATGGCACCGTCTTCATCGGCTAACGTGCTGAACTTCATCGGTTTGAACCCTTGACTGATTATAGGACAAATTCTGCAAAATTTAACCATGAAAGATATTTTAATAATAATATTTGAGATTTTTATTTACTTAAAAATTGGCCTAGTGTATTTGTTAAGCATTTTTCGAATCATTCTTCTATTTTACTCTTGCCCTGGTCCTGCTCTGTGAAGTAAGTGTGCTTTTCTTCAACGGCCAGCCAGGCAGCTTGGCAAAGTTTGGTTTTCTCAGAAGTTATATAATAAGCTGCAGCCGAAGCCAAGATCGTCGATGACAAGATTTTGCCACCGGCACCGTACGGAAGTCTTTTCTTGACAATGTTCTGCGGCAGATACACGCAGGCAAAGGCTAGAAGAAAAAAAAACAGAAAAACGGTTTGAATTTTACAAAAGAAGAAAAAACTCGAACATGTTATTAAATTTTTTCCAAATTTATTTTGACAATTCTATATGGCTTTCGAAGCTCAAAAATAATTTATTATTCCTGCAAGAGTTTTCTTTCTGATGATAACTTTTAAGATTATTTTTTTCCATTTTATTCCTTACTCAAAGTGAAAGTGGAAAGACCTGTGAGGAATGCCCTGCTCATGCACTGCAAATACGAGCCAATGCCAGGATGTGTTCCGGAATATCTTTGTTTCAGTTGATCGACATTATTCATGTTGACAGCCTATGTACTTGCTTAAAAGCACCTCACGAACGATACATAATTTCATTTAAAACTCCATCAAAAGCGATGTTATTTGCACGAACTTTAAAAGGGTATTTTTTCAGTGTTTGTTATTGTTTTTTCCTCGCAAGTCGCAGCCGGTCAACACTGTCAACAGTGCTGCCACCTTTCAATTTTCAAAAATTATGGCACTTTCGCGCACTTTCTATTCAAATAGTGTTGTTAAGGTATGATTGGAGAGTCTTGGACAGATGCAGCCAATCAGATTGCGGTGCTTATATAGCTCCCGCTCCCCGCTCCAAGGAAAAATATTGAAAATCAAGTCTTCGGTCGCTTCGGTACCTTTCTCAGATGTCAAAAATTCAAGGTAAATAATATTGTTTAAAATATTTTAAAAAGATTTAAGTCATGTGAAGCAACTAGCAAGCAGTTCTTCAGAAAAGGTTTTGATAAAATTATGTACTATTTTTTTTTATTATATCCACATTGACCACATATTGTTGCAAATAATACGTTGTTAACGCCCAATTTTTAAAAACATTTGGAAATCTTCTTTAAAAATAGTTATTTCGAATTTAATAAAAAAAAAAATGTAGTTGAAAGTTGAAATGATATTATTTCCTTTTAAAAAATAATTAACCAGCTCTTGTTCTTGTTGGAGAATGGAGATGATCGTAGCCCCCTATCGGTGAAAGGACAGAACTACAATTGTTGCCAAACTAATAAAATAACCTCTAAAATGTAAATCAAGTTTTTTTGCTCTGCTTGATGTATATTGCGAATTATTAATGAAAATCTTATTTTCAATTACTTCAAAAAGGAATATTTCGGCATTGTTCAAAGAAATTAGCCTCGAATACGAAAAGTCCACATTAAAAAAAATTGTGATTGAGTTTGCAGCGTTTGTTTTGGCTGATTCGCGACTTAACACATGGTAGACAAACATCAGACGCAAGAACTCGAAGAACTGAAGAGTTTCGACCGACTTCTTCCCCGCTTTTCGACCGTCTGTGATCGCATTTGCACAAATTCCTTTCGCAGTTACATTAAGCTACCCCTTGAGTGAACGAAATCGCAGTAAAATATCCCTTCATTCGAGTCTGCCGAGCGCACCAGTCCAAAATCCCGTTCTCTGTCGCAATTAATTCGCACACCTTTGGCGTTGCCGTGCGATTCCTCCGGAGCCAATTTTGAACCGCGGATTTTCATGGGCTTTGCGATGAGCTCAATTTTTTCTTATGGATTGGTCCATCGACGATATACGAACAAACAATATTATTTTTATATGTTTCGATTTTCAAGGCACCAACCGCATGTTTGAACCCCGAGCCCAACCAACTTTGGGCAGCCAGATTTTAATTAGCTATTCGCTATTCCACCTAATTTCGGATTTCTAGTCTGAAATCAAACTGATTTTCATCAAAAACTGCATTTCCGGGCGGGAAAATGGTTTGCAGTCCGTTTGCCGAACGCTTCCGTGTTCCGAGTGAGAAAACGCAAAGAAGTTGACCTTGACTTTTCTAGACATAAAATGGCAAAACAGGCGAGGCCACGATAGTGAAACGCACCACGTTTGTGTCGTCAAAGTCCCGCGATTGAACTAATTTTAACCAGAATAAATTTATCTTTGATCAGTTCCTTTTTGTCTAATATACAAAAAATGTGTTGCAGGTTTAGATTTTGTCCGAAAATGCCCAGGGGAAAGAAGCGTGCCATCAACACAACCAGAATTCCATCTCCTCCTCCGAAGAGAGGAAGAAGTTCTCAAGTGTAAGTATTTTGAAATTAAAGAAATAACGAGCTTAAATTATTCAGCCAATTTTTAAATAAAAATAATTTTTATTTAAAAAATTACATAACTTCAGAACCTGAATAAGTCTGTTGAAGAAAAAGAAATAAGATTAATTTGCCCAATCTTTATAAATGGTGTGGTGGCCGAAGTGAAACAAAACTCTTCTTGTTGGTAGCACTTGGAGCCAAAAATAGCCCGCCGTCCCCGGTGGCTTGGCTAATTATAAAATTTGTGTTTCAAAAGAGGTTAACTTTTGAAAAACTTTCTTCCTGGGCAACATTTGGACCTGTTCTTGCATGGGGGACGACAGGTCGATTTGACAAAACCTCCGTCATCTGTCGATTCCAATTGGTAAAGTTCTAATAATGTTTCAGCTCTCGCCGCGCAAGTCGAAATGAGCCTGCCTCTGAAGTCTTCAGCCATAGAGTTTGTCTCAAGTGGTTTCAGGAGTACAGTCAAAATGATGATCCGAATATCTTAGGTGAGGCAAGAAAACAAGTAAAAATTAAGAATACGACAAAGTTAATACTAATTCAAGAATGTCTCTACGTAGAAGAAATTTCATAAATCATTTGTCCTTTAATAGTAAAAAATCTTCCAGTAAAATTTGGCTTCCAGTAATACTACTGAATTATGTAGAAATATTTTAATTTATTCAGGAATCATTTTTTTTTTCTTTGAAGGTCCGGAGGGGATGGAAAAATTTTGCAAAGACATCAATGTGAAACCAGAGGATATTGTGATGCTCGTGCTGGCATGGAAAATGAGGGCCAAACAGATGGGCTACTTCACTCAAGAAGAATGGCTCTTAGGAATGACTGAACTAAAGTACTTGGTCCATTATCTATGTCTTCATAATATTCTTAAAACATTTTTGTGTAGCTGTGACTCCATTGGGAAGCTGTGTTACAAGATTGATTTCTTGCGGAATCTCCTGAAAGACAGTAATACTTTCAAAAGTATTTATCGCTACGCCTTTGAATTTGCCAAGGTTGTCCAATTCTAATCACGTGGCAAGTTTTTATTTAATTAATTGTTTGCAGGACAAAGATCAAAGAAGCATGGAAATTGAAACGGCCAAGGCGATGCTGCAGCTGCTCTTGGCTAACCAGTGGAGCCTCTTCCCTCAGTTCCAGCAGTTTCTTGATGAGTCAAAGTACAAAGTTATCAATAAGGATCAGTGGGCCAACATTCTTGAATTCACTCGCTTCATTCACGATGATCTCTCTAATTACGACTTTGATGGAGCTTGTAAGTTTTTAAGAAATAGATCTTAAAATTAAAAAAAAAAAAAATTATATTCCCATGGAAATTTCAATAAAGATTCAAACTATTTAAGTGCATTATTTTCAGAAAAAACTTTATTAGATTTGAAAGTTTTACTGCAGCCACATAATGTATTTTAAGAAATGGTGCAAATTGTCTTAAATAAAGTTTGAATCAATGGAATTTAATGTTGAAATGGAGCACAAATGCTTTTGTGGTCCAGCTATAGGTGGGAGCAAAGCATGCTTGCCCAAATGTTTGTGCGGAATTTAACAGAAAATTAAATTGATGATTTCAGGGCCTGTCCTCCTGGATGAATTTGTGGAGTGGTTGAGCAAAGACAATAATCTACACCAGTCTGAAGTGTGAACCAGTTTCGAGCCGGATAAGATCTTTGAGTACAGAGTTCCTGCAGCAACCATTTTCCCTCAAAATCTATTTTGAGTTTGAAATATTATCAGTATTTATTAAGTTCCAAACCTCCCGCCAAGTCATTTTCTCAAGACAACAGTTCCGTTTAGTACGTCACAAAGAAGGAGACAATCCTTAACGTCTGCAACTCCGACATGATATTTAATCAACTTAGTGTTACACTGTGTTCCCTCAGCGCGGCAGGGACGGCTGGTTTAAATCCACTCAGTGGAGGATGAAGCATGAACAACTTTCCCACAGGAATTTATCTTAATGTGTATAAAAAAAGAGTGAATAAAATTAAGTCATAACTATTTATTAAAAAAATCATTTGCAGTAGCGATCTGCTTTCATTTTGCTCCTCCTGTCCAACATTGTCTCGTGGAAAACACCTTCGTCCTTCGCCTTCACCAGATCAATTTTCTCCCCAGAAAATAACTTGATCTTTTTGTCTTGGAACTTCTGGAACTTTTTCCTGCCAAAGAAATTTTTTGTCAATATATTGAATTCTATTTTTTTTCTGCATCAACTTACACATAATTTAATTCCACTTGAGAAACGTCACCTTCGTCCTCGTTCAATCTTGCTGCTTTAGCGGCTGAGCTTTCCTCAGCGTCGTTCAGTTGAACTCTGATTTTGATAATTTCACTTGGACCGGCAACTTTGCTATTGGCCTCCAATGAATCGTCATCCGTCAATGCCACAAAACAACCGTTCGCACTCAGCAGGGCCAGCTTTCCGTCCTATTTATAAAGTATTACACAATGCTGGAGCTGGGTTTTAATTTCTTGAAAACGTACTTGGAAAATTGGTTCCCACTGCTCCATGGATCCAACAGCATCAGCACGGCCAGTCACTACACCGTTCTTGTCAATGCCAACATACTTTCCATAACCTGATTTCAGGGCAATTTTTGTCTCGCTGACTTTGATGGCGGTCAGCACTTCCTCAGGAGATGGACCATCACCTTTATTTAAATTTAAGGTTAGTAAATTAGGACATTCTTTAAAAGATAAAAATTTCGTATAATACCATCATCGTGTGGAGCTCCCAAAGTGAACAGCCCATTGTCCAATGCTTTCACGTATGCCGAGTTGCCGAATTCAATAGCCACTGAACCGGTCATCTCAATAAATGTGTCGACGGCCTTCCATCCTCCTTTAAGTTTAAAAATTAAATAAAAATTAGTACTGTACGCATTGTAGGAGAGACAAAAACAAACCATGTTTGAGAATGTCCAGTTGTCTCTCTTTGGCTGCTACATCATCGTCCTGAGTCTTATGCTTCCTTTTCTTCTTTTTGCTTCATAAAAAAAATAAATAGAATTCACATTTCAATAAATACAAATTATTTAAATGAAGCAAATAAAGCAAACAGAAATTTAAGTTTTTACGTATTTCACCTTTTTTCTTTTTCTCCCTTCAATTTAAGCTTTCCGGTCTTTGCAAGGGCGTAATCAGCCATAATAGAAAAATGATTCTGTCAAATTTACGCACAATTTACGAAGTCGAACGATTGAAATGATTTAAATTTGTTTAAAAGTTAACAAAAGTTTGTTTTGATCGCCTGTTTGTTTGTTTGTAGTAGCAAATAGCCACGCCCACAATCTTTGTTTGAATAAAAATTGCACGACCTCCAAGTTTTTGCTCCTATTTTTTTGTTTTAAATAAATTTTGAATTCAAAATTACAGGTATATTTATGTCTTGCTGATAATAAAAATTTTAATATAAAAACTAATATATTTCATTGTTTCAAAATTTCTTTTAAATAAAAAGAAGAAAATTTATTTGGAAATAAATTAATAAAGATAGAGTCATCTGGCGGCTGTAATTCAACGCAATGACCTCGGGCGATGCTTGCAGCGCCACCGGTGTCCAGGAGGGAAAACTCTTGAGCCACCTTTCCAAAATGAAAACAATTTGATCGTGCTCAAATCTGGTGCATTTTAGTACATAGTGTGATTTGAACGAGTTGCCCGTAAACAACCAATTTTTGTGCATCCGGACCAGACCGATTGATTTCGCCTCATCACCTGCCGTTCGGGACAGTTGCTCTGCGTGTCGCGAAGGCCTTCAGACACACACTTATCATGGTGAGTTTGTGATTTTGACGTCGACGGGAAAAATTAACGAGAGTGACATTTTTCCCCACGAGTGCAGTAGAATTCCCGAAGGCACGGGATAAAAAAAATGGCCGGGCCGATATTTCGAAATTTGAAAAGATTTCGAAGCTTCCAGTTGTTGCTTGGCCTCGGGGACAAAATAAATTTGAAGGAATCACGTGTGCGAAATGGAAAGTTGGAAAGTGGCGCTGGTTTGAATTTGGCGCGGATTGCGAATCGGCGGATTTGATGGGGTCAAGGACGGCCGCCGATTTCGCTAATTAAATTCTTAAATAATTACACAAATTAAAATAACATCAAACGACTTAAAATTTTCACAAACATTAATAACTATTTCTATGAGTTTAGAAAATACTGAGAAAAAAATTCACAAAATATGTTAGAATTTTTTTATTTTTATTTTAAAGAACTTCAAATAAATTTGTTGAAATTTTAAGTGGATTTTTTGAAATGGAATTATTATCAATTCAGTGCAGCGGAAATTTGCAAAACGAGAATATCAATCAACGATAAATTGGCTTAATCGATTAATGAGGCAGTAAGTAGGCTGGGGAATTTATTATTCGCCATGATTTCACCGATGGTATTTTCTAACAACATCATTTCCGAGCTTGTAAGTGGGAGAGGAGGAGATTTTACTTTTATGTAGTTATGTACCGACTGACGACCGTTTATGTACCGACTACGATAATATTTTATCTTTTACACGCACAAGTGGTATAATATAAAATGTCGAAAAAATAGGCTCTCTCGTATACGAAAACCGGTTCGTTCGGGGGGATAGACAGAGAGATTAGCCTTGTGTATTTATTTTGTGCGTATTAAGTAACAATTTTCCATAATTGTTGGGCGGATTTCGGTCCTCGCGGGTAATTGGCCCGATAAATTTTATATAAATGTTTCTCCCCGCTCCGAAGAGGAATTTTTTCGGGGTTCCTTCGGCTGCTGCGGGGACCAAGACAGAGAGCGACATTGCAGCTCAGCAAAGCGAGGCTATTATCTCAAAAAACATGACGTCATGCATTTGAATCAATATTGACTCGCGAGTTGAAAATTATGGCAGAGCGAGAGAGACACAGCAAGAAAATGCTCTCCTCAAAATTGAATCTCGGATGTCTCTGTGGAGAACAGAAATTGGTGGAGATTATTTTCATTTTTCTTAAAGTGCACGATTTCGTTCGATGGAAACGGGCAGTGCATTTCCTCAAACGTCGCTGCATTCCATTCGGATGCAGTAATGCAACGTGCAGTTGAGGCCATTGACCTTTTGACCTGGTGTTGCAGCACTCCAGAAAGTTACAAATCGCAATTTTTATTTTTTAAACACCTTTTAGCGGCGGTTTTCTTATCACAAAATACAAAAGTATATCTTCACTGCACTGATAGCATTTTAATTAAAAATTATATCTTTGTAAATTTTGATTGGAATTTATTGAAAAGCTGGCAGATTTGTAACTGTAAAAACCGTTTAGAAATTTTTATAAATTTTAATTTTAAGTTCCTTTTTTTATTGGTTTAAAAATCTGGAAATCCTTGGGAAAAAACACATTTTAACTATTTAAAAGCTCAAGGTAAGCAATTGATTGGAATTTATATTAAACTGAATTAGTATGGTCGAATATTCAGATGCAAAAGCATCGTCACTATTTTTAATAGTTGGTGTTTTTTTTTCTTTTGAGCAGCTTTTTAGAATGGCGAAAGTAATAAATTTTATATTTGTAAAGTCGTAGAAAACCGCAAAAAATGAGCAAAAACTTAATTTTTATTATAAAATTTGATATCTAGTTGAGCAAAAATTTAATCTTTTGAATTTCCCTATTTTCTTGGATGTTTTTAACAATTTAATCTCAAGCTTGATCTTGCTGTTTTTAATAAATTTGTCGCTTGATTTTCTTACAATTTTTTTATTGCTCTCATAGTAATATTTAACAATATAATAATTTATACTATAAGTTTTAATTATTATTTTAATAATTAAATTTAATAGTAATAAATAAATTAGCAGAGTTTTCCTTAAAAATAATAAACAATTAAGAATTTCCCAATTTTTTATAGAGTTTTCTTATTATATTAATAAATAATAATTTAAGTTTCATAGACAAAATTCCCAGTTTTCCCACAATTTTAATCTTTTTGATCTTGGAAGTTTCTTCAAAATTATTGCTAGTGGTGCCGTTTAGTGCAAAAATTCCTTTTCTCTCTATCAAATTGTTTTTCTAATTGGATTTTATGATTTAAGCAAACAAAGAGTTATATTATTATTTTTATGAAATGAAAAATATATGAATTGTATGAAATATATTAAAATTGATAAATTTTCAAAATTTGAAATTAAATTTTAATTAACCGAATTTCAAATTATCAACTAATTTTAGTTTCTAAGTCAGATTTTTGTATGATTTAAATTCAACTTTTCCTCGGGTTTTTGTGAGTTTTTTATTGTTTGAGAAAAAAAATAGCAAAAACTGTCGAGGAAAAGCTGAATTTAAATGCTTTTTAATCGAATTCAATTCTTTATTTTAAACTCAAAATTTTTTTGAAATGAGAAATGAAACACATAGATTATTTCCATCAATATTCCATTTATATTTTATGACTTTATTTTGAAACAAAATTCAATAAAAATTGGTAGATGTAAAAATTCAATCTGATTTGGCCTCAGGATCACAAATACTACCCTTGAAATCAACCTCGCTCTCAGATTGTGTCCAAATTTAACCAGGGAAAATTGCTATTCGGATTTCCGAAAACTTCCCAGAAAAAATGCCGCTCGGCTTCAAATTTCACTCAATCTTTTCCTCGTACGAGTTTATTTTCCCAAGACTGTTATCGTGCCCGGAGAAAATAATAATAATGTTGCAGAAACGCGCAACGTGCGAAACGACTTGGCCGTTTGATCTGTGATCCCGAGTGTGCCAGGTGGGCTTTATTATTGCTGCGTATGAACAAAAACTGGATCCTCATTTGCCGGCAATGCAAATGATAGCAGATGGCGTGTCTCATAGACGAATTCGGCCTCTGCTCGCACCTGTCCTATCCACCTTTTTGTGTAAGAATTTATACACGAAGCAACCGACAGACCGAGTGAGCGAACGAGCAGCGACTCCTCTCCCTGCAGCATCACTTTACAGGGATGCAACATTTCCCGCAGCTTGTTTGTCAATAAAATCCCCTCGAAGCAGAGTTCCTCCTCAGCCGCGCTGCTCATCAAAATTTTGATATCAAAACGATATTTGCATCGTGATTCAGCTGTAATTAATGGGCCATTAGAAAGTTACGAGTAAATAAAACGTCTACGACTAATTATATTACGGCAAAAAGAACACTTTCTATAAATATTTCATTCAGCCGCGGAGAGTCTTTCTTTATTTCTTTCACTCGGGATTATACTCCGTTTATCGCGCAGGTCGATCGATTTTTGAGGAAAGAAAAAATATCTAAAGACAATTACACGTTTGCGATCAGCTGGCCTTTAGAAAGCGAGAAAATTTCCTTTTTAATTCAATATATTTCTCCTGATTTGAATTTCTTTACAAATAATAATAACTTCAAAGGAAGGGAAACTTCCAGAATCACGTCATTCTATTGATAGATTTTGATCAGATATTTGCATGAAAGTCATCGTTTCTTTTTTTTTTTAAATAAAATTATTATAATTTTTTTAATTTTTGGAATTTATTATTTGTAATTTCTTCTCCATTAATATTTGGCGTTTTTTTTTTTTATAAAAAAAAGAAATAATTTTTAAACGTTTATATAAACTATTTAAATTAAACAGTTTTCCCCTCAAATGATGAACCCGAATCCAACGAATCAAAGGGTTGTTGCGAATCACAGGGGTGAGATTTCGCCCTCAGTCATTTGTGGCATTATTTGCCGGTGAAACGTGAGCATTTCGCCAAGGCCAGCCCCTGCAGGCTCGGCTGGTGGGGAAAAACAATTCTCTCAGAAGGGGCTGCGCGCGTCAATCAACCATCTGTTGTGTCCGAACCTGAGCGCCTCACCTGAGACTACCTACCCAGTAAAATACCTGACACCGTGCGTGCCACAGAGACCAGAAGGATTTGCTTTGTTTAGTGCAGGTAATTATTTGGCTTTTTCCGATACAAGCAAACAAACCAGGGTTTGCTTAATTTGCTGAAAAGTTTCCTTCACTTGCCAAATCAACACGCTAATTGCGTTACGTCAGCTCCGCCGGGAAATGTACAGTCCCTCGGAGTGATCAATATGCCGTTGCCTTTCAATTGGCCTAAGAGGATTTTCCTCCATCAGCGTTTCTCATTGGTTATCATATTAATATGTCTTTTGTGGCATTTGATTTCCCAGAACATGTATTTCGCATTCAGTTCTCCATTTAATGAAATTCAAAATGTTTTCTTTATTTTTTCTAGCAAAAGAATTTTTTATCACAACAATATCAATTCACTCACGACATGTAAAAAGAATTGAAGAAATTCACAATGAAGGTTCTCGTCTAGTTGTTAAGCCCATTTATTTATTTGCAAAAGTCCAAAAAATTAATTATTCAGATAATTCTGATGGTAAAATTCTTACGAAAAATGGGACCTACTGCATAAGTTAAAATTATTTTATTTAAAAAAATTATCCAAAATTATTGCGAAACCTTTTGGAAAATATAGAACTTTAAATTTAATACATATTTTATATAAAGCGTTTTGTATGTTCGAAATTTTAAAAATACTATCAAAATTAATTATTGCTGTTAAATGCAGTGATAGAATTGTGATGGTAGGATTAGAAGTATATAAAAGATGTGCGCATTTGGTTTAAATGACTCTTGTGCAATTGTGAGTTGGAAATTAACGCATGATGTAGGATTAAATTGCTGCCTTTTATAGAAAAAGAATAAACTTCACGTTCATCCATGCGGAAAGAGCGTAACGTGCTTTAGCTTTTTATATTTGAGCGCTTAATTGTTCATAATGTGTAGCTGTACAAATTGATGCTATTTTCCCTGGTTTAATACAATTTTAGACAGGAGTTTAATCATTTTTTTATGATGAAAGTATAAACTTCAGAACAATAATTATCTTTTTAATCAAATGATTTAATTAATTAATTACACATTTTCTTGAATAATATTAGAATATTAATTTTTTTGGAAGTTTAATAACAAATTAAAAATGGAAAATTGTTAATTATTTACCGCTTTAAATATTTAAAAAAAAAATTATAATGAAAAATAATTTGGATAGCTTGCAAAATCAATCTTATCATGCAAACAGCCAATCATAAAAAAAGGCTAATTAAATTCTCACAATCTTTTTATTCAACGGACTGAACCGTAATTTAAATTGTACCACTTCATGATTTGTATTGACACAATTAAAATTTCACGCATGAACCTTTTGCAGAAATTATGTGATTATTGATGCACAAATTGTAGACGGAGTTAAAAAAAAATGCAGCAACATGGAAAAACGTCAGGGTACATGTTCTAATTTATGTGGAAAATTTTTTGTGCTCAAGCTAGTGCGTGGTAAATGAGAGAAATTAGGGTTAAATTATTAACAAACGAGTAATTTCCCTTTTTTCGTAATCTACGCCTGGAAAAATAACATTCAAATCCAGCCATGAAGAATAATTAATAATAATTATGCGCACTCACTACGGATTCCACTATATAAAGCACACAATTTTGAATGAAAAAAATAACAGAAATTTAAACAATTTGGGAGAAATAATTGTTTGTTTTTTGATGCAGATGATTAATGGTGACCAAAATTCGATTGAATTTTTTCCACTTTTCCACGCCTTAAATTAATAAATTGAATAAAAAAAAATCATTTTCTGATTTAAGCTGCCGTTTCTCAATTCAAACAAAATGAATCAAAAATGTTCTCAGAAATAAATATATTAATTAAAGTTTGGTTGAAATTGACGTTGTGCAAAATTTCACTTCAAAGAAATTTTCGACTCTGTTTAATTGCTTTTGTAATTTTAATGTATACATTCATTTCGTTTCATCTGTGGATTTGAAAATCAAAGGGAGTGCAGCAGTTTTTTGCATCGGTCGGTCACAAGCAAATATTCATCAGCGCCGCTGTGCAGCATGTGGGGTACAAAGTCTGTACATTATGTATATGATGTGTTTTATCGATTTGTCGAGCTCTCTTTTGAAATTCTTCTCAGGCAGCAAATCCAATTTGGCATGTAAAATTCACTGCGACCTTTTTTGTATGGAAATTGAGAGCCTGCGCTCAAATTTATGCGCGCGATTTTCACCGGCACTTGTGCGTTTTCCTCCTCTCGAATTTGCATTTGCGATGTTTCAATTTTTAATCGTAAAACTTTTTCTTGTTGAAATAGAGCAATTTTGTATATACTTTCAATTTGCCTTCCGCAAAGAAAGTTGCGTTATTTTATGCACTACGAAAATCAGACAATAAAAAAAAAATTGTTCGTGATTTCCGAGTATTTTGCGGTCTGGGGATATAATTTCGGGGTTATTTTGAACGAGAAATCGTTTCCTTTTGTTCTGTCGCGCGGAGAGTGCACTCGGAAATATTCAAATTAAAGGCGGAGTTTAAATTGCCCGCAGCACGACATTCTGTACCTTGCTCCAGAGAGCAAATTGCAATTTAGCCAAATTGCTTTCAGCAAAGGGCTGTAATTATCATTAATATTTACAAAATACTAGCGCATGTTTACGACCAGGACTATTTAATAAGCAATTTTTTTTTCATTATATTTGTTGAAAATTAACGAGCTCCCACCTGTTTGCATTGAGAGAGCTAATTTTTCGCTTGTCCAAAGTACGTGTGTATGTAATTTATATTGATTGATCATCAACTTACACGCAAATTTTTTCTACGAAGTAAATTATAATTCAAAGAGCAAATTTCCAGAAATAGCTATTTTTAAACTTATTAATGCGTTTTCGAGGTAATGAACTGTCAAATTTTAAAATTTAATTAGGTGCTTTCTTTATTCTCTCAGTTGATAAAAAGCTGAACAAAATTTTTAAAGCAGCATAATAATATAATTTATAAAATAATTATTAATTATATTAAATTTTATACCATCCAAAGAATAAGAAACAATGACTGCTGAATGTGTCTCTCAAAATTTCACTTCAGTTTATTTACTTTCATTAAAACTTTATTTTAATTTGTTTTATTTATTTCATTTTTTTTTTTTGTTAATCTTTTTTCTGCGAGAATTCAATTAAGTTAGAAACTTCATCTAAACAGTTTTAATCCTGTGTTTTTGGGAAAGCCAAATTTGTGCTTCCAAGTTAATGTCCATGACTTTGCAGAAATTAATAATAAATATAAAATTTCAGGTATAGGAAATCAGCATTTAGGTGATTTTGCACTTTTGCAGCCCAAAAATAAGAATTTGATTGTAGAGATGAACAAAAACCAAATAGGTAGAATAAGGTGATTTGATTTTAAAATTTTAATTAGTTTTAGACTCAAATAGTTGAAAAATAGGAAAGGATTTTTTGTATGTTTCGTTAAAAACTAAATTGTAACTTGAAATTATTTGGGATTTATTAGAATATTTGTTAAAAAAATATAATATGATAAAAATAGATTGATTTCAAAACATTCTCATTTTCTCATCCTTAATTATTAATTTAAATTTGAATTCACCAAAGAACATCAAATTTACTCCTCCTTTCAAATCAAAGCAGCGCTTAATCTTTGACTACCCCGTTGGCACAACAAGTGCACGCAAAGCGCAATTTTATTGCGGGTCTTTCTTTGCTGCGATCGGGGCAGAGCAGGCAGGGTTTTCTGTCGGCGCGGGCCGCGGCGGAATCGCGGTTACTACGGCGCACAGTCCCACCCACCCACCCCCGTGGTGCCCCCTCCATGTCATAGTAGTGCATGCGGCGGCTCGAGGCTCTCCGCGGTTTATTCTGTCCGCTGGCTAGTCGGAAAAAACACGTGTCCGCGCGCGAGTGCGTCTCAGTGTAAACAAACGGGCATTGCGTTTCCCCGCACGAAGGAAAAGCAGCAACAAGTTCCGTGTGTTTCGGCAAAAAACTAATTAGAACGGCCCGATGATGGTACTTCGCTTATGAAAAGCATGGATTATCACTTCAAGGTTTGTTTCACATCGAATGAATTATTTATTCAAAACGACACTTTTTTTTATCAAAAAATCATTAATCTTGATGGTGTTAATAACAGATAATTACTGTAAGTTAAAACTGACCAGTGAGATGGACAGGTTACTTCAACTTAATTGTGTAGATAATTAAAAATGAAAAGCCTCATTCTCAGAAAACTTTTCTAGTGACCTCGAAAACAGTCTTTATCAAATTGTTCTATTTAATTTTTTTTAAATACCTTTCCAAGTAAACAAAAAATATGACGTTTATTCTACTTAAAGCACTTTCTCTAATCATTCCATTTACATAATTTACATCTTTTACTTTTGAAACGAATTAATTGAAAAAATTAAAAACAAGCCTTTCTACAAATCCTTTCACTCTTCAAATATTTTGATTGAGGTGCCTTTAAAACTGGTTTTTGCATCATGTAAAAAAGGGGCCTCAAGGAATCCAACAAGGTTGATTTCTAATCACAAATCAATATTTATGGGCAAAAATCAAAAGAAATTATCGTCTGAATTGAATTATAATAAAAGAGGCAATTTAATGGAACGCTTTGTTTACCGCAGCTTGAAATTTAATTAATTATTAATTAAAACCAAAAGCTTTTTGCTACATTAGAAAGTACACCACCTTGATACAACAAGTTTCTATAACACATCAAAAAAAAAAAATATTTATGTTTGCACAGTTTTGAAGGTTTTGAAATTACGTCTTTTTCAATTTTGTATTAAAAATTGTTCGAGTCAAGTGGAATGCACCGAGATTCAGCACGACCTGACTTTGGGAATTGCTCTCCGGCAAAGGGCCTTGAAGTGGCCGTTCACTCGCAGAGAAAATATAAATCTCGCGGCTCGGCACTTCCTTTCGACCTTTACAACCTCCGCCGACGAGTAAAATTTATATTTATTTTCTCTGCGAGTTTTGGGAAAGGATTGTTGTTGAATATGTTTTGGAGTGAAATGACATCTGCTTTCTCAATCTCGCGTCGCCAAGTGCTGCCATAAAGAAAGATTATTGATTGAAAATGCAGTTCGCGCATGCAAAAAAGGACCCGTTCCTTTTGACACAAATATGCTGCTGAATATATCCTGCTCAAACAACTTGTATTAATTTTATTCGGATAGTGTGGGAAAGTTATAGTGTGTCCTATCGACTGTGTTTATATGCGGGGGGAAGGACACACTGTCCGACCACTTCCCGCAAATGATAACTCGGAAATTGTGATAAAAAAATAATTACAATTATACAGCTGCAAGGCCACGTTATCAGTGGAAAAAACAAAAGCATTATTATTTTCCTAAACTCTTTTTTATCTCAACTTCAAAATTTTAATGACTGATTCACTAAAATATATATATTTAAAAAAAATTACAAAATTAACAACCAATTAAAGGGCATAAAACATTCAGAAAATCATAAGTCCATATTTAAAATACTTTTGTCATAATTCAATCCTCTTTTTATAATATTATTTTCAAATTAAAATGACAGAGTTATTAGCCTGCAAAATATCCTGAGCGGCAGCCATCTTTGCTTAACCGGATATATATGGAAGCTGATTTTCATCCGAACAATAAATTTCTAAAAACGTTTCAATCTGGATTTTCAAAAAATAGCAAAAATCATAAAAATTGAAATGAATAATATTTTCCTTCTTGTTTTTGCAGAACGGAGAAGATATTAGCATTGCGTCTACCTTAGGAAACCTTGATTGCAGCCCCCACATGACTGACCCGGTAAGTCCTTCTCTCTCCCCATCACAAACATTTTGACGGACAGGTCAATTGGCACTTGATCAGACGCTAATTAGACCAATCATTGCAAGAGGGTTTTAATTCTCTTTGCCCGATTTAGAATTTTCGCTCAAAATTTGTGTTGCCAAGGCTGCGCAATTATCATCAATTTTAATTAGAGGCCGAGCACAAACATTTGCATTGTGATAAATATACGTGACGCTCAATTCAAACAGAGCTGTGTGTATAATTGCGTTAAATCTTATAAATTTGGCCGGTGTGTGCCCGCGATAAGAGCCCTAAATGTGTGCGTGTTTATTCATTGTCGCTGTAAATCACTCCGAAGCTTTTCTACGTCTGAGTTTTGACCTCGAAGAAAGAGGCTGAATTTCCAGAATAATTAGCCGTTTCACAAGCATAAAAAAATCAGTCATTTTAATCAAGCAGAAACGCGCAAAACTTTGATGTCAATTTTAAGTTAATTCTAAATTTTGGTCATTTATCAAAAAATCCAATTATTATCAAGGATTTAAAAGAATTTCCTTTTGATTTAAAATGATAATTAAAATCCCCACGTACCTGTTTTTGAAGATTCACGTATTTTATAGAAATTCAAGCTTTTCATCATGAAAGTTCCTAACAATTCAGGATCACGATTTTGCTTGTAATTGGCTTATTCTTAATAGTTTTGATCTATTTGAAATAAATCTCCTTCCAGGGAAGTTCTAGAATTTTTAGAAATTCAAAGATTCCTTTTCTAAAAATACAACAAATTATATTTTTTGAATTGGCCTGCAGAAAATCGTTTTATGTGAAAATTTGGAAATAAATATTTGGCAAATCAATAACTCATCTTTCAAATTACAAATTTAGCAAAGAAATGTAACCTAGAATCGCCTAAAATGAATATTTATTTCCTTCTGGTTTGCATTTTTTATCATTTTCATTCTCTGAAAGTTAATTAATATTTCAATCTAATTGCTCTAATTCAATCAGTTCATTTTTCTCCGACAAAAATTGAATTGAATTATAGAGCAGCTATAAATAAAAGTTTTATCGTTTCCAAAACGATTGTTCCGCATTTGTTTGCAAAAGAGTTATGAAATTTGCATATCCAATCCATAACCATTCCAATATATTTTTATACTCTTGCGTGTTTTTTTGTTGTACTCTGCGTCTATTGACATGCACTCATTTACTTTATGTAATTCCCTCAGTCTTTCTTTCTTTCTCTCTCCCACTGCGCGCGGAGCCCACAATAATAAAGCTAATGGCTGCCATAAAACAATTTTTGAATACACCTGTACCTTTATCTTAATATAACAAACAGTTATAGAGTTTCCCCTCCCTTTCGGCCGGTCTCTGCTGCTGCTGCTGCCTTATCTTCCCCACTTGTTGTGGTGGCCGTGGAAAAATACATCGCTTTTTCATTTTTTTTCTTTTTTTACTCCTCGGGCAGCCTTTTTATTTTTTATTGGCTCGCGTAATGGCTTAACAATGCCTAATGACAACGTGCATAAGCGTTGTTAGCTAATTAACAGTGCAGGAAAAGAACGCTTAAAATTAAAAGGACGGCCAATTTTTTTATTATCATTAATTTATCTCAGAAGAGAAGTTAATTCGCAAATGGAAAACCAATCCCTCTTAAATTTTTGTCTTTTATAAATAAACAGAGTTGCTGGGGATAACAATAACATCAGGGATAACAAAACGCCGAGGCTCGTGTTTCACGTTGTTGCTTTTTTTTCGCAATTTACATGCAGTAAAAGCAAGTTATTACATGCACATGTACACGAGTATAGAAATGGAGCTTTTTAGGGGAATTCAAGCGCAATAAAATTGTGTGTATATAAAATACACGTCGGCTGCTCACTGATGCAGAACTTGGAATTTCAGAGAGGGCACGACGCTTGAATTCGCTGCGAAATGAGAAAAGAACTAACTCGTGCCCCTCTCAATATCGATTTTCGCCGCTCCAAAAAATATTTCAAATCAGTTTTATGTGCGGAAAATCCGCTCTCGTCGAGTTCAAAGCGAAAGCTTTTATTATTATTTGAGAAACATCTCATCTCGCAACGGAAAAGTCGCGATTCTGCGAATTAGCTTTCAACTCAAAATCCAATTACGAGCTTATTTGAGTTTGCGCGCAGATGGATGGAATCGTATTAAGTATTAAATATATACGTCCCGTGTCCTCTCTCTGTTTGTGCCTCGAAAATTGACGTGTTGTGAAAAGCAGGCCATTATTTCTTATCTAGCCTTGGGGAAATTATTTACATATCAGATTTTTAATATCAAGTAATGAAGGACTGATAAAGTTTATAGACCAAATAACCTCTCAAATTATGTAATCAATAAAAAAATTTGTGTTTAGAATTAAAGTAGAAAAACTAAACTTGGTATTCATCTGAATCTGACTGGAGAAATCAAATTTAAATATCAATAATTCAGGATTTTATTGACACTATCAATTTATTATGTTCAGTTTCAAATTTTAAAACATGACATTTTTTGGAAGTGAAGAAAACGGGGATTTTTTCATCTAATAACAAATGGCTCTACCAGTTTTGATCTCGGTCAAAATAAAATTGAATAAAAAGACACTTTAAATCTTAAAATTAACTATAAATTAATTCAAAAATATTAATAAGTTTTTTTTTTTCAATTTTATAGATATTTTATTTTTGTTCTTGCTCATCAGTGGCTCATGAAACAGTTTTGCATACCGTGACCAAAAGTGGTATTTTTTATTGAATAAAAAACAAACTTTCAACGACGACAAAGCCCATTTTCCTCACTTCCATGATCGTCTCCTCCAAATGCCAATTTCTTAGATAAAACTGGACATTTCTTATCGAAAACTAGTACAATGTATTCAAAATTTGCTATCAACTCATTTACGTCACTGTATATTTCAATGCATTTAAATGTGATTTAATTTATATTTTTCAACATTGAAAGTGAATATGAATATAAGAGGTTTGTGCTAGATTAAAAACTTTCTAGTTTTCAACAGTAAATTTTGTTTTTTTTTCTCTCAGTTTTTATCCTTTAATGTTTTTTTTTTATGGAGAAATTTTTAAATTAACGTTATGAGATTTTTACAAAAATTATTTTCTGAACACATCTTTTATTAGCTGTTTAAAAAATAGGTTAGAAAAAACCTGAAAGACATTAAAACAAAAATGCTTGTACTTAAAATTTTTTGGTTTAAGTTGTAAATAATTTTAAGTTTTAGAAGCTGAATTATACAAGACAAATGTTTTGGCTCTTGAAAAATTTTGTCTGATACATGTGATTGTTTGGAATTTTTAAGGTTTCAAAGTTGGAATCTCTTATCTGTCTTTTTTTATCTTTAAATCAATTTTTTTTGCTTAAAAAAAAAATGTTTAATCTTTGGTTATTATGTAAATCTTTCAAAACAAAGGGGAGGTTTTTAATAAATGTCAATTCAAGCTGAAAAATTCATAATATACCACTGCTGGCAAGAATTTCATACCAGAGGCTTTTGTGTTTCTCTGATTCAATTATTATTACCCTTTGAGATCAATTCTAAACATTCCGCAACACATTAACGTCAATCGGATGAAACGCAGCCAGGGGAGCGCAGGAAATTCTGCAGAGACAATTTTCCGCATCTCCTCTTTCTTTCTCTCTCTTGCAGGGAAATAATGAGAAAGTTTTTCGCCGCGCTGCGAGCGTCTCTGTGAGAAATTGCATTTTCATTTCAAATTGTGTGGCGTGCGTCAAAAGCAGAGCTATTTTGCTTTCCCGGCTGAGGGACGCACCTCTCTCGCAGTCCAAGCTCTCTGCTTTCCCTAATCAGTTTGGCGACCTCGTTTTCCGCCGATGGCATTATTCAATCCAATTACGCGACAAAAGCCGGCGTTTTTAGTTCGCCAATCAATACTTGCTTATTTAACTGCAGAACAACACAATAATCGGCCACATAACTCGCCGATTATCTCATTACATTTCTTTTGAAATTTCCCAAAAATCACGTTTTTTTTAAATGACATTTTCATGTCAGAGAAAGCTCAGAAAAAGTTAGTTAAATCCTGTTTTTGATCTATTACTGTAGTCGTTTAATTTTGCATGTAAATTCAAAGGCTTATTCCAACATTCTTTTACTTAAAAATAAAATTATAAAAGAATAATTGGTTTTTAGTAGTTGGTCGGATTAACAGCAAGGCTGGATTAAGAACAACTTTTACTAAAGGCCATTAAAAAATAATTTGTAAAAGTGCTTTCGAGTGCTTTAAAAGGAGCATTATGAAGATTATACAAATTTGATTTCATTTATGCTGATTTTTTTAATCCATTCTAAAGATTTTTGCAACTTACAATTAGTGAATTTTAAACTGACTAAAATTTTTGATTCCCCATTTGTGTTTGTATCATTTTACAAGACATTTTCTCATCAAATAGATAGTTTTGGCTCTTTTGGAAGTTCATTCTTCCATTTACAAAGAAACTTGAATCTTAATAAAAATCCAAAATTTAGACATTTGTATTTGCAAATGCAAAGAAAATTTTGTTTTCGAATGGATTCACAAGATTTAATGCTATAAAATGAGACTGAAACTTCTTTTTCCGAGAAGAAAATAGAATTAATTAAAGAAAAATATTTATTTTCAGGTCATAAATAATATTCAATTTTTGCTGCAAAATCAAGTGCTTTAGATAGAATTAGATGGTTTTTATTATTTTTTTCAAATTTAGACTTGTGATGAGAGCTGAAGTCATAAGATTAGATAAGATAATTGTTTTGCAGCACTTTTGTCTTCCTCTAAATACATTCCCGCATAATTTTAAAAAAAAATGCTCTTTTTTCGACAAATTTTAAAATAAATCTAATTTTTCTTGCTCGAGACTTGCCATACTTTGTAATTGAAATTCAGTGCCAACATTTTATAATTTTAAATTGATTTGGCTGCAGTTTCTTGAATGCAGCGCCAATCTGGTTGTCACGGCGCGTTTGATTTATAATATCATTACAAATCCGTTTTGAAAACGCGGTCGGCATACGCAAATTCCCATTAAGAACGAGCAAGCTGAGTAAATGCTTTAGTGTGTGCATACATAATATTCTATTTGTGTGGAGGACTGTACTCAAAATAAACACTCTCGGTCGGCGCTGCACTGAATGCGAACGAGAGAGCTCTCTTTTTATTTGCATCTCCCTTTTGGAAAAGCTCTCTCTTCACAATATGAAATTTTCTGCGGCCCCCACCCTTTACCGCGGGACCCCCTCGAGCCCCTCTGCTCGCGGTGTGCTTTCGCCAACAATCGATATGCCCCTTGCAAGATACACAAGCATGTATATGTATGCAAAATTCACTCTTTCACCCCCTTCGTTCGTTTTTCCGCCCCGAAAATGGTATGCACATGTATAGCATATCCATCCGTCTCCGTTTGGCAGAGGAGAAACTACACTTTGGCCAAATTTATTGATCCGTCATCTTATTCTCTTTCGCATCGCGATGCCGTTTATGAGAGGAGGCTCTTGTAAAGCAGCAAAATACCCCATTATCCTCTCGGCAACAAGAGGAATTCGCGGCCATTAAAGTGACAATCGAAACGTCGTTGCTTTTAAAATCCGCTGTCACGCTCAGATTTTCGTTTATTCAAATTTCACCACAAATCGACTAATTTTTTCATCCAAAAGAAAAACTGTAATTTCATTTCTCTGTGAGTATTAAAAAAAAAGTGAAAAAACTTATATAAATATAAAATTAAATTTAAATTTAAAATAAAAAAAAAAAAATCAGAAATTTTGAAGTCAAAGGTTTTAATCGAATGAGAAGAGAATAAAATCATACATATTATGTTTTGCCCTTGTCAGGGTTTATAGTGTATGCAAATGATATTTTTAAATTTGTATAGATTGACAAAAACAAACAAGAGGAAAACTAATTCAAAAATAAAATATGATTGATGGTGTCAAAGTTGCTACAAAATCTGTCATTTTTAAATCAATCTTTTCCTAATCAAAGCAAATTTATCAAGTTCAAATGTCAGGTCAATGACCTGAAGTCATCTTTGACCTGTTCAGTTTCCTTAATTTTTTTATGCACAAATTTCAGAAGATAATCAAACTTTTCTATCTGATTGCAGCCCTTTCACACACCCAGCTTTGGAGACGAGGGTTTTGAAATCCACAACATGATTTCCTCAGCGCCGCTCGTCTCCCAGGGGGAGATGACCATGCAAAACTCGTACCAGCCTAGCCAAAACCATCAGGTGAGAACGTCAAACTTTTTGCATTTTGTTCAATTTGCAGCTGAATATTTAAATTACAGGCACATTAAATTGTATCCTTCATTTTGGTAAAAATATTCTAATTAAAATTTTTATAAATCAATCTGCGACAAATTAAAAACTGAAATTAATATCAATGCAATGGTCCAAGTTTAAAGAAATTAATTTTTAACATATCCCAAGACGTTTATTTTTATCTGAAAAATTTCTTCCACACATATTGATCATAATTTAACTATTTTGTCAGAATTTTGTTCTTTTTTCGGTTTTTATTAAAAATTTTAATTGCAACTTGAAATTCATGTATAAAATTACATAAATGTGCCTCGATTGCGCTCACACTGATTATACAAACTCCCACCCAAGTTGATCTATTTTCCGTCGTGATAAGATAGGCCCGCAAGGTTGCCTTTTAATTTCTTCCAAGTGCGCGGCGGCGGCTTATCAAGAGTGTTTTAATCGCACTGACATTCCCGGCAGATTATCTTCATCCGCGCCGGCGAGATGGATATTATTTTCTTTGTGTAGAAAACACGATCGCATCCTGTCGCTCTCTCTCGGTGCGGCTCAATCAATCCTTTGTTAAATTGCGAGTAAGGCGTCCCTCGTTGTCAAGAACGGAAATGAGCCATTGACTTGCCGGCGCTTGATTGCGAATTAGTTTGGCCATTTCCCGATTTCCGCTCGCCGCCGACTGATTGGCCTACCTTCGTTTTCAATTTGTTTGTTTTCGTTTCGCAGATGTCCATGCACACGATGGAGCCCAACAACTACAACAACCAGATTTACATGAGCGAAGAGCCCCAAACCTCTCAGTAAGTATAAAAGTCTGTTTACTTAAGTCACTAGTTAATTATGACAGATTGAAGAATGTTAATTTCGTGTATTTTAGATAAGTTCAAAAATATATATTTTTTAAAGTGAAATTATGTTAGGGGAAAATTATTATTATTGTAATAATTTCTTCTCGTTCCGTCGGAACAAAAATCTAAATTTTTTAATTTTGTTTCATGAACTTTAATTTGAAACACTTTTTCATTGTTTAGCTCATTGTCAGAAAATAAATTGAAACTGGTATTAAATTGTTAATTCATTATAGCAATTTAACAAATATTAAGAAAAAGACATTATTATAAATGTATCAAAGTTATCATCTGTAATCTTTTCGTAACTTCTACACATCATTTAAAATTCATTTTTTAGACCTTAAATTATATTAATTTAATTTAATTGAACTAAGATTTAGTCATTTTTTTTTTACCTTAAATTCAAGCTCCATTCCTGTGGGTTGATCAGGTGCGATTGGAGCTATGAGCAGTCTTTGCAAGTGAGAGTGCAGACTTTGTGCGGGAACTTCGGAGTTGCCGTTACTGAAGTGCTCAAGCAGAGCGTCGTTAGTAAAAATATACTGGTCTTCAGTCTGGAAAAAAGCAAATTATGAATTTTTCCATAAAAGGAGCCCAAGGAGCAATGGCTCTTTCCCGAGGAGCGATGGAGGAAAAAGGGACAAATTTTTAAAAATTTTAGCCGGAAAAAATGGAGCTAAAATTGAAGAAAGATAATTCCTGAGTTTAAAAAAATAAGAATTTAGTATTAAATTATAACTTAAAATCATTTATTTGATTTATTTATTGAATCCTTTAATAATTTAATTTTGGCAAATAATTCCATTCTATGCTTTATAAATTGAATTAGCTAAATATGTAAAATTACTCAAATTCATTAAATTATGAGTTTCCTTACCTCCGTTTGGACCATCACTGTTCTCTGCGTCCTCAAAATTTGCGCATGTGGGAAATTTGGGAACGCCTTGCTCTGGCCAGTCCACAAACTGGAACTGACGAATCGTCCGCGACTGCCCGTCTCTCGAATCAGTTATCTAATTAAATTAATTTTATATTTAAATTTTTTAAGGGAAAGCAAATACTTTGAATTCTCTCAGAATGTACTGGGGCATGTTGTACTCAGCAATTGGGTCCACCACTAAGCAATCGTAGCGCACGGACCGTTCGTTTGGCCAGTAATGGAAACATTTTTCCTAATTTTTTTTGAAAATTAGAAAAATTTATGATGAAACATTTGAATTTCTTGAATGGCTCAACCAAATTTTTTGAAAATTTAGAGCTTGACGTAAAAAGACATGGCGCACGCATCTTTTGACAATCTCAGATCTTTGTTCTGGTTGCATACTTTCAAGGGGCAGAAAAATTTAATTTTTGACCTTTTGCCAGGGTCAATGACCTTTGAATTACGAACTTTGTTACCACTGATTAAAGATACCTTGGTTTATTAGCTTCAAATTCCCGCAGATAAAAGTAAAAAAAATTCACACGTTTTAATTTGACAGCAGTTTTAGTAAACCCTTAAGTATCTCCTGCGGCCATATTGAAATTTGACAAAAATGAAATTTTTTTATTACTTGGGTATTTTTGGAAGAGCGATGGCTCATTCCCCAAGAGCGATGGCTCTTTCCCGAGGAGCGATGGCTCTTTCCCGAGGAGCGATGGCTCTTTCCCGAGGAGCGATGGCTCTTTCCCGAGGAGCGCCGGCTCCTCAGGAGCGCCGTTCTGATCTTCGTTCTGAGTTTCTTAACAGAGAGAATTAAGGTGTTGTTATATGAAAATCGGATCATTTTTCCAATTTTTAGGGCAATTTTCATGAATTAAAAATATTTTAAAATTCAAATTGCCCTGAAAATTGGAAAATAATCCGATTTTGATAAAAATTTATTTTTAGCATCTACTTGATGTGCCCAATCGAATGATGTATTGCACATGCCTTTCCGGAAAAGTTTTGGTTTTCTCAAAAGGGGTCCGAAAAATCAGCGTCGCAATGTACGCAGCGCGGTACTTGTATCCGTCGATGAAACTGGCTTTGATGTAGTCCGAGCCTTCCATGCCCCTGATCGGCTGCAGACACACTCGGGTGGCCTCGTAAGGCAGAATGTGGACGAGCCTGTTTTAGGGCTTGTTGCACATCATGTTTGGCAGTCACAAAACGCGTCCCGTCCGCCAGCTAGGTGTTTAATTTCTAAAAATAAAAAACGAATCAGAAATGAAAACACTTTCACTTAAATAAGTTGTAAATCACAATGAAAAACTATTATGCTAAAAATCATTACCCTCAAAAATAAGATAAAAGAAAAAATTTAATAACTATTGAAACTGTTTTTCCTCATCATTTTTGCCAAAAAATCCAATATAACCATTATTTCCAAGACTATTAGTTAATTCATTATAACCATTTAACAAATATTAAAGTGTATATCAACAACGACCAAATTTTTTTTTAATATCATTAGTTTTGGATAGGATGCATCAAAACTCATCAATAGGGACTAAAATATTTTAAAAATATCACTAATTTTAAAGTTTACAGTCGTCAGAAAAGGTCTCGATTATCGTAATTCAGTCATTCGAAGACAATTTTTTAATTATCAACATTTCGCCAATGGCTCAACCAAATTTTTTGAAAAATTAGAGCTTGACGTAAAAAGACATGGCGCGCGCATCTTTTGACAATCTCAGATCTTTGTTCTGGTTGCATACTTTCAAGGGGCAGAAAAATTTAATTTTAGACTTTTTGCCAGGGTCAATGACCTTTGATTTACAAACTTAGTTACCACTGATAAAAGATACCTTGGTTTATTAGCTTCAACTTCCCGCTGAGAAAAGTAAAAAATATTCACTCGTTTTAATTTGACAGCAGTTTTAGTAAACCCTTAAGTATCTCGGGCGGCCATATTGAAATTTGAAAAATATGAAATTTTTTTATTACTTGGGTATTTTGGAAGAGCGATGGTTCTTTCCCCAGGAGCGATGGCTCTTTCCCCAGGAGCGATGGCTCTTTCCCCAGGAGCAATGGCTCTTTCCCCAGGAGTTATATTAAATAATAATTAATTATTGATCATTAAACTAATATTAAACAAACAAAATATCAAAAAGAGAATAAAAAATTATTTTGATAAAGGGCACTTTTCTTGGTATGGCCTAATATCTTCAATATTTCATATCTTTAAATCAGATAAAATGTTTCATGAAGATTTGCAATATTTTCACCAAGTTACCAGAATGTATCAACCAATAATGCACGTTTTTACACTTTCCAATAACTTTTTTGTATCTTTTAAATTCTTTCAATTTAGAGCCTTTTTTAAATAAATGCGTGCGCAGCACTGCAGATTATTTATCTAAAAGCTCTTCTTTGTTCTCATTTGGTTTTCAGTTAATCCGAAAGTATCTCATTATAGAGTAGAGTTTCTTATTGCAACAAAAGCTTTCATATTTTGTAATGAAAAAGCAGTATAGATAGTAGTTTGAAGCAGTTTGAAGGTTATTATTACAATCAATAAAAGTATTGACCTTGGTTTGCTCTTCAAACACTTAAAAATAATGTTTTCATCGAATATAAGAAACAAATTTCTCCCAACCACCAGAGAAAATCAATTCAAATAATGAAAGTTTCTCAACTTTTAATGCTACAATTTTTTCTCTCATTATTTTGATGGTTATTTACAAAATATCTGCAAAAACTTTTATTTCTTATAATTTTTTTTTATAATTTTTGCAGGGTGTACAGTGTTCCTGCAAACGTGGCCCAGTACAACAACCAAATGTACCAGCCGATGCAGAACCAGCAGCAGCAGCAGCAACAGCAGCAAATGCTGAGCCCAATGGGCCAGCAGACCCTGCTGATGGCACAGCAGCAGCAATCGCCGCAGCAGCAGTACGCGGCCGCGCCCCAGCAGCACCCCCAGCAACAGGGCCAGCCACCCCCGCAGCAGGGCGAGCTGTGCACGAGCGAGGACAGCGACGACAGCATTCCCAACGCCAACAACATGGTCAGTCATTAGCATGTTGAAAAGGAACACTACTTTATGGCAGCTTGTTGTGACAACAAGCGACTGAAAAGCTTTCTCCTAACCTCGATGAGGCAATCGGCTCTCTTTTCGCTAACAGCTTTTTATTGCCGCCTCTTTCTGACCCGTTACCAAATTTATCTTTTTGTATTTTGTCACATTACATCTTATTTATAGGAGAATTAAAACAAAAATGTTAATGAGAAATGTATAAAAATAGAATAGATAGTTTTCTTTTTTCTTTTTTGTCATATTCATCATAACTTTATTCATTAAATTTAATTATTAATATTTATTGTTCACATTTAAGTACCAATTACCAATTCATATAATTTGAACACATTATTAACTTTTTAATAACCTTTGGTAATAATTAAGCTGCAAATTTTGTTTTATTCATTCATTTTGCCTGCGATCTTTAAATTTACTTATTTATGAAAACTATGAAAATTAATTTTTTTTTAATTTCACGTTTCAGTATGCGACGACTGCGCCGAAGAGGCCAAGTCCCGAGCCAATTGACAGTATAGGCAAAAACGCCAAAAAACCAAAGGTGCCGAAGAAGAAGAAGAAACGAGATCCGAACGAGCCACAAAAGTAAGACCTGTTTATGATATCAATTGCAATTTTTTACCTAAGCTCAATTGTTGCGGAAGAAAACCTCCGGATTGTTATTATTTAGTGCGCGCGCAGGCATGCATTTTACAGTCGGTCTCGGCCGGAGGAGTGACCGGTGTGTGTGTTACTTATTAAGAATTTGTGCCGTTAGAGAGAAATTTCTGAAAAAGTAGCCGCGTCAGCGTTTATGGAGTAAAAGTAATTAATATCATCTCGCGAGCGCGCATGATTTCACGGTCATTTGTTTCAATTCCGGTTTTTGTATCCGCTACAACTGGCAGAAACGCGGACTCGATCGACGCTCCCAGCAACATTCACTCCGCCAGCTTGTTGAACAAATGGTTGCAGTTTAATTTGCAATGCAACTTGTCATTCTGTTCAATTGAAACGATTTTCAATTAATTTAAGGGAAAATTACATGAAGGTTCAGGTAGATTTGAAAGAAGAAGAAAATAAATTAGTAATTGAAGAAAGCTCCGATATTAAAATATTTTGCTTTTGGTGAAGCAAGAAAGTGCAAAATTAAATTGAATTTATTACTTGATGAGTAGATTTTTAAAATCAGGTGGGAAAGAGTTTGTACAGTAAATTTAACAAAAATTATTATTTTTTTTTTAATTTTTGGAAATTATTCTTCCTAAATTCAAGGACGGTACGAATCTGTAAAAGCATCATTAATTCAGAATAAATAAAAAATCATCAATTTATTTTGGTACACATTTATTTTCATTTGGCAACGTTTTTTAATGTATTATTTATTGTTTTTATTTTTATTTAATAATTTATTTCTTTTTTTATAATTTTTTTTATTATTTTTTCTTTTTTAAATAATTCATTCTCAGACACTCCAGTTTGAGCATGTAAATCATAAATGATTTAAAAATAATTAAATTGTTCCAATGTTTGAAGACAAAGTAATTAGCAAATTACTTTGAATAAAGATAAAGTGCATAAGTTTCATTTTCAATCATCAGTTTTTTCTCAATTTGTGTCTCAATCGTTGTATTCTGGGTATATTTTGCTCTAATTAACTGAAGAGTTGCTAATTTTGTTAGTCTATGTTACTCTATGGAAACTTTAAAAAATCAAAAAAATTTTATAAATCCTGATAACTGCCTGATGATTCAACCAATTTTCAGAAATAAATATTTTAGGCGGAAGTTGCACCAACAAATGGCTGCCGCTCAGGAAGCATTAGAAATTAACAGTTAGTCAATTTTATTCAGCAGAGAAATAATTTTCTATCCAAAAATACTTTCAAACAACACGCACAGAACTATGTTTTCTGAGATTTTACAGATCCTTGAAAATAAGTAGAAAAATTATTACGTCTGAATTTTGGAAAATCAGGATGAATTAATTTCCTTTGAGAATTTGAACGCAAAACTTTCAATCTCAAACTTTTCGGTAATGAAACTGCGCTTTCAAAGGAAACGATGTCGCATGGTTTGCGCAATCGCTGAAGTGCTTTTGGAATGAGTCGCTTTTCATTTCGATTTTCTAGCAAATTTGAATCTTTTTGAAGGCGTCCCGGGCCGCTTGCAGGGACGAAGCTCGATAATCGACTAGGATAATAAAATGATTCCTCCCGCCCTCCACCCTGCTCCTCCACACATACACACAAACTTCTACTGCTTCTTTTTAAAACTTGAAATGTAATTTATCTTGGAAAAGTTTCTCAAACTCAAATAGAAAGCTTAACAAACTTTTATCCCCTCATTCCGCCCGCTTCTCTTCTCTCCCCCTCCATCCCTCTCTCTCTGCCAAGTTTTCATATAAAACTTCTTCTTGTGCACCACTCGTGCAGCTCCAATGAAATATTTAATCAATTTGCTCCAGATTTCATTTCAATTTAGATATACACACAAAACCCAAGAGCAAAGCAGGTTCCCACCGTCCGACCGGGATGACCTTCCTTTACCTTCAAACTTTAATAATTTTTTTCCTATAATATACCTGTTGTTTGCTGGCGCAGCCTCCCTTCTCCTCTCTTTTGACAGATTCCCCTCCGAAACTGCTGCATTCTCTCTCCCGTTCCATTGTGTGCGCCAGCGAGCTCAATTATTTATTTATTTCGTACACAATGGCCAACCAAATTGTAAACAAAAAACACTATTATCCAGCAGCTTTTGATGAAACATCCCCGATGAAACAAACGTTTTGTCCGAACAGATTGGACAAAAATTATTAAAGCTCAAAAATGAAATTATAATTTTTATTTAATTGATTAATTATTTATGGATTGTTACTTGAGGTTGTTTTTTATAAAATGTTCAAGCAATTTGTTTCCAATGAATCGGTTTGATCGAGACCTTTTTCTTTTGCTGCTCCTTCTATTACTTTTTTTTGCGTACAAAGTTTCCACGACCGTTCATCAAAGTTTTCCTTCTCTTGCTTTTCTCATTCCCTGCAGAGCTATTAATATAAAAAGGAATAAATAAACGAGTTTCCCAGGAATTAATAAAGAAAATCGATTTTGCATTGCTGCGCGCCGTTCGCGAGTTGACCTAAAAATTTTGAGTTGAACGGAGCAAGTTTGTTGCATTTTATCGAACGCCGGGACATAAAGGCTCAAAGAAAGCTGGCGGGGCGCACGATTCAAAGGAAATTAAATTTTCAGTTGATACGAGGGAGGGAGAAAAAGATGAAATGAAACACAAGGCGAAATGCAATAACACAAGAGCTCGCAAATCGGATTTCCATTTTGTATTATTTCGTCCGACCTTCGTTCTCGTACGAGGCTCATTTTTTGTGACGTAATCAAATCTGAAAACTGGCTCGCAAAGATCAATGATGTAAATCATTATTTATAAAAAGCAGTTCTGCTTTCACATCCACCAAGTGGATAACTTTCGACTTTCACGAACAGTACGCCGCGCCAGCGACCGAATATTACACTTCCTTCTCTCTTTTTCCGCCAAAATTGAAAATTAAAAAATTTAATTTTTCGGGAAAAAATAATAATGGCTGTTTATTTCCGCTTGCAAAGTGCGATTTATTATCTCTTGTCCCGCTGTGTTTTGAAATAAAATCGTCATGAAATTCATTGTTATTTTTAAATTTTTTGCAGGCCTGTGTCGGCGTACGCGCTGTTCTTCAGGGACACGCAGGCGGCCATCAAAGGACAGAATCCGAACGCGAGTTTTGGCGAAGTGTCCAAGATCGTCGCCAGTATGTGGGACGCCCTGGACGTGGAGCATAAAAACGTGAGATTTGTGCTTGAAATCGATTTATTTTATTGACATTTTCAAATTTAGGTGTACAAAAAGAAAACGGAGCTGGCGAAAAAGGAGTACCTCAAGGCTTTGGCCGCTTATCGAGCTACTTTGGTTTCAAAGGTATTAATTTAAATTACTTTAGAATCATACTAATCATAGTTTAATATTAAACAAATACTAAAAATTTCAAAAATTTACTTGGGATGAATAAAAAATTAATTATTTTGGCAATTATTGGATAAAATAATCATAATTTTTAGACAATATATATATTAATGCAAGCCTTTTTTAAAAATAAAGCAATACAAAGCAAAAATTATGTGATATGTTCATTTGTAAAATCTAAAAATAACAATTTTTAATAAATATTTGACATAAGGTTCACTTTGAAGAAGCTTAAATAGTTTTGAATTGGTTTAAACAGGAAACTGCATTTTTCATAATTTTTAGTTGTTGATTTTTTTAACCAAAAATTGCAATCCTGATAATAAATTAAAACAGCCTGCAAAAATTCTCACACCAAAATTTATTTTATGAAAATTTATAACTCATGATTGGCTTTTTCATATTAAAGAACATTCATTTGGGATTTTTCTCCATCAACCATTTTTCCTTAATCTTTATAAGTTTCGACAAATTATTAACGAATAATTTCACCTTCTTCAGGAGGGCAACTCTGAGGGCATGGTGCAACCACCACACGCAGCGCCCATGCAGCAGCAGCAGCCGCCGCAGCAGATGCAGCAGCAGCAGCAGATGTACTACAGCCCTCAGCAGCCGCAGTACGCGCAGCAGTACCCTGGGCACCAGTACCAGCAGCAGCAGCAGATGCAGCACGACATGATGGGCCAGGCGCCCCTCACGCCCACCATGGCCCCGGACATGTTCCACCACCCTCAGCAGCAGCAGCAATACGCACACCAGGAGCATCTCCACATCCACGAGCAGCAACGCCATCATCTCGAGCAGAGTCAGATGCCCCCTGACAACCAGGTCAGTTAACAAAAATATTTAAAATTTGCAATAAAAAAATCCCTTGGAACGGTTGAAAATTTGAATTAAACAAAATTCAATCAATTTTAATATTTTCAGAAAGGAAATTTTTTAATTTGTTCAATTAATAGAAACAATCTTTTTTACCTTTTTTCTGAAGATATTTAAAGCTTACGTTTATAAATTTCAGTTAGCTCTTTAATTTTTAAAAGCAAATAATTTTAAAACAAATGCATTGATATGTTGAAAAAACCATTTTGTTTTTTTGCTTGAAAAATTTATTAAAACCTCATGTTAAAGTTAAAAATTTTTGAGTTATTTTTTTATACCTTTGATATAATTCAATTTTTCAGCCATTTAAATGAGCTCAGGCCATTCCCCTGTTGATCAAACAAAAATTTGCTGACTTGATGCTATTTCTCAATTTTGCCAACTCCTTTTATTTAACAAATAAAATTCCCAATCAGCATTTTCTTTTTTCATTTCAAAAGAGTTCATTCACCACTAATCAAACGAATACAAAAATTTATCTTCGGCACTCCCCAGGGCTGGAACACGCAACCTGCGCAGATCTGCATCAGGGCCGGATGCCACAACCGCGCCATCAGCAATGCCGAGTGGCAGGACGAGTACTGTTCCAATGAATGCGTTGTATCACATTGCAGGTACTTTTAACAAAATTATATTAATTTAATTATTGTTTTCTGACACTTTTTATTAATTTTTCCAGGGACGTCTTTTCGTCATGGGTGTCGTCGAATCAGCAAAATCAACAGAACTTCTCCACTGTAAAGTAACACGGTTTAGGGACGCAAAGTATTAACTAAAATAATTCTCTTGTTGAATCTAATTTTTTTGATCGGGATTGCTGCGAATTTTCGCATTTCTCGCGCAGACACACTATACTTGCTCTATCAGTTGTAATTTATATACACCCACACATGCATTCAGTATGATAAAAAAAAGAACACATATACATATATACTTACCGAGGCAGACTGCGCAAGATTTTTCGACTCGTGAAGCCAAACACATATTTATATTTAATGTAAAGCCGTATTATAAAGATGGAAAGTAATCAAATTTGCTCATTATCATAATATTACTCCATATTTAGAAGATCAGTGGTCGGATGGAAACTGCTAGTCAAAATTACCGACTGTGTTGTGAGAAAAAGCAACATTTTGAAAGTAAAAAAAGTAAAACTGTAAAGAAGAGGCTTCATTGGTTAGAGGTTGTGTGTGGACTGCAAAAACTACCTAACTGTATACTTAAAAAAATGATATTTTGCTGGCGCGACTGATGGGAAATGAATTCTTAATTGCAAAAATCAACATATTTTCCACTTGCATATCGCATTTTTGTGTGTGGAAGGTGATCACCCATGATTGTTTGTTTTTCGGTTGGTTCGTTTTGTTATTGAGAAATTTTAACACTCAAAGAAAGCCCCAAAGGAAATCTTTTTTTAATATATACATATGAACTATATATATCATTTGCATGATGTGAATTTTTTAAGAAAAGGCAAATAATTGAAAATATGTTTTAGCAGATAAGCAAATTATAAGAAAATATATTTATTGCAATCGGACGTAGCGCGCGAAATGAGAGAGGAGAATCATCATGTTAATAGTAAAAATATTATCTGTTTCTTTGTGTAGAATTTGTGTACAGGTTAGTTTAAATTATTGCTTAGCCATTTGAAGATATATGAAGGAGCGAGAGAAAGGAGGCGGAAAGGAGAATTCAAATCATTTGTTACGGAAGGATCGCTTTGTCAAGACTAGCGCATGCTAACTTTTATTTCCACCATTTAAACCCTCTGACGTGTACCCTTAAAACAAAGTTGCTCAAAATATCAAACTGCATTGTTGCGAGTCTCGGCAGACCGGGTCCTTCCGCAAAACAGACCGACGGGCTGGAAAAATCACAAATCTGTTTCTCTTTTCACGTGAACGGCGGTGAATCTTTTGGATGATGAATTACATTATAATCAAAAAATAAAAGCAGTTAATTATATCCGTTGACTTTTATTCCATGCACTCTGAATTTAGTACAAAAATATCAAATCCTGCACAGTGTTTTCATTTTATTAAAAACTTGTTCTCGATCACAGCTGCAATCACTCACGTTTTTTCTGCACAATCAGTTATAAGTGCAGGCACATAAATATTATGCTGACCTACTTTCCTACTTTACCTTTTAAAATCAATAACTGGTGAGAACTACGGTTACACTGAACCTGTTATAATATATAATTTTTGGTCTTTTTTTTTACTTAAATTTAGGATTTTCTCATTTCTGTGCGTACCTATATTATTACGCATTTTCCACTTTCCGCAATATTCGTAACTTGTTTTTGTTGAGATCGATCAGAAGAACTGTTTGGTCGGCGAGTCGTCGGACGAGCTGCTGCAGCTGCTCTCGCGCCGCTGCACCACCTCGATGAACCTGGCCAGCATGTGGTCCGTTTCTCTGCAGGGGAAGCCGCGGGAGGTGCTCGGCTCGGGACGCGCCTCCTCCGCCTTCATCTTGGCCAACTTGGCGTTTTGCTCCTGGATTTGCGTCTTCAGCATCTTCAGCTGGTGGCCCATGTCGGTTTTGCTCGGAGGTTTCGGAAGCAACACGGTTTCCTGAGTGAATAAAACAGCATTTTCGAGATTATAAATAAGAAAATTCTGCTTTAAATACGATCAAAAAATGTATTTCAAATGGGGATAATTAAGCCTATGTTCAGAGTTTATATTGGGGAAAAAAATGAAGAAAATTGAGATCAATTTAATTTTCTAGGCCAAAGTTATTTAAAAAAATTATTGTCTAATTTTTTACAAAAATTAATCTTGCATTTCAATTTGTACTCAACTAATTTTTAAATAAAATTCTATTTTTACATGAATTAAATTAAATAAAAATTTTACAAAAATTAATTTAATTTTAAAATTAATTTCACATTACTTTTTTTATTTGAAACCTTCTCTCTCAAATAGGATTTTGTTGCCCAGATTTCAGACCTGTATTTCATCGAGCTGATCGGAGCTGGGGTGTCTGGAGTGGGCAATGGACGCTGAGCCGGACATGGCGTCGCTGGCCGTCGACCTGGACAGGATGGACAAGTCGCCGTCCAGACTGTTGGCGTGGCTGTTGCAGCGACTGGTCATCGAGCCGCACGTCGGGTATTCGTCCACGTTCTCGAAGTGGGCGAAATTATTGTTGTTGGCTGAAGCGGGGGCGAGCTGGTGTACGACCATCGACTCTCGGGACGCCTCCAGGTCTTCGAAGGCCTCCACGGACGCCAGTTTGCACAGCGGCTGCAGCGCCGGGTCGTCTGGGATGCTGTCCAGGGTCGAGCACGGCGAGATGACGTGCTCGGAGAAGTTGGGCTCGGTGCCCATCAGCTCCTGGGTCAGCGAGGGCCGCACCAGCGGCACCCGCTCCACCGCCTCCGCGCCCTGAAGGGCCGAACGGGCGAACAACGAGTCTTGCGAAAAGTTGCCTAAAAATAAAAATAAACTATATTAATAGCAATTAAATAGATTTTTTAATAAAAAAAAATATTTAAAACAATAATGTGACCTGAAAATTCTCCTTTTTTTTAATAAAAATTTTTTTGTTCAACTATTGAAGATTTATTTTAAAAATTTTTAATTTTTATTTCTATTTAGCCTAAAATTATAGAAAATCGCCGCCAATGTTTGATAATTATGTTCTTTTTACGAGCTTCACAATTAATAAAAATTTCAATCTTCAATCGAACTTAGGATATATGAAATAAAAACTTTTAATTAAGCTCCTGGAAAAATAAGTGATTTAAGGTAGGGGAAAATAAATGCTTGCAAACATTCAAGCTAATTTCAAACAAATAAAGGTTTAATCATAAATCACACATTTTCCCCATCCCTGCGTTAAATTTACAATATTTACCAGCCAAAGAAGGCTCCGTCATATATGGAGGTGGCGGCGAATCAGGGATCGGGGTCGTCCCACGATTGCTATAGAAATTAATAGAAATTGAGCCTTCCAAAAACATTTTATAAGAAAATTATTTATTTACCTGCTGGCGTGCATGAGGATGGGAGCAGAACCACCCTGATCGTCAGACCAAGCTGTTGAGGCTCTTCGCACCGGTGGAGACCGCGACCTGGGCAGAGCCACCCTGAGAGCAACGTGATCCACACTGCAACGAAAAATATACATTATTTTGTGTGAAATTATAAAAATTAATTGTCATTTTCCAATATATTCCGCGTTTCTTATTATAAAATTTCTTAATATTATATTTAAAATCTCACAACAACGATTTTTTTATTTTAGATAAATGCATTTTAATTTTTTTTTTTAAATTTATTAATAATATCTTACGTTGATGTTGGAATTCCCGGGGTGGACTTTGCGCGCCTCCTGCCCCTCAACTTGTTCTTGTTCCTGGACCTGCCGCGGCCGTCGTTGCCCCTCGAGGGGCCACTGGGCCCCGCGAGCTCCAAACTACGCCTCGCGACGACTTTGATGATCTCGTCGTATCCCGGAGGCGCCTCGTAAGTTGGCGGCTCGTCCAGCGGCAACTCCGCCTCGATTCCGGCGTTGTCTGCAAATTCAAATTTTTAAATACAACACGAGGAAAGGTGAAAAGGTGACCCAACTTCACAATAAATATGAAAAGCATCGAAATGATTTATGTAATGAAAACATCGAGAATACCCAAGAGCTCACTAATGGTGCGCAGCCGGTTCTGCAGATCTCTTTGCTGTCTGGCCCGGGCGCCCATCCTGTACAGCAAAACGATCAAGGCCACGACCAGAAAGACTAGACCTGGAATTTTGAATTGGCAGAAAAAAATATAATTAATTTCCATTTAATATGTGAAAGTGATTTTTTTTTTAATTTGCATTTAAAAAAAATTAAAATTTAGAGTTTAGGTTCATGAATGTTGAGTTTGTAATTTTTATACCCAAACTGCTGACTAAGAAGACCATGGTGGCCGTCCTGAGGTCAGGGTAGCGTTCCATTTTCGGGAAGTAGTAGTTCGGAGTCACTGTGTACCGCCGTTTGTCGTACTGGATGTGTTCAGTCCAAAATTCTACAAATCGTCGAATTCATCAACAAGAAAAAATATATAAATATAAATTTTTTTTCTTCGCACCTTCCATGCAGGTTGTGGTCGGTTCGTCCGAGTTGTCTCCGCAGTGGTCAAAACCATCGCACGTCAGCCTCGTGGAGATGCACCTGTGATTTTTGCACAGAAAATCGGCCCCAGCAAAGCAATCTAAAGAAAATGCAATTATTAATAAAAAATGGTAGATCTTTTAAAAAAAGGTATTTAAATTGATGTAAAAACCAAATTTATTATATTACATTTTTTTACTCCTATATTATAAATAAATATAATATTTTTCCAAAGCAATATCTCTTTTTGAGTTACAAAATTATTCATTAAAAAGAATTTTTTTAAATGAATTTAAATTTTTTTATAAAAAATTAAGTTTGGTTAACAAATTAAATTAGATTTATAATATCTCAAAATATATATTTTTTTTCTCAATAAAATAGTAATTATTCTCTATTTTATTATTCTTATGTTCTAATCGAGACAATACAAGAAGAAAAAAAAAAGAATATTACTTTTTTACAATTAAAATACTAATTACTTACCCATGTAACTAAAAGCAGCATAGACGATGGAAAGTTTGGACCTGGAGGAGAAAACGCCCCTGAGGGAAATGTAAAATCCGACGTCCACCGGAATAATCATTTCCCGCAAGAGGCGCGACGAGGCCTCCGAAACGGGACTCCTCAGGTTCTCCACCGTCACACCCTCCGAGGTCAATCCCTGTCGCACTACCAAATCGGTATTTCCTCCTAAATTTAGTTACATTAATAAAATAAAAAGTTGAAAATATTGAAAATTAAATATACCAAAATCGGAAAACTGTGAAATTTTCAGATACAGGTGAGATTTGAGGTTGAAGTAATTGCGGGGCGGTTTGATAATCCAAATGCAGTCAAAATATTTCAGGTGGCCTTCCTCGGCCATCTGCATCATTGTGATGGCGCCTCCTGGGTTTTCCACAAATCCGCCGCAATCCGTGTCTGGCAGTGTTAGTTGATTTTTGCTCGCCTCCTCTAAAAATGAAAAGATCTCATTTAAATATGTGGTTTTCTAACAAAATTATCTTTTCCAATTTATAATCTTGGTATAATGTTGATGTATAGTTTATTTTAAGATTTAGCTAAAATATTTTTCCAATTATGAATAAAAAAATGGTAGGAATAATTTTAAGTTTGCTTTAATAATTATCAATAAAATATATATTTTGTTTTATTTCACGTACCACTGGTAAGGAAGGTGTAAGTGGCTTTAAATCCGAGGCCAAAACCTCCATTGGCGTAGAATCTGATTAGAAGAGATGGTCCCGAGGAAATGATGATTGGCGGCCGGAAAGAGGCGCCCGAGGTGACGTCAATCCTTTGCCCGTTCCAATCATAAAACTAAAATAAGTTTTTTTTATTAAGAAACATTTCAATCGTTTCTGAAGTTTACTTCTATGATGCTGGCAGATGAAACTTGGAAGTCGGAGAAAATGACCTGAACGTTTGACTTTTGGTCCATGGAGGTGATGATGAACTCGATGCCTAAGTCACGAGGGTAGTTTGCAGGGAAGTAAGGGGATGAAAGCTCTCCTCCTCTGGTCGCGTTGTATTCCAGCGGATATTTGACCACAGGCGATGGTGACAAACCTAGCACTTGCTTGTTGCCTAGAAAAAAAATTAAAAATGAAGAATTAAAAAAAAAGAAGAAAAAAAAACTGAATTTCTAAAAGACTACAAAAAAATAATACATTTTGCAAGTAAATCATATTTTTTCCTTCTTTGAATTTAAAATTTATTGCACTTTATCTTTCTATTTTGAAAAAGTTTTATTAGTCACAAAAATTTCTTTCTCTTCTCAAGCATAACATTGTCTAGATTTTTGGATAAAGTTTATAAAATTAAAATTTCCATGAAAATTATTTCCAACAAGCATTTATCTCTCTCTTTTAAAATTTTCTTTTTACGAACTTGACTATTTTCCCCCGTCTTTACATTTGATATTTATTGAAAAGGTAAAAACTTACGTTCTGCGCGATATTCAATCTCGAACGCGTCCTTTCGCCTGGAGCTGTAAAGGTAGGCGATGTGCAGGGTCCTGGTGAGCGACCTGTACGCCAGGGTAGAACTACCCTCGGCTACGCTGCTGCTGCCGCAAAAGGGAGCTCCGGAAGACTCGTAAGGCGGCTCCGTCAACCAAACGTAGTCACATCTTGAAAAAAATACAATAATTTTTTACCAAAAAAATTAATAAAATGGCTATTTTTCTCAATAAAAATATTTTATAAAAATAATTGTGGTAATATATCAGTAATAAAAATCAATTGAATTGAAATTTATTTCAAATTTACTTGATTCGGTGAACAATTAAATATGCTAAAAAGTAATAAAATTGTTCTAAAATAAAATTAGTGGTACTGAATTTGTCAATTTTAAACATTATTGCGCATTATTGATTGCTTTTTTCACTAAATTTGGCTTTTTAATATTTTCTTTCCGCATTCTCAAATTGTGAAAAAAATCTTTTTTTGATTTACTTTTGATAATTATTAATTTTTTAAATTAATTTTTTTTATAAACTTACCTGCAACTGGAGTCGGAGCTGCAGGAGGAGAGGTTGAGGTACTTGAAGGTGGCTGTGATGACGCATGCAGGGCAGGTGACGATTTCGAGGCTGCACTGCGAGTGCGAGGCGCGGTTGATCTGCTCAAGAAGTGCCTCGTTGACGAAGCTGGCCTTCAGGGTGCCGCTGTCCCCGAGGTCCAGGTACAGTTTGCGGCCGTTGTGAGAACCGCAGATCTCGTCCGACCGTGGTGGAGCGTACGTGAAACTCGCAACGGTGCTCACAAGACATAGTAAAACTGATCGCATACAAAATTTTGTCAAAAACTTGTCAAAAATGTCAAAAATCTAACTAAAATAAATCTAAAAGTTCTAGATCTTTACACAAGAAAAAAACTGGAATTTCATAAGTTTTGGCAATTAATATTGCTATCGTAAAAAGGTACAATTAATTTAGAGAAAATTAAGTCTAATTTTTTTTAGTTCCTTGATTCTGCAAAAATTTTAGCTATTTTTATTATTGTTTATTTGTATTAATTGCTTCAAATAATATTGCATTAAAAGAAAAACGGTTTATTGAGGGAAACATCAAATTTAAAGCAAAATATTTTGCAAAATAATTTAAAAAAATTTTCCTCATACCATGACTTTGAATGCGTCTTAACCTCTGCGGAACTTTGACCTCAACCTGCTTAAACTATTTATATTTGCACCTAAAAAAGAAGCCTCTCGCTGCGTGTTTGCTGCTCTAGGTATATACAAAATTTTCTGAATCGATAAGAAAATGCGTTGGCAAAGAAACGGCGTGATTCGAATAATCCGTTTAACAAGAGCTCAACTAGGACACGCGCCTATATAATGTCAGCAAGCATGCAATTCATAAATTCATACTCTCACTTTTGCAAGCAGCACAGGTTGCATAATCTATTTTAATAAGGGGCATTTTAAATTTCAGAAAAGTATTCTTTGCAAAAATGTTTCTAAAATTCAATTCCAAACGTCTCAACAATTGTTTTCGATTTGATTTATTCCAAAACAAACAAAAAATGAAATTAAAATTATATTAATTATTTCATTTACAATGTGATATTCACACTCACACACAATGACACATTGCAATTAACTTTTTTGCAACATATAGTTAAAAATTAAAAAACAAATTCAAAAATATAATAAATAAATTTAAAAAAGTAGCAAGGAAAATATTAAATATAAAAAATTAATTTTACTGCAATAACAACATTAAAATTGGAAAACTAGACCATGGAAATTTAATTTATTTTTATTTTTAATAATAAAAAATTTCTCGACAAACCAGTGAAGATGCAGAAGTGGTGAGAAATGCGCGGAGAGTCCATTTCGTGCAGAACCACGCGACAAACTGGCAAAAGCTGCACTGGGAAGCCGCGAAAGTGATTCTCCATATCTTGTTAGTGGACTTTGCGATCGTCCCTAATGAAATTAACGAGTCGTTCGGCGAAGACCCAACTCCGTTCTCAAAAGCTTTTATTCTCATTCGAGCAGCGTGCAAAATCAGCTAGCAGTGCATTTGATTGAGCCATATTATGTTTGTGTCACGTCGCGACACGTAAGATTTGCGTCAAATGACATATAACACGTAACATGACACCATGCAGACAGGACAAAAAACGCTGAAACTCACGAAATAATAATAATAAAATGTATTTCACAACAAATTTGAAAAGTTCAATGATGTTCACTGACCTTATGGGTGAAAAAATGACTTTTCAAATTATATTCACTCGATCTGATAATATTTCCAGCAAAGAGTAGTTTTGTTTAACTTTATTTTTATTTTTTTTATCGCAAACTTGACGAAATATTAATTTTTCTAGAGTTTCAAAGAAATTTAATATTTCATTTCCAAGAAAAAGCCGCCAATGTGTTTGATAAAAATATATTTTTTCACAATAGAGCAATATCACAAATAAATACACAGACTGATGTTAACAATGGTTTTGATCACAAATTTTGGTACTGGCTAATGACCCTTTCCATCTGGCGCATGCTCTTGAATGGACACTTTTTGTACCGCTGTCGGCATTTTTCCGTGCTTTGGTTTTGTTCTCCGAAGCGGGCAGCCGCTCTGAATTCGGCCAGCGCGATTTCGTCCTGCGCCGATTTGGCACTAAACAAAAACAGGAAAATTAATGCATAAATCCTCTGTCAACTGCTTTCTCCACTCGATTCGAAAATAAGTTTACTGTGAATGACAACAGTTGACTTTACCGTAAATGGGTGGGCAGCATCTTGTCGTCGGGCAGCTGCCGCGAGCTTGCCATCTCGCAAAGGTACAACCGGGCGCATTCCTTCTCGTCCAGCTCGAGAGCGCTCGCGATGGACGGCGCCGACCCAAGTCTGCTGATCCGTGTCCACTGGGACACCGACCGTTTGCCCACGGCGGTAGAAATGTGACTAAGTGGACTGCCTGCAAAAGTTTATTTTGGTAAATTGAAAACTTCAAAAATGTTCAACAACTTTTTACTATAAAAAGAAACAAGATTCGCCCGGTTTCAATTTTTCATAAATAGGAAAAAAATTGAAATTATTTCTTGAAATGAAGTTAAAATAAAAAATTCGTAGGTACTTTCATTGTAGAAGATTGTTTTTCAGCCTACAATTTTTGGCAGTAAAAATGTAAAAATCAAATCCTAAATAATATTTAAATAAATATTAAAAATTTAGTTATAAAATTTTTTCAAATAACTGAATTAAAATTAAATTTAACAATTTTTTCCTACCTGAAGCAACAGCCTGATACAGGACAAGTCCTCCGAGTCCAAAAACTGCCAGAATAATGAGTTTAACAATGTGCAGTTGACCTTTGACCACAGTCAAAATGGCCAAAACTTGAAAAATAGACACGACCACCCTATAAACAAACAATTTTAACTCTTCTAATATTTTAAGGGACCTTTTGCGTACTTTGCCAATTTAGACGTCATCCCTCCTCTCGACGAATATAAAATGTTGCTCGCGGAAGAAGCGAAATGCAAATGAAGATGGAAAGTGCGCGAGATTCTATATATACTCCACCACGCGTTGCATTAGAGAATTTCCTTGCTTGCACGCTTTTCATTGAAAAATCCGAATACTTTCTCTGTGCGCCGCCGCCGCCGAGCAAACAATCAAATGAAATCTTGACACTCATGACCATTGAGTCGCGCACTTGTAAGTGTTTGATTTTATTTCAAGTTCACTTCGGGTTTTCACGCAAGAAGAGAAGAGTGAAATTTCGTCTGCAGAGAAGATTTACGTGTCAAATTTATTGTTAATAGAAGAGATTCATGCTGAGATGACTCTAAGAAGTGTAAGAAATACGATTTTATCTCAAAACTTGTTTTAAATTTCTAATGTTTAACCAGATGGCTCATTAGAATAAATCATTAATTTATCATTCATATTGTTAGAGAAATGAAAATAATATATAAAATTAAATAGCTAAATTATTAAAAAATTGAAATTGTTCTTTAAAATTTTAGAATTATACATTTTGAAATTTATCTTGACTCCTCTAATAAAACACCCCGCTTGGAATTGAGGATTTTTTGTTATTCTAGGATTTAGAAAAAGTTGAAAACAACGACGAGCTTTCCGAGCTTTCAACCGAATAAGTAAACGCAAGCATTGCTGGCTCCTTCCGAATGCATGCCCTTTTGCCGCCAATTTCATTCAAAACGAGACCAAGATGGCAGCACCGTTGTCGTGGAGAACAGGAAGGCACAGGAAAGATGGCGAGCTTGTTGTGATTCATCGGAGTCCGTTCTTAGACCGTGACAAATTCGGCTCTCCCACGGCTCATTCGGACCGACGGCGCATCGGAAGCTGGCGAATCGCACCCCCCGTTGACCGCCGAACGCGAAAATGTGCATTCAACCGCGTTTCTGATGCCCGCAGCTGCCCGATAGGCGGTGAGGCGAGTGCCAGCAGATCCGGGACTTGAAAACCACCCCAGCTTTTCGACCCCGCTTTTCGGCCAAAATGCACCAACCGAGGCGGCGCCGAGTGTCGCACAACTTCACCTACGTTAGCGCCTGTGGAAAATACATGATCTTCCTTCTCAACTTTTTATTTTGGGTGAGGAGAAATCGACCTTAGGTTTCTCGGTTAATTACATTCTGTGTCCATGGCAAATTAAACTCACTCGAGCGCAAATCGAGTTTCCTTGAATTTTAGCTATCAGTTCCGAGGTCGTGCTTGCCTAGTTTTCCTCCAATTTTAAATTTTCCTTGTTTAAAAAATTATTCAATTAAACTTTAATAATTTTTGCAGTTGCTCGGAGGCTTGTTGATTGCAATCGGTCTCTACGCCTTTGTGGACAAATGGCAGACCATTGGTTCGGTCAAACTAACCAACATCTACGACGTGTTCCTCAACATATCGCTGGTGCTGATCATCATGGGAGCCATTATCTTCATAATGAGCTTCACCGGATGCATCGGAGCCCTGAGAGAAAACACCTGCCTCCTCAGATTTGTAAGAATTCGCAGAGAATTTTGAATTTTCAATTAATATTGTTGCTCCAGTACTCATTCTTCCTGTTGGTGTTCTTCCTGCTGGAAATGTTCATCGCCGTCGCGGGCTTTGTCTTTCCACACCGCATGCAGTCACTGTTGGACGAGACTTTTACAGACAAAATTATCACCACGTATCGAGAAGACCCTGATCTGCAGAACCTGATCGACTTTGGACAGAAAAAGGTATATATTTTTCAAGCTCAAATAAATTGGTTTTTGTAAAAATTTTTTCTTCCAGTTCCAATGTTGTGGATTGAGCCACAGCGGGTTCATGGACTGGTCGAAAAACGAGTACTTCAACTGCAGTTCGCCCAGTGTTGAGAGCTGCGGTGTGCCATTCTCGTGTTGCATCAATGCCACGGATATATCAGTGAGTTTCCTGTTATCCTCAGTTAAACTTGTGGGTTTTATAAATGCATAATATGTGAGGAAAACACTCAACTGATAACGACAAAAGTTTTACATGAGTAATAACCTTTTGAGAAGAATTGCCTTAATTTTATTCAAAGTTGTAGTTGGGGGTATTTTATTGATGATTTCTATTGTTAAAAATATTGCTAAGAACAGGCTATGAATTTTAAATTTAATAGGAAAATCAACAGACTAAAACCAAGCTATGCTGTTAATTCATGGTGATTTGAATTTAAAATTTGCTTTTCCCTGATTTTTTTTGTGAGTTGTTTTTTGCTTAAGAAAAATCAATGTTTAGGCTGCGGATATTGTTTCTGTCTTAAACAATAAACAACTCAGAAAACCCATCAGGAAAAAGAGGGTTTTAAATTAAAATCACCTCAACCGTGAAATTCTACCACAAAATTATCCTGATGTGTTTGAATTTTAATTTCTCTTTCCTTGGTGGGTTTTTTTGAGTTGATTATTGTTTTGCAGAACAAACAACATTGTGCTCCAATTGGTTGCGGGATTTTTTGACATAACTGTGCAGCAGGATTATTGTTTTATTAGTTTTTACCACAAAACAATGAACAATTTTAAAATGCTAATGAGGAAAAATTAAAATTAAAACAACCCTGAAAGCAAAATTTTTGTGTTAATTTGTCGTTTTAAAATAATTTGACATTTTTTTTTTTTTAAATTTTAGAGTGGGCTGGTTAACATAATGTGTGGTTACGGAGTGCAGAAACACACTGTAAGTATTTCTGATATTTTTTATCCAACTTCATTAATCTTATTTCAATTTGATCCAGCCTGCTGAAGCTGGAAAGAAGATTTACACGACTGGGTGTGTCGAGGAAGTGCGAATATGGCTCGAGAGAAACCTGTACACCATTGCATGTGTGGCGCTGGGCGTCGCTCTTGCTCAAGTAATTCTACCAAAGAAAACTTGTTGAATTAGGAAATAATTTTTACTCTTTTTCAGCTCTTCGTAATTTACCTCTCCAAGACCCTCGAGGGTCAGATAGACCTGCAGAAGTCCCGTTGGAGAACATGAGAGGAAGTTGTGATGGTTCCGTCGTGCTCGTATTATCAGTGGGTTTGATGTGAAAATTTTAAGTGTCGGCGGAATCATGTGTGTTCGGGCGGACTGCTTCTGAATTGGGTTCTTTCAACATAAAGTGAATAGTTGTATATTCGAGAGGAACAACATGTTTCTTCTCCATCGAAGTGATTCATTTTTGGCATTGTATATCAACTCATTTTGCAAAAGGGGCGCCTTCTATTTTGGAATAAAGCACAGAATTGTTTGCACACGTAGGTTAATTAAAATGGAGCGATGCCAAGAAATTTGATGTAGATTTGATATATTATCGAATGGGGTTTGATTAATTTTATTGTGATGTTCTTGGCAGAACTCTTCCGAGAATCTGTGCCCAAACAATTGAACACTCCCTCCATTTCGGTACGAAACTCCACGATGACACACACACACACACAATTTGTCTCGTTCGGGAAGCAGAAATTTTTGTACATTGGTTGAACTGTTCGAGTGCAGTACAAAACCGGGCACATTGCAGGCGTTGTTCCAATGTGATTACTCAGTCGACGTGATATTTGGGAGGACCATTTTCATTCTGTCTGTTTGTCTCATCCACTTTGCGCAAATCGAGAAAGCTTCCTCCTTGTTTCTTTTATATAAGCCCGGCCATTCGCTTCAACTCGACCCAGTGAACATTCCTCGTTTTTTCGAATACAAATAATTTTCTCCATGATAATATGTGATCTGCCCTGCTTTTATGTGGTCTCATTGATTATTTAAGATACTGCTCTGAGATAATTCAATTCATAATATAATTGTATAAAAACTGATCTGACAATGAATCAGAATTAAGATTTTTTACAAGTTGATTATTATCGTAGATGTGCTGTTGCTTAATTTGCATTTTACCTCTCGGGAATTTGAAATTCCTGGATTCGATTTAAAATTCCATGCCTCACTTCCTGTAACCATGTACAGAGATTTATTTAACCTTTTTTATTTTGTTACCGAGTCCAATTCGACTCTTCGGGGTGAAATAATTATGTTTTAGTGTTACAATGATTGTACTGGTAAGTTATAAAACTAATATGTGTCAAATTACTGCTTAAATGTAATAATATTCCATGATGTCTGGATATAAATGCATTATATTTATACTTGATAAGACGTGCTTTAATTGAATAAAAGGAAAAATACGAAGAAATTACACAGCTCGATTTTACTCAAAATGTATTCACCATGGGGGAGGCTGGTAGTATAATTTTTAGAGATGTAACTTTGTTTCTTACATAATTTATTTTTGAAGCCTGAAAGAATGAAGAATTGAGAACCCGCAACATCAAAATTATCATACTTCTACGCAATCCATGCAAACAATGTGCTAAATTTTCATTGAATTTTTTGTTTATTCTTAAAATAAATTTATTGTATAGTTTTCACATGGCGCTTATAGGGTCATATGAAACTTGTAAGGCAATAAATCCCAAAAAATACGTTTATAGGTTTTTCTAATAAAAAATATTTACAATTTGACGCGCAAAAGTTTTATATTATGTAATTTCTATGCACCTATGATTTCAGATAATTTGCTCATTAAATACAATTTTTATTTTTTCGTGTTAGTGGATTTATTTATTTAATTTTATTCAAAACGAAAACAATTTAACCTAAAATGTGTGAATGTGTCAAAATTCTTTGGTGACTCGCGCTCTTTTCACTCAAATTTTGCACACCCTGATTGGTTGGCGAAAATTCAAGCGCTCTGATTGGCCAGGCCAAGTAAGGACGCATTCAGCTGAGAGAAATTCGGCTCTGCCGCACATTTCGTCGTCAACGCGGATATTTCACTCGAGTCCGCTGCATTTACGCAACCGGCGTCGTCGAGAGGCGTCCGAGATGACTTCGATCATGCAACCGTTCGTGGTAAGGCCTCATTAAAGTTCGATTTCGGCTCCGGATGGGCCAAATACTCGGTTGTCGGAGCGATCTGTTGGTCCTCCCACCGCCTGTTGGCCCCTGTGGCGACTCAAATCAAGCCTCTTTTCGACAGGACCCTGACAATGGCAGGCCGTTCATCGAGGAGATCTACTCGTCGGACGAGGCCAAGTGTCTGAACGCCCTAATGTGAGTTTTCCAGCACCAAAGTTCAACTTCTTGACCCGCAACATAATAACTTTTTGCAGATGTTTGAAAAACGCAGTGATCGGCAGCAACCGACAGAAAGGTTTCGTTGTACAACACGGGGTCGTCTCCAGACTGGTCCAGATAGTGTCCTGCGAATCCTCTCCGCAGAGCGTCAGAATCGAGGCAACCATTATTTTGGGCTCGATTGCGAAAGGCGCTGACGAGCATGTTCGCGCTCTCGTCGAGATGAATTTGATTCCTATGCTAGTCAAGGGTAAATTTTTGCGCGCTCAAAAGCAAAAGAAATTAATTTTGTTCTACAGGAATTCTGGAGGATGGAGACGAGGAAAGTGCTCGGTTGGTCGAAGCGTCACTGTGCTGCCTGCGGACCCTGCTGCAAAGCGGCCTTGCCCCCACTGGCACCCTAGCTCAGGACAGTGACTTTGTGCAACACCTGCTCGCCTTGCTGACAGCATCGATTACCTCCCAAATGGCCATAGCTACAATTTTAACCGCAGAATGCAAAGCAAGTCGATGGTCTTTTTTCCAATGGAATTTTCTAATCAAATTTATTGTAGACGCCTGAATGTCAGGACATGCTTTCTACCCACGGAGCAGTTCTCAGTTTGACTGCACTCCTCTGCTCCCCTCATCGTAAAGTTCAAATGCCCGCTCTCTCTTGCCTGGCAAAAATCATCTTTCAAAATCGATGTGTTGCTCTGGCCGCAGCTGCTGCAAGGTTTGTTTTTTTAATTTTTTCCGAGAAGGTTCATTGTTAATTCCGTTAATTCATTAACAAGAACGTTATTTATGTAAGTAAAATGATTTTTCCAAAGTTTGGCTTCATGATATTTTACGTTAAAAGTCATCGTGCTAATTCTCATGTGAAATCAATTTTTTTATAGTTTGAAACATTTTGAAATTCATGAAAAAAATTAATTTTATTGCTAGATATTCATCGATGAAAAAATAACACAAGGACTGGCTAATTTGATTAAATTATTTTACCTGCAAATGAAATTTAATTTAGACTAAAGTTTTAAATTGAGTTTTACTTTTTTTGATTTGTTTTAATAATTTTGAACTAATTGTAATTTCAGTTTTGGGGGCAAAGCCCTGCCTGACCTTCTGACCCTGCTGATGGCCCAAGATAGGCCGACCAGCATGCAACTGGCCTCGGCCCGCTGCTTGACGTACCTGCACAGGGCAGGAGCTTTGAGCGCTGACGACCCCAAAATAATCTTCAGGACTCTGCCCTGTCTAGTTCGGCTGTGCCACAAGGAGCATGACAACGGCATCAGAGCAATTGCTGCCGAGACGCTTGGTTACCTCACAGAAGTGGACACCGGTTTGCAGAGACTGGCGTCCATCTCCAACCACTTGATTCCTACCCTGGCTTCCTACTTCAGGGTGGCTCTCGAAGAAACGCCACCGCTGCAGCAACAACTCAGACAAGCTGCTTTTAGGGTATATTATGAACAAAATTATTGTTTGAATAAATCATATCTTCGATTTGTCTGCAAATTTGGAACAAATATACATATTTAAATTTTCACTTTTCTTGCTTCCAGGCTTTTGCCTCTTTAGGTGCAAATGACGAAGATATAAGGAAGAAAATCATTGAGACTGAAGGTCTTGTAGAACACATAGTCTGTGGCCTTCAGGACACAAGTCCTAGCGTGAGATTAGCAGCGATTCGATGCCTTCATTCTCTCTCAAGATCTGTCCATCAACTGAGAACTACATTTCAAGTAATATGCTTTGCTTTCAGTTTGTTTTATTGTTATTTACTTTTGATTCTGCAGGATCACCTTGTCTGGAAACCGTTGATGAATTTATTAAAACACGCATCTGACGATGACGTGGTTACCGTAGCTTCATCCACCCTTTGCAATTTGCTGCTGGAGTTTTCACCTTCAAAAGAACCCATTCTCGAGTTAGGGGCCATCGATTTACTTTGTGGGTTAACTAGGAGAAAGGAAGCGGCTCTCAGGCTTAATGGAATTTGGGCTCTAATGGTTGGAGAATTATTACCTTTTAAAAAGTTTGGCTGATTTTTTTATTTTTTTATTCAGAACATGGCCTTTCAAGCAGAACAAAAAATTAAATCACAAATTTTGAAAGCGCTGGGAACAGAGCAGATTTTCCGGCTTCTGTCGGATCCTGAGGTGAATGTTTTAATGAAAACTCTAGGCTTGTTGCGGAATCTACTGTCAACAAAACCTCACATCGATCAAATAATGAACCTTCACGGCATTCAAATTATGCAGGTTAATAATTGCCTATAATTTGTTTAAGATTTATATTTTTAATTCCTGAATTTTCAGGCTGTAATTTTGATTCTTGAAGGCAATCACAGTGCTGAGGTAAAAGAACAGGCCCTATGCATTCTCGCAAACATTGCAGATGGAGACTCTGCAAAAGACTTCATTATGACCAACGAAGACGTGCTTAAAAAATTAGCAAGTTACATGGTTGGTTGAATTATTTATGATTTAGCCTTTTACTAGATTTTTCTAATTTTCAGATGCATTCAAATGTGAAACTACAAGTTGCAGCTATTTTTTGTGTTTCAAATTTGGTTTGGAAAGACGAAATCGGTGCGTCAGATCGACAAGCGCGGCTCAAAGAACTTGGTGTTCACAAACTGCTTCAGCAATTGATTAACACCTCTGACACTCTCTTGTTTGACAAGTAATTACAAATCTATGAAGTTTCAACTTTATTCTAATTTGACTGATTTTGCAGAGTAAAAACAGCAATGACTCAGTTTTCTGATTCATGATATTGTGAAGACGAAGAAGATGTGATATGTAACACGCTCGAAGTGCTGATGGCACTTCCGAGCCCACAGTTAACTCCTCACTTGCACTCAAACAACCAGGATGTTGATTTTTTGCAGCAAACGTCTCGTGATGACTAAAATCTATTAATAATTTTCCCGAGTTACTCTTTAAAATCCTTTAAACTTATTTTGAGAAGTCGCAGCCTGAAGCTCAAGCTTTGGCTTTTTGCTTTTAAATAAGTTATAACTGTTGATCTTGCTTTTCAGCTGCATAACTTTTGTTGTCCTTGTTTTCCACTATATACTGGTGTTGTTTTCCGGAGAAATTTGTTATTAGATAATAAACTATATATGAGAGATGAAATGAATAACAGTTTTTCCTTATCAGTTCAGTTATGTTAAAGAAGGAAATTGCATGGAATTTGTGGGTCTTGAATTTTATGACACATTTTGAGGTTTCAAATTTTGGCGCGTTTGCGATCTCGGCAGCGATTGGTGTAGCTTTTTATTTCATCAAAACCATGCCCCTTTCAGCTTGTGCGTTGCACTTGGCAACAGCGCATTATAACAGTCGCAGCCAGTTTCTGCACTTTCGATTTCGCAGTTTGCAGTTGACTGACGCATCAAATCGACGAAAATCGGCAGGGAAAGCACGGGTAGAGTCGATTTCGAGTGCAATTGGCGAGCGCCCCGAAGGCTTCTTTCCATGGTTTTGTAGTGGAAATCATCGGCAAAGCAGCTGCATGGCCGACAAGGCGCCCAATTTCGGCTCGGCCGAGGAGGAGGCCAAGTACTGGAAAGATATGGCCCTGCAATTCCAAAAGGGCATGATCGAGGCCAGGGAAGAACTCGAGGAATTCCAGGTGACGTGCCTTCCGCGTTTGACATTTCGAAATCCAGCTTATTAGCGATTTTTTACATTCCGTACGCCTGAATTGGGAAAAAAATTACTGGAAACCCGTTAAGTGGCAATCAATTCTCAAGGGCTCTTCAAAATCTGGGTGCTGGTTCAAGGCTCAAGGCCGGATTTTTGACGTATCAAAGTCAAATTCGTTTAAAAATAACGCACAATTGGAGAGTTTCCACTTGTTTCTTCAAAGCCCGTTGTACTTTTGAAATTTTATTAAACCTGGGCTAGAAATTTTTAAGCTTAAATAAGTTGTTAATATTAAATCAACAGTGTAGTAGTCATTATTGATTAAATATACAATAATTCACTATCTCCAGTGGGTGAGATGACATCACGTTTTTATATAATTCGCCTGTCAAAACCAAAACTAAAGACTGTTCTTTGTCAAATGCAGGAAAACTCGCGAGACTTGGAGCACGAGCTGGAAGCTCAACTGGAGCAATCGGACGTTCGATACCGCGAGCTGCAAGTGATCTCAACGCGGATTCAGAATGAGAACGAGACGTACAAGGTGCGCAATGATCAGCTGCAGCAACAGTTCCATCACCAGCTCACCAGTCTGGAGAGCGAACTCGAGGACCATCGACGGCGGGCAGAGGAATTCCACAAGTACATCCGAGAACTGGAGCAGAGCAACGACGAGTTCGAGAAGTCGACTCGCATCATGCACGCCACCATCGAGGACCTCGAGTCTAAACTGAATATAGCCATTGAGAGGAATGCGTTTATTGAGTCGGAACTGGACGAGAAGGAGGGCCTCAAAACAATGGTACAATTAAAATATATGTTGAAAATTCTTAAATGTTCTGATTTGTATAAAATTGTTCTAGTAAATAATTTATTTTTGAAAATTTCCAGGTTCAAAGGCTAAAGGATGAGTCCCGTGATCTGCGGCAGGAGATGAAAGTGAGAGAAAGGAGAGAAATGCCTGACGTCGAGAACAAGAAGAACCTGGAACTGAGCAAGTCTCACGACAAGTTGATCAAATTTGAGCTAGATTCGCCTGGTTCGTTGTTATGATTGCAGTTTAGAATTCTTGATTTTGAAATTGAAATTTTCGCAGGGACGCCTTTGAAGGTGAACACCCAGCACAACACTGGTGCAGCCTCTCCGGCGTTGACCCCGTCAGCCCGGATTTCGGCGCTCAACATTGTGGGCGACTTGCTGCGAAACGTGAGCGCTCTGGAAAACAAGGTGGCTCATGCGAGAAGCCTGCCACGCCGAAGCGCAGACGCCAACACGACTGAGTCCCCAAGGTTTGTGCGGACTCGCAGGGTTTGAAACAAGTGAGAGACCACCACAATTTGACTAGATAGCGACCAGCACTCACACTCATGATTCGCTTTGCTGCCAGGTTTCTTTGTCCAGGGTGCTTGTGGTCTCTTTCTCACTCTGTTGGATTTTGAGGGGAAATTGGAATAGAGATGTGGCATGGAATTAACCAAATTTAATCATTCTTCGTGTTCTTTTAAAGACTTGTGGTTTTGAATTGAAATCCTTAAAAGCGTTTTTCCTTTTCTGACTAACAGATTGAAAATAGTGTTTTTAACTAGGAACAATTATAGTTTTTTTAGAATCCATTATGTTCAAGCATGTTTGTCACTTCATTGTATTAATTTGCCAATTTATCGGAAGTGTACTGAACTATTAAATTATCAATTTATTTACTTCCTTCTCCTCCATTTCAGGACTCGAGTGAGAAGCAACCGCACCTCCACAACAAACACCCCCGCAAAGAGTGTGAACAACAACAACTCGCCCACCAAAAGCAACAAATCGTCCTCGGGTCTGATCCGAGCCTAGAGCCCATCCTCAATTATCTCTGGCGTAAAATAATCGCAAATTAATTCAGTCGTCAACTCCACAGTCAGACCAAGCAACCGGTCTTGCAGCCAAGAGTTGTTAGTGAGTTGATTTTCCTGTTCTGCTTGCGTCCGGCAAGCCCTCTTTTAATTCACTCGTGTTTATCCTGTGTTTGTGTTTTTAACAGAGCAGGTGGTATTTTTATCGTACTGAAATGGGGCAGTTGAGCGGAGGCTCGTTTGTGTACATTACATATATATTTCCTAAGTACGAAAGTCAAGTACAGAGATTTATTTAATTATAATATATGGATTATATGAATTAGCAAACTTGGTTATCTGTATATTACGTACCAAAAGAATGGTTCTTATTTTTCAACGTACTTTCCACCGGCTTTTTGTCGTCTATGAAATTTATCACATATTTATCTAACGTTTAACACTATCACACCCACACTGTCCGTGCAATCTGTAAAAGACTATTGGCCCCAGGTGATGGAGCCGAAGTAACCGCTGAAAATAAACCAAGCAAGAACAATTAACTGTATAATTATGCTTTAGGCATTCATTATAGAATAGGGTATAAAAAAGGAGCACAGGCGGTGCTTAGCTTCGTGATGAACCAAAATGAACATGAATAAAAACCAAATTTGGCATTTGAATTCACACTTGTCTGCTTTTACTTCCGAGAACATTTGTTACAAGCTAAATCAATTAACGCACTAGATTGTAAAATTTTATTAATCTTAGCAGGGAGACGCTTTGAAAATGTCTCCGAGGAGCCGCTCGATCGGCACCTGTCCCACAGTTTGGCTGAAGAAAAGCTCCTGCAGTGCGGCCGCCTCGAGTTGACGAGCGCCACTCAACAGTAGCAGCAGACGCCCCAGCCGCCTCCGAGCCGCCCCCTCACAGCCGCCACTGCTGACACAGTAGTCGCCCAGCAGCAATTGGCTTTGTTCCTGAAGCGCCTCAACGCGAATGCCGTCTCGCAGACCAGACAGTTCTGTTCCAGAAATTAATTTCTATCAAGAATTTTACAATCTTTTACTTACCTGGGGTGAAAAGGGCGAGGGCTTTGAGACAGGCGAATTCCGTTCTGTCCATCCTGTGGCTGACGCAGCGTCCGAGAAAGGTCCTCAGAGCTCTGGCCTGTTGTAATAGGGCTTGGTGGCGACATGAGGGGGCCAGGGAGTGACGGACTAGGATGTCTGATAAGTTGAGGAAAACATAAAATATATATTAAGCATTATAAAAAAAAAGTTTAAAAATCTTGCCTTCGCTTATGGGAAATGACCACTCTGCAGCTGTGAAAACGAAAAGTTGAGCCCAAGAAAATTCCAAAAGAAGTTCTTGATCCGCCGGCAGGAGCTGTTTTTGAAAAGAATACATAAAAAAAAATTCAATTTAATTGAGCTACTCACCCTCATGAAAGACGGCATAGCTCTGGCCCATTTTACAGCTATGAAAAGAATCCTGGCCGCACTTTCGTTGGCAGTCTCTAGTGCGGGCATAATTGGTGCCACCGGTGAAGGGTAGCCTGCCGGGGACACTAAATTATTAATATAAAAAATGATAAATACAAAATTTTCCATGATAAAAATTGTATATAAATTTGCAAATTGAGCAAAATTAAATTAAATTTATTAAAAGAAATTTAACTATTATTTATTTTAATATAATTTTATTTTCAATGTTACCACGTTTCTCGTCACTTTGCACGCTAGAGCTGGACACCTCTTGTTCAGGCGTTGGCTCAGCAGAAACGCTGATCGGACTCGTCAGAGTGATCGGCCAGGGACACCTATTCCAGTTATTTTATTGTTTAACATCTAAAATAAAAAATGGAAAAATTTAAAAACCTCAATGTTGGTCCGAGGGGCCAGTAATGCTGCAAGAGATCTTGACCTGCTGGCAAGAGCAGGGAGGTCATTGTGTGCGGAATGTGCGGCGCTCTTATTCTCGACGAGGTGCCGACGGAGCCCCCAGCGTTGCCCACAGGCACCCTCGGAGCTCTCTCGTGTTGGACAGCTGCAAATATTTTAATATAAAAAAAATCATTTCCAGGAAAACAAATTTGGACTTGACTTTTAGTTTTAATTTTTATTTCAAGATGACATTTTCTTTGTACACCTTTTTATTTCAATCAAGAGCTGAACATATCTCTTTTTGTAAGAATGTAATTTAAAATTTAATTAAACCCTTATTAAAAATTTGGTATTTATTTTCATTCCTATTGGTGACTTAAAAGAGTCTGGAGCCCCCCTATGAAACCTATAATAAAACCGACAGTGAGTGTATTTACAATACGAGGGCGAGTATGTCAGCGGCGGCGATTGAGGCGCGATGAAAATTTAACGAGGTGCGACGCGAGTCAGGTGTTCAAACAAGTCCATGCTTCACCTCGGCCCTAATGACAGGGCAAATATTTTGTGGCCAGAGGGCGTTTGGCTTTTGGTAATAATAGGGACAAGAGAGGCGACCGACTTTAGCTCATTCATAATTCGGCACCCACGCCGCAAGTCAGGGAATTTCAACACGTGCGCCAAGGGTTGAGTTACGATCTGTGACGGCTGTGGATGAAAAAAAGGGGGTCGGACAGATTTTATCTAGAAAGAGAAATGCTTTAAAAAAGCCTTTGTCATTGAATTGAAATTTGTTTTTATTAAATATATTGGATTTAATTAAATTTGAAATTAAACTAAACTTTTGTTAATATGAAATTTCGTCAGGATCATTTTTTCCATTTTTTAGTTTCATTGGAGAAATGGTTTGAAATTGAATAAAAAAAATTAAAAAATCCAATGCACACAAAATTTAAATTTATTTTAAGAAAACTTTATTCTTTCAAAATTGTTTCCAATTTTAATTTGAATCAATTTGAATTAAACAAATCACGGGGAATATTGATGAATATCGAGGGTGCTGAATGAATGAATTTTTTGAGTGGTGCATAAATATCGGAGGAAAGCTTTTCTGTTGGTGTGCCTTATTGAGCGCTTTTCGCACCCTGAAGGGCGAACGTTTTTCATTGAAAACTCTTCTCCGCACATAGCGCACAATGGAGAAGCAAACAGTTCAGGAGCAGCCGCGGCGGTCTTTTGTGTCGCGGCCGCGACAGCCCCTTAAAAGCGTCACTTTGCGAGCGGCGGAAAAGCTCTCTCGGCGCCTATACGGGGAAAAATATTGCGTGCATTTGACACACTGAGGAAATTAAGAGACTAGCCAAATATTTGCAATCATATCCAGCTCACTTTATTGCAGGAGAACGTGGAAGACGGATTGAAAAAAAAGTAAGGGAAAAGTTTGTTTGGAGAATAAAATAAAATTTGATTAATCTTGAATTTTGTTAATTTTAATCCACAGCCAAATTAAAAAAATAATATTTTGCACATCAAAACCACTTTCTTATTGTTTTAACAAATTAATATTAAACTTTTCGTCTACATCTGTTCAACAGAATTTTTTCAAGCTACTTTCAACAACTTGTTAATTTCATTTCCTAATTTCAAATTGTTATTTTGTTAGTTGGATTTCTTAATGTTTCGAGAGGATTAAGATGTGCAAGCATTTTCAAAATAATAGGGTTCACTCAGAATACCACGTAAAATTAATTTTTTAAAGTACAAAAATTTATATTTTTACATGTTATTGAGCCTTTTTCTTCCTCAAAATTGATTTTTCTCTGTTAAAAATTACAAGACTAGTAGAAATTCTCTTACAGCCAAACTTACCGTCCTTCCTCATGTTGACCTGCAGGCATTTCTTGAATCTGCACGCCTGGCATTGGTTTCGCCTGGCCACGTCCACGGTGCACTTTCCACTTTCCTTGCAAATGTACTCCAAGTTTCTATAATCAATTTTTGAAAAATTTTTGATCTTTAAATAAATTTGTCTTCGGATTTCTTTTTACCTGCGAATAGACCGTTTAAAGAATCCCCTGCACCCATCGCAACTTGCCACACCATAATGCTTGCCGGACGCTTTGTCACCACAAACTTTGCACAGCAAGTGCCGATCCATATCTGAAAATTAATTAAAATTTCCCCAAAAGGAGTTTTTATTGAAATTTGATGTTACTTTTAATTGATGAAAAAAATTGGTCGGCCTTTCTCCTGCAACATAAAAATCTTCTATTTAAAAAGAAAATATATCTCACCTCTAACTGTTTGAAAATTAAAAACGAAATTTCTCAAATTTCTTAAATCAGCAATGAATATGTATAATTTGAAACAAAAGCTTCGTAATATAATTGTGTACGTACAAAATTGTGAAACAATTTTTACACGATTTTAAAACTTATCTTTTCTGTTCAAAATAAGCGGTGTTTTTTTTTTAAAAATATTTTTTGTAGTTAAATTTCAAGGCGCACAAAATTAGAAATTATTTGCACCACGTTATTTATAGATCGTCCTTTTTATTTCATGTCTCAAATTACTCAGGCCAAGACAAATTTCCAATAATTTTCCAGTGATATTTTCGGACCCGCCCCGAGTCAAAGTGGCGGCCAATGGCGCCGTTTGTTTGCTCGTCTCCCAGAGCAACCCCTCTATCCATAATGCACGACCCTTGAGCGAAATTCGCTCCCTCTCAAGCCCTTCCTTTCAAACGCGAAAAAAATGACTCGCCAATTTTTTCTTCTTTACTAGCGTGAAATTTATGCGCGCACGTTCGGCGTGCCGAAAAAACAGATTGATGGCTTTTTGATCCACACCGCAACATCTTGGCTCGGAAAATTAAAAAATGCAAAATTCGTGCTGAATCACCTTTTGATGTGCGTGGAAAAAAATTTCACGCGCTCCCAAACGCAGCTGACGCTTTTTTATCAAGAGGAATAAAAATTAAAAATTGATAAATCTATCACGGTGAGTGTCAACATATTTTTAAAAAAAATTGTTTTCATTAGAAAAAGCTATATAATAAATTTCTTCCATAATCTCTTTTCAATTTTGACGCAATTTGCAACGATATAATAAAATATTCAGTAAAAGAAAGTTAAACAAATTTTGAACAGTTGTTATATTTTGCTAAAATCAGGTCGAAGGCTACCTTTTTTATAAAAGTTTTTAGATGTGAAATCTTTTCTAAAAAGTTTAAGTTAATTTTAAATGTGCCTTTTAATAAATCACAAAGTTTATTATTTAGCTGTGATATTGTGAGTCTCTGAAGATTATAATTAAAATATAACATTTGCTTGGCTTTGCTTTGCTTTGCTTTGCTATCGATCAAAATTACTGAAATTTACTTCAATTCTTCTTCGGCATTTTTCAAACAATTTTTCACAATTTTCAAATATTTGACGGGAGATGTTTTTTAAATTTATTTTTTATTCATATATTACAGACGGCTAAAAAAATAAACAAAATAATGTGTATTATGTAACAATAAAACCTGAATAAAAATAAAAAATAAGAAAAAAACATTAAAAACTTTTAAAAAAATTTAATTTTTTTATAAAAATCTTTTCAAAATTTGATTTTAAAATAACCGGTACTAATTGATGATATAATGTTTCGTTAAAGGGTTATATTTGTCGGTAAAGCAATTAGCTCTTTGGCGTCCAAAGTCGTCGCAGCAGCTTTTCCTGCACATTTGGCCGTGGGCCGTGCGGAGTCGCAATATCAGAGGGCGCGTGTCGCTAATTGAGACAAAAAGCTGCCCGGGCGGCGCGACAACAAACAGAAACACGTGCCGCATTCCCACGCACGTTCCTTTCGCACCCCTCGGCCCCCGGCACCCCTCCACTTAATGTGCGGCGGCGAAAACGACCCTCGGCTACATGACAAGTGGGTGACGACGCAAAGGCAGCCCACTGAAATCACACTTGATTATTCAATAATGTAATCACATTTCACGCCACACACTCTTTTCACCTCATAGACGTTTGTGCAGACTGTCAGTGAAAGGGCAACAAGTCCATTCATAATATATGGATTTTTTCTCAGTGTTTATGTTTGTTTAATAAATTCTTTCCCAAAATAAAGATTATAAAAATTGAAACATAATAAAACTTTTTAGCACCTTTTTGGACTACTGGGTTTCCGAAGTTTTTTTTGCTCTGAATTCGAATGTGTTTTTATTTTATTTTTTCACTTCATTTTGTTGTTACTCTGCAATGATTCCAAGTCAATTATTGAGTGTATATTAATAAAATGTCAATTATTTTTCAGATTACTGAGAATATATTTATTTTAATACTTTTCTCTCTCCAAATAATGTAACTGACTGAGATCAGCCCAGGAAAATAACGTCTACTTATAAACAGTGATTTTCCGTTGAGACATTGTAAATCACCTCATAGATGAGTTTTAATTAAAATTACGATTGCTTTTTTATCTATGTATTTTGAATTTCCTCTAATAAAAATCTTTGCATGCAAATTTGATCAAAATTTAGCTCAATGTAATCAGATCACGCCAATTAAATAAAGATTGAATTAGAGCATGTTTGGTTAGCTCAACCTCTTGAAATTGATAACATTTGAAGCTGAGGTAAACGATTTTCGCGGGATTACTTATGTGAGAATTCAGTTGTGTTCACAGATTTTTCAAAAGCAGAATTTATTTTCAGATTTGTATTTTTAGAGTTGCTTGAGATTCAACAAAGTTTATAGCAGTTGAAAATTTTACTGTGGATAAAATATTCTTTAGAAATTGCGTAGCTTTGAATTCAATAATAATGAGCCATAAAGTTACGAAGATGATTAGTTGTTCGCTCGAGAGTCCATTTAAGGCGTAAGGCGATATGATCTGGAGAAATGAACGCGCGGAGAGACCAAAGGGTTGTATGACATAATTGGGAAGGGAAGGTTGCATTTTCTTTGCTTATCAAGTAAAACATGGTTTTAGATTTATTTTATTTTTTAAATTCAAAGAATGAAAAATTATTATTAGAATTTAGATGGATAAAAAAGTTTGAATTAAAATTTTTAGAATTATAAACAATTTTTTAATACTTTCTTTTAAGACTTTTTAGGTAACAAGATTCATGAATCCTTAACCCCATTAAAATATTGCCAAAAGAGTAATTTTTCATTTAAAAAATAGTTTGTTTTTTCATTCCTCTCTTTTTTCATAACAAAATTTACAACACAATCGAAATATAAAAAAACTTTTAAATTTTACAAAGTAATTGCATTCCTTTTATTATTTTATTTATATATACTGACAGAAAATAACCTTTTAGTATTTGCGTAATAGATTTGCCATTTTTTTTTTACAATTTGGAGAAAAAAGGGTCTTTTTGATCTTGGAAGTTTTCGCAAAAATCTTGATAGTGGTGGTTTTCCAACAATTCCTCTCTTCTCATATAATTGTTTCAGCAATTGAATTTAAAAATGTGTAATAATTTGGACTCATATCCAACAATAATATTTAAAAAAACGAAACTACGGTGAATTTCAAATCCACTCAAGAAAAACGTTATGTAACCAGCTGGACGTGGATGACGAGCGCGTAGCCTACTGTTGTAAATTACAGGCGTATTCCTAAAATGCCAATTTTAATTACTCCAAAGAGTGAGTTTGTCTCAAAATTTAGCAATCGCATTATTGAACAAAACAATGAAGGTTATATTCACGGAAAAATAGTAATAGAAGTAAAATAAATTGTGTTCTGAAATAAATCCTACTGAAAACAAACCTCTTCATGAATTCATGACGTTTTTTAGTTTAATTTTTTTTCAATTAAATTTGCAAAATTCTGAATTTTAAACCTAATAATTATTGATTAAATTTGATATAATAAATTTTAAAAGAAAATATTTTAGAAAAATGTACGTACCGTCACGATGGTTGGTGAAGCGGATCTGATTGATTCTGAACCGCAGTTCTGTCGACAAGCGATGATGGTCTAGTGTGTGTTGACCAAACCGCAATCATCCCTCGGATCTCTGGTGGTGCGTCGTGACCTCGTCATCAGGGGCGTGACCCCGGAGGGCGGCGCCAAACGGGGCTGCCGGAGGCGGCGCTTCTCAACTTAACTTTGACAGCCGCATTATTGATTTTGGATCGACTGCTTTGTAATATGACACAAAAATACTGAATATTTTTTAACATTGTATACGAAGAATATTATTCAAATTAAAAACTATTAAAATTACAATATTAGTATTATTTTGAATAGAAAATCTGAAAATTTTTATGTCAACCTAACTTGAATTCTGTGATGAAAGCAACAAATATCTGGAGAATATATTAACATAGGAATTTCATTAATAAAACGCCAAAGGCGTGAAAAAAACACGGAAAATAATTATAAATTATTTTTCATAATTTTATGTAACGCAATTTTTTCTTTAAAAAAAACTTGTTCCTTGGTACTGTTTCTTTGATTAATTTATAACAGGCATTTTTTTTATGAAAAAATAAAACAAAATTCTCCAAAATTATTCACAATGAAAATTGATCGAGCAGGAGAAATTGAGCGCAGAAGAGCAAAAAGACGCTGAGAAAATTCGGAACAAGGATAGAGAGAAACAGCAAATGGAAATGGATTTGCCGTGGCCGCACGTGTTGTGGTCTCTGGTGCTTGAACACGACATTTCCATCACGGAGCCTTTTACAGCAGCAATAGAGAGAAGCATTTGTGCCTCTTCCCATGGCCGCGCACAATGAGACGTTGCTCCTCTTGTCTGTGCCGCGGTGCCGCCGCGCTCACAATCTCCACTTAAATGTGTCACTCGCACGCTTTCAGAACTTTTATCTCATAGAGCGTGTACAGATGCGACCGGAACAGTCTAAGAGTGCACTGCACTGAGACGACCCTGGACCTAATTTCAATGTGGTCACAGCTTCTGGATCAGTTCCAACACTGATCTTGGACACACTTGTCTAGCTACTGCTGTTAAAATGCATACATTGCAACTTTTATGGTTTCCTTACTGGACTGAACACATTTAACAATTTTTTTATATTATATGCACTTAATGACAAAAAAAATTCATCTTTTTTTAATGAATTTATATTTATATTGATTAAAGTCTAGATAAAATGAATTTATCAAATTGAATCAGTCCTCCTTGTCCGTAAATTTTAAACAAAAGGAAATAAGAAATTCTTGAGATAAGGAAAAAGGTTTTGCATTTTTGCAAACTATGTATAATCTTCCGTATACTGCTGTTTTTGGTCAATTTGTATTTCAGCAGGGGCAAAAAATTTAGTCGATTCCTCCTGACGTCCAATTCGTTGCCTGATCGATTGCGCCAACCTCTACAAGAGGACCGTCATATTTTCACGCGCATTCTGGCTCATGGATTTCATTATAAATTCTGTTCTAAAACTGAGTTTCACTTTGCGAATAACGCATGTATACATGATTTTTTTTTTAAGATTTTGTATCAAACGCTTTTGCGTACAACAGAAAATTAAATCAAAACTTTTTAATGTATCTCAGTTGGTAGCACTGTTTCGAAAGCCCACACCGTATCGTCAAATTAAGTTTACTTTTGTGCCACTTTTGGTTTCACTTTCGTGCCACAATCATCGTCGCTGGTGACAGAGGCGTTTAAATCTGGAACTAAATTTCGTCTGGTTGCTTGATGTGCCTGCGGGAGGTTGTCCCACTCGCATCGTCATCCTCCAGGGCGCCGAGAATGTCTGCAAGTTCTTCCTCAGTGTCAATTACTGGTCGACTAACAATAAGAATCAAAACCAGTCAAATTGCCAACTTTGTTCCAAGAAGTAGAGAAGCGGCGGCTCGCACTGCTTTGCAGTCGATCTAAAAAACCTCTGGAACTTGTGGCACGCCGTGAAGGTGGGGCTTTACATAAACAAAAACGGAGAGCGCGCCAAGGTGGCCAAAATAGAAAAAGGTTTTTGGAAAAAAATTTATCAGCTAGAATTTTTGAGTCGGATTATCCTCGATGGGTTTTTGAATCTGTTGTCGTTTGGTAGACATAACTGGGGTAAAAATAATACTTCAATAAAAAGAAAATTAACTAATACAATGTCACACACAAAGGGGTAATTTATTAATACATTTCAGAAAATAATTAAAATTATGGAAAATTTAATGTTTAAATACATTATCACCCACATTATAGCAATACATTTTGACGCATTTTAATATTAATATTTTTTGTCAGAAAACAATTTCACAAAGTAAGATGTATACAATAACACTCCGCATTACAGAATGAACATTGCATTAATTATGGGTTTAGGGAATCAAAACGGGGAGTAGATGTATAATTTATGAGTTCCAAGACAGGTAGCGCATGCTAAACGTTATAAATTTTCGTTTTCTGACGTTCGTTCAATTTTTATTTTTTGACAAAGAAAGTTACAGTACAAGCTGTCATCAGCTGAACCGACCGATCAGATACAGATTGGACAAGGTGACTAACGAGTCGATTATCCTGGTGGCCAGGGGAATGATTGGCAAAGTTTCTGAGTTTTGGCTGAAGAGCATGGCAAGAGTTAGGTACCTTTACTTTTCTTGAGGGAGGATCTGGTAGGATCCCTCAATCCAGTAAGTCTGTTTTGGAGTAGACGAGTTCTTTGACAACGCAATTTGTCTAGGTCATTCAATGGCCTAAAAATCATTACAAAGGGATAAATAAATTTTTATTAGCTTAAAATAAATTTATAAATACCCAGCATGGTTAGCGGTCGCATGACTTGGATATTACCGCGAGGGCATTTTTTCGCACAATGGGCCTAGATTATTCGATCGACACCATTCTTGGGTGGCACCTGTTAATTAATAAACAAAAAAGAAATAGCTTTTTGGTTATCATTATAATGTAGGGGTATATTACCAACGATTCCCGAAACTAGCTGTGGGTCCAGGGTCAGCAAGGGGGCACCTGAGTAAGTAATGCTTTTCTCATATCTTTGGGAAAAGAAAAAGATTCGGCAGCCCGCTGGCGATGGCTTCGCAGTAGCTTTCAGGTGTTTTTGGCTGGCTCTCTTGGACTTCTTGATTTCTTAAAACCGGGATGCAGAAACCTCTGGCTAGATGAAACTAAGATTAAAAAGTTTAGTGTTCATCATAAATTTGAATGATACTATGTGCTTACCCATTCGTTGGATAACCGTGTCATTGGAAGAGGTACTGATTGAAGATAAATTTTTAAATTACAAATATTGTATACATTTAAACGTGTCTCACATTGTTTGCCGACTTCAACAACAGTCTTTTTCTGGCTGGGTTCTTTTTCTTTCGTTTTCTCCTTCTCCACGGGAGCGGTGTAGTCGATACTGGCCGACGATATCAATGCAGAAGGAAATTTCCCTATTCCAGAAACCGACTCCCCTCTCCACCAAAGGGCATCCGTCATATCAAACGCGAAAACTAAGATCTTTACTTAGCGCAACTTAAACTTTAAAAAATTGGTATACATAACCACGTCGCCGTTTTTTAATTTAAGCGCTCCTTCTTCTTGTTGTGGATCAAAGTCCATCAGAGCGACACACTTGAAGTGAGTTGGCTTTGGCGCTTTGTACGCGTATACTTTGGCTGGGGATGTTCTTGTTTTGTTCGTAGGCATTTCCGGCTTCAGACCAAGTTGTACATGCTCCTTCTTCACCTCTTCTAAAACCACTTCATCGTCCTCAATAATAACCAAACTTGAGTCTAGTACATCTAAAAAAGATTTTTGTTTATAATTAACATCAAAATTAAAAACAAACATTGTGAAAAGGAGTGTTTGCAGTACATAATATATAATGAATGCACTAAGTTGCATATTATTACACTGATAGATAAGATATACCTGGCTTTTTTGCATCTTGCTCGAGATCTGCAGTTTCTGTTTCAGCCACTTCTTGTCCAGTTGCTTCTAATTCCTCCAAAACTTGAGCATAAAGCACTGCTCGACGCAGTTTAACCATCATGTCAGTTTCAGAGTCGTTGTCTGTTATCCTAAGAAATATATATTTTTACTGACGAGTAGGGTAGTGAAACTTAGACGATCGACTATTTTTTTCTGGGCTTTGATTTGGCCTGAATTCATCAAATGTGCACTAATCATGAAATTTCAAGACGATTGACACCCACTTAAAATCGTCTAAAACCATCTAAAACGCCCAAAACCGTCTAAAAATCGACTAAAACAGTCTAAAAGTGTCTAAAACTCACCATTTCATCTCCTGGTGCACAAAATATTCAAAAGTGAACAGATTTTTGTTTACCGCGCATTCTCAGGAGTCGGGACTTAAAATTTCATGGTTTCTGGCGACCATCTACAAATCTTGGACAGGTCATTCTGAGCATTTCTAGCTAGTTTTTGTGAACCGTGATTTTTACCCCCTCGCCCCTAGATCCACCCTCAAGGGACTTCAAAAAAAAAAAATGCATGGTCTCTGGCGACCATCTACAAATCTCGGACAGGTCATTCTGAGCATTTCTAGCTAGTTTTTGTGAACCGTGATTTTTACCCCCTCGCCCCTAGATCCACCCTCAAGGGACTTCAAAAAAAAAAATTCATGGTTTCTGGCGACCATCTACAAATCTCGGACTGGTCATTCTGAGCATTTCTAGCTAGTTTTTGTGAACCGTGATTTTTACCCCCTCGCCCCAAGATCCACCCTCAAGGGACTTCAAAAAAAAAAAAAAAAAAAAAAAGTTCATGGTCTCTGGCGACCATCTACAAATCTCGGACAGGTCATTTTGAGCATTTCTAGCTAGTTTTTGTGAACCGTGATTTTTACCCCCTCGCCCCTAGATCCACCCTCAAGGGACTTGAAAAAAAATTCATGGTTTCTGGCGACCATCTACAAATCTAGGACAGGTCATTCTGAGCATTTCTAGCTAGTTTTTGTGAACCGTGATTTTTACCCCCTCGCCCCTAGATCCACCCTCGGGACTTGAAAAAAAATTTCATGGTCTCTGGAGACAGTGGAGACCAGCTTTAAATCTCGGACAGGTCATTCTGAGCATTTCTAGCAAGTTTTGGTGAACAGTGATTTTTACCCCTTCACCCTTAGATCCACCCTCGGCGACTTCTTTTTAAAGCCAAATTTTCAACCTTGGAAAAACAGTCTAAAACCGTCTAAATTGGATAAAAACCGTCTAAAAACAGTCTTTTTCTATGAAAAAAGTGTCTACAAAAAGTTGACTATTATAGGCAAAAAAAGCGTCCAAGTTTCACAACCCTACTGATGAGAAATGAGTATTTGCTTTTGGCTTGCATAATTAAATTATGTAAAAACGTAATATTTTAAATTTTGAATATTTAAATTCACTTACTGATCAATGCCCTGTGTTTGGGGTTTCTCCGATGATATGAGAACTTCCGGAACTTGGCCAAGTTCTCCCGATTTTGTAATCACAGATAGAAAAAAGTGATCACTTTCGTCCAAAACTTCATTTACTATAACCACTGGAATTTTTTTTGTTTTTCTTTTTAATTTGAAAAAGAAATTCAAAAAATTATGAGCTTACCTTGGTCGCCATGCGCCTTATTTCGATCCCTCCATCTGCCGATGATTTTGCATTTTATGATTTAAGTAAGGTAAGAAATCATTCATATTTGTTCTTAATCCGCAATTATTGCTTTCTTACGTATAAATTTGGTCTCGGCCCTCGAAAGAAGAGCTGAGAAAAAAGTTCATAAATTTTTATCTTATATCATTGTTTTTGATGGCATGCAAATTTTATCTATTTTTAGATTGGTTTTTGTAAGTATAAAAAATATCTTCATTTCGTTATTATTTTTTTTTAACTCTTACCTTTTGAAAATGTATATTAAAAATATTCTCACTTCCTTTTGCTGACTAGACATAATTTTTTTTTTAAATTTCGATTATGATTAGTTCGATTTGGAATTTGGAATCTTAGGGATAATTATTATTTTTAAGTAGTTGTAGTTTACACGAAAAAAACAAAAATCCCTTATCGTTTTAATCTATTCTCCAATTGCGGGGCGCCGTTCAACTAAAAAACAAGAAAAATAATTTTATATCAATTTATGATTCGGATTCAGACACAATAATTTCTGATTGTGAGTGATGCAATTTTATGTGGTTTTTGTAATTTGATAGCTTCTATAAATTTCTACAATAAATCTAGCATATTTGTTGTTGTGGTTTATCAATATTTTTAAGTAAAATGTTCAGCTTTTCAAGTATTAAAGATGTTAGTCCGGCTCCAATTCAGAGATATTGTAATATTTTTTGGGAAGCGGGACAACAAGCCAGAGTGAACTCTACGTATTTTTAGTTTTTATCGCTATTTCCGTAACTTCATTTGTACCGATTTCTACGATTTGGACCAAAATGATAAATTACATCTATTTATTTTAATAAGTTTATTTTAGAATTAAAATTGAAAAGTGTCCAACGTTAAAATCATGCTGGGTGAAATCTTCATACATTATTTGAATTTGCAATATATTTTATTTTGCCAAAATAAATTAAAAAATGACCACTCAATATTCTATGTTATTTGTTTTTGGCCATTATGCTCAAATTATGTACAATAAGGCAACGCTTTTTAAAATTGAAATAGAAAAATTAGATGTTTTATTTTTTTTTTTTAAACTAATAAATTCCGTTCACGAGTTATGAAGTCACATAAGGGTTTGCTAATAGTTTTGCATGCCAAAACAAACAAAAAATTCAGAGAAAAAACCTTAATAATTTACGCAAGTTTTGCACTCGACTTGTATGGAGACGATTATCAATAGTGAGCAGATGTCTGTCAATCCAAGTGAACTTTGGCAGGGTCAACCGATCATTACCAAATTTTACAGGGTGATAGACCATGTTAAGAGGTTTCCAAACATATATAGGTTTACCCCAATATCTCAAAATTTCCGGGTTTTACGGGCCATTCAAATTTGGATTTTGAAAATTTTTAAACGTCTGTATCTCGGCTTCCCGTGGTCGTAGAACAAAAAACTTGAGTGCTTTGGAATCCTCTTGTTGCCCTCTACAACTTTGCTTCGAGGTGCAAAATAGTAGGTCACAGGTCAAGGTCACTTCCGGTGACCTCGTGACCTTTGACCTCAAATTTGAGGGTGAGCCGTCACTTTTTTCAAAATTCTGAGATAGCCATTTTGTAGATCGCAAAATTTTACGTCGTATAAGAGAATAAAAAAAACGGGACCCCTCTTAGTTTTTTTAATTAAAAAATAAAACCAATAAAAAACGTGGTTTTCCGAGCTCTGAATTTGGAAAAATAACTTTGAAGGTCTGTAACTTTTTATGTGTTAGAGATAGGTAAATTGTTTCAATGACAAAAAGTGTTTATTTTTAGACGGGCTATCTAACCATGTAACACACATACTGATCAGGTCACAAAGGTCATTGACCCTGGTGACCTGTGACCTTGAAATTATTTTTTATGCAAGTATGATACATCGTTGGAAAGAGGACATTAAGAGGATCATTTTGGTACCCGGAATTTTGTAGTAGCTCAAAGAGAAACGGAGTTATGGCAGTTTTTTAAATTAAAAACTAAAAATATTAATTATGGATAACATTTAAACGTTAATAACTTCGTTCCTCTTTAAGCTACTACAAAATTCCGGGTACCAAAATGATCCTCTTAATGTCTTCTTTCCAACGATGTATCATACTTGCATAAAAAATAATTTCAAGGTCACAGGTCACCAGGGTCAATGACCTTTGTGACCTGATCAGTATGTGTGTTACATAGTTGGATAGCCCGTCTAAAAATAAACACTTTTTGTCATTGGAACAATTTACCTATCTCTAACACATAAAAAGTTACAGACCTTCAAAGTTATTTTTCCAAGTTCAGAGCTCGGAAAACCACGTTTTTTATTGGTTTTATTTTTTAATTAAAAAAACTAAGAGGGGTCCCGTTTTTTTTATTCTCTTATACGACGTAAAATTTTGCGATCTACAAAATGGCTATCTCAGAATTTTGAAAAAAGTGACGGCTCACCCTCAAATTTGAGGTCAAAGGTCACGAGGTCACCGGAAGTGACCTTGACCTGTGACCTACTATTTTGCACCTCGAAGCAAAGTTGTAGAGGGCAACAAGAGGATTCTAAAGCAATCAAGTTTTTTGTTCTACGACCACGGGAAGCCGAGATACAGACGTTTAAAAATTTTCAAAATCCAAATTTGAATGGCCCGAAAACCCCGGAAATTTTGAAATATTGGGGTAAACCCATATATTTTTGGAAACCTCTTAACATGGTCTATCACTCTGTAAAATTTGGTAATGATCGGTTGACCCTGCCAAAGTTCACTTGGATTGACAGACATCTGCTCTAGTATTAACTTGATAAACCAAAAAATATCAACTACTAGCTATAACTTGATCGTGGTGGTCGTCGATCGCTTGTATTGATGTTGCTCGGTCAAATTTTGCAAGAGACCATCCACGCCGCGCCGTCGGGTATCAATGCACAAACCAAAATGTTCCCTGCGATTTTTTTTATCTTGCACTCGCGCTAACATTTGTGCGCTCGCTCTCGCACTAGAAGTAGATTTATCTAAATGCCTTCGAGAAGAAATTTGATAAATTTAAAAATTAAACAAAAGTCACCCACAACTACACATATATTTAATAAATTTCTATGCATATAAAATTGGCGTCGGAACTTTATTTTTAAATTTATTGAAAATGATCAATTTTCAATATAAGTATCGGGGATCAAAAAGTATTATTTGTTATATTTATTTATTTATTTAAATAAATTTGTAAAAAAATGGCATCCGCTGAAAATGTGAGTCGTGTGAAATTTTATTTAAATGTTTACACAACTTATTCAGTAGTTTCTTTTGAAATATTAATAAGTGAGCTTACATGCAGCTATTTTTGAGCCTCTGTTCGATTATGAGGCGGATTTGCGGCATTTTCTTAACGTTTTCACAAAGGAATGAATGGAACATCGAGTTAGCACGCCTGCACGGCAAGTATAATGACGACTCGACCTATGCAGCGGCAGCTCGTCTCATCGCTTACATAGTAACACATTTATGAGATGATTCACGCTGCTGTTCGGATTTTGGGAATGCATTTCACAAACCGGCATTTTCAGAATTTCACTAACTAATTTCTATGGCTTGATAAGACTTTTTTAAATCAATTCAATTAAATGTAAACTGAATTTGTGTTAAGTAATACTGCAAAGTTTTTTAAATTGCTGCTTTTGTGCAAAATGTTTTATACAATAATAATATAAATTAAGTCCATTGAGGTCCAGTTCACATAAAAATATTGTTTACCCAATAACTGCTGGCACACCATCTTCATCGTCTGAGACGTACGAAGTCATCGCACGTCCAAGAATATCAATCGAAATCAATCACGAGCGTAAAAATCGAATTAATTAAGGCGCGCTTTTATACACTCACGAAAGTCACAATCTTCACAATCCGGTGCTGTTTGCTGACGGCGGCTGATGACTTCAGGGGCAGACGGCAGCGGCTCTTTCGAGCTCATGCGAGCAAAGCTGATCGCGGCAGACCTACCAGCAACGGTGGTAGGGGGCCTGATGCCTTTTTGTTGTGTTGATGACAAGTTTTTAATTGGCTACCGATTATTAATCGCTCGGTGTTTTTAAGTTTTTTCAACGGGAGTGTGTAGTCTAAGTAAGAAAGTTCAATAAAGTTTTATTTCCGTTTACAAAACGGAATCTGAAATATATTTTGTTTAACAAACAAAAATGCACAGGAAATCTTGAAAAAATCTATGAAAAAAATTTTTCCATGAGAAATAAATCAAATAGATTTTTATTTTTTTTTTTTTACCTTAAAAAAATTAGATAATTATTTTTAATATAAACTTTATGGGAAAAAGAAGCCAATTAAATTTACTATGATTTTTTTCTAAGGCTTCCTGACGTCCGAAATTTTTTACTTGCACTCGGAAGGCTCAAAACCAAAATATGATTTTTTTTATTCACGATTTAAATTTAAGAGAGTTTCTCAAGATTGGGAGGTGCCACTGGCACCTTGCCACGCAAAAAAAAAAAAAATAGAAAATCATGTATCCTGAACGCCGAGGGAGTACAAAACAATGGTAAACTAAATATGAAAAATTGCTCCAAAAGTATGAAGGATATTATCCCATTCTCGCAGGGAGCAAAATTCCAGCAATTTTTGCCAAATTTTTGTCCCGAATGTTTCCACCTCACCAGGTTTTTTTGGTAAGGTCCGGGCCAGCCGCGCCCGCCAGCCAGCATTTTACGGCCCACGTGTCAGCCGACAGCCGCTGACTTTATAAAAATTTCCAGCCGGTCGCGCCATATCATGCATGAACTGTTTTAAATTCCTAAAAATATTTTGCATTCACATGAATTTTGTGTCTCTGTTTTTAAGAAAAAATTTGCGAAAAATTGCGCGCCATGTTCAGTCAGATCGGAAACCCGAAAAGTGCAGAGAAGCTTTCCGAAGTTTTCAATTAAGTATTGGAAATATCAAGTATGTAATTTTATTTTATAAATTTACTTTTGAAACAATTGCCTAACCGATCGGTCAGCCGCCGGACAATTTTCCCGAGCCGCCGAGTCATTTTGATGGCTCAGCCGCCCGAGTGTTGAGTGAGCCGCCGATCAAAATCGAACGGCGGCAGAGGGTGGTCGCGCCTCCCAAGCACATAATTGATAAAATTTATACATTATACATACGTTGAAAATTTATGTTCCTGGTCCGGCGATCCATTGCTGGGCTGATTCGCCGATCGCCAAAGGAAACTGCGGAGATAGATAAAGCAAGATAAAAATTGGGATGGTAATTCCGAATTCATAATTCTATAAATTTTTTACAAAAACGATAGAATCAATAAAATAATTGAAGTCTTATTTTACAATCATGTGATTTTTGAACATTTTAATTAATGGGCATGTGTATTTAGCGACAGCTAGAGGAATGTGATGCGACGCGCTGGGGTTTTTTTATTAATTCATTCATAATTAAACCTCATAATCAAAAATTTGATTGTATTTCAACCTCCGAGGTTTGATTAATTTAAGAAGAAGAATGCGGCAGCGTCTGAGCGTCGGCGTCTAAATAGCCATTCATAATGTGACTCATATAAAACGACAAATGACTTTTTTTTCAAATTATCCAAAAAATAATCATAATTCATAACATGTCGCACACAAGACGACAGGAGCTATAAAAATTATCATTCATTTAAAACGGTAGGAATAATTATGAACAAATTACCTGTTAAATTGTGATGGTAAAAACCGCTGGCACCTGGCAACAACTGGAGGATTCCACAGCCGTCGGACGAGTGACATCGCCTGGAGATGAGTCAATCAGAGGTGGTTGCAAGGTGAACGGTGAACAATTTTATCAATTTTATTATTCTCGGCAAACACAAATTTTCCAAATTTTTGTTTCTCTCACCACCTCGAATCTCCATTCCTGAGAAGACACAACGGACTAAAACGGCGTTCGGCGGTCAATACGTGAAACTGGGGCTTGGTGACAGGAGTGAAGTGAACGTATTAGTGAATTCCAGCGACAAGAATTCACATTTCATTCGATTTTTAGGATCGCGGCATTCGTGCAACAATTCGCGACAGGGGCGACTGACCTGCCACCTGGCGGCCCTGGCTTAACTAAGAGCTCCGGCCCATCCCCCATCCCTTCGGCTCGGCTCGGTTTCCGATTGTTATACCAAAAGGTCACTTTGAGGACGTTCCCGGCGCCAGCAATTCTTTCCCCGTGTTTTGCAAAAAAAAACCGCCGTAATGGGTCGCAAATTTTTCGTCGGTGGAAACTGGAAGATGAACGGCAACAAGCAGGCGATCGACGGCATCATCGCCTTCCTCAAAGCGGGCCCGATCGACCCCAATGTTGGTCAGTAATAATCAATAATCCTGCTCTTTATGTCAAAACGGCTTTTCAAATAAATTTTTGCAGAGGTCGTGGTGGGCTGTCCAGCCATCTACCTGGACTACGCGAGGCAGCAAGCTCCGGACAATGTCCAGGTTGCGGCCCAGAACGCTTACAAGGTTGCCAGCGGTGCTTTTACTGGTATGAATTTTATAATTTATTAAAATGTCACATATTATTTTTTAAATGATTTTTATATGGGTTTTTTAAAATATTATAAATTGAAGGTGTTTTAAATCATTTAAAACGTTATCTATTGTCTATCTATACAAATTATGATTTGTTTTTAAAGAAGAATATACATTTTTCTATCAAATTTTAAGTGGTGCAATTCTTGCCACAGGTGAAATCAGCCCAGCCATGATTTCTGACATTGGCCTCAAGTGGGTCATTTTGGGTCACTCTGAGCGCAGGAGCATCTTTGGAGAATCAGACGAGGTAAGTTTATGCAAAAATTATAATATGATAAAAAAATGTCAACTTCTTGCAAATTAAAAAATAATTTATCTGCAACGACTTAAATTTCCAGTTGGTGGCTGACAAAACCAAGCACGCCCTGGAGGCTGGTTTGAAGGTCATTGCTTGCATTGGAGAGACCCTGGCCGAGCGAGAGTCTGGACAGACCGAAGCTGTCGTTTTCAGGCAAACCCAGGCTATCGCTGATAAAATTACCGACTGGAGCAATGTCGTTCTTGCTTACGAACCCGTCTGGGCCATTGGCACCGGCAAAACTGCCTCTCCTCAGCAGGTATAATTGAAAAAATTCAATTATTCGGAAAAAAAAAATGATTTGTTTATGTGAAAGAAAATTTATGGCTTTAAAAACTTTGTAACTGAATATACTATTGAATTTAAACTTCAATTACAAATTTGTATATTTTAGTAGAATTCTTAAGTTTCCACATTTCTTATTTTAAAAATTTATTCCTTACAGGCTCAGGAGGTTCACGCCAAGCTGCGCGAGTGGCTCAAAGAAAAGGTGTCACCTGAGGTTTCCGAGAATTTAAGGATCATCTATGGCGGCTCTGTAACAGCAGGAAATGCCAAGGAACTCGGCCAGGAAGGAGACATTGATGGTTTCTTGGTTGGCGGTGCTTCTCTCAAGCCTGATTTTATCCAAATCATCAACGCCAAGCAGTAAAAAGCCTTGAAGGTTCCCTGCTTGCATTTTATTTCAACGGTGCGAAATTCTGAACCTATTTCTTTATATATCTGATGTTATTTAATTGCCATAGAGTTTAAATGAGCAATGTAATTGTTAACCGGCAAGGTACGGAGAGAAAAAAGTATAAACGCAGTATCTGTGGAGATTCACAATAAAATCGAGTAGCTCTCATTGTTGGAATATTGAAAATTGCTTGTTTTTCTTAAAAAAAAAATATAGGTCAAAATATAATTAAAAATTTCTTATATAAAGAAGTAGTAAATAGCAAAGGCTTGTAAACATTATTTGATCACTTTTGCAATCAAAAGTTGCTCTTGCCGCGAAATGGAAAAGTGGTTTCCAGTGTTGGCAGCAGCATTCACGCTGTGATCGGTGACATGGGCAGAGCAAGAATGCATGCATGATTTTTCCCACCATCACCCCGATCGCGCCACCCCATGCATAAAACCGTGGTTGTTCGCCAGTCTGCGCGCAGACCATCTTCACGGACGGACAAGACCATGCGAGCCTTCGTGCCGGGAACTTTGGTGCTGCTCGCCCTTTGGCTGGTGCAAAACACCCTCGCGGCGCCCGAGACCGATGAGGCGTGCGAGAGTCTCCCTGCCGAGATCCACCTCATCAAAGGTTGAACAAAATTTTTACCAATGTTTCACAAATTATAATTATTTTTGCAGAGGAATTTGATGAGCTTGGAAGGTTGCAGCGCACTTGCAATGGAGACGTGGCTGTCAATAAGTGCGAGGGGCAGTGCACCTCTCAGGTCCAGCCCAGTGTTGTCACTCCAACTGGATTCCTGAAGGTAACGTATTTTTATTTTTATTTTTAAGAAATAGCTGAAGAACCAAGAATTTGTTTTTAATTTTATTTCAAATTAATGAATTTTTATTTATTTTGGCGTAGGAGTGCTTTTGCTGCAGAGAGACCTTCATGCGAGAACGCACCCTGACCCTGACACACTGCTATGACCCTGACGGCACGCGTCTGCACGGCGAAAAAGAAACCATGGACATCAAACTGAAGGAACCCGCCGAATGCAAGTGCTTCAAGTGCGGCGAGTACTCTCGGTGATTTTGCTGATGAGAACAAAAATACGACAAGCGAAAAAAACAGGCAGCAGAGCCCTACACGTTTCTTCCTTTAATTCCTATCATTATGTGGGCCATGTGAAAATACAGAAATGAAATAAAGAATTGAAAATAACAATCATTGTATTATTTGTGAATAAACTAAAAAAGAAATTTTTCCTCAATTTAAAAATATAAAATTATGAAAATAAAAATACAAAAAATTTGTGAAATTTGTGATATAATTAATAGATGAGATTGGCATATAAAAGGAGCCTATAATAATTTCCGTTTGAAAGGCTCATTCAAGAATATGGGTAGATCGTTTAAAAAAATGTAGAATTTACTATACTTTTTTTTTTTTAACATTTTACACAAAATTCAAGTTTGAAGTTCTAAATAATTTAATTATTGTTAATATACATACACTTTTTTTGTCGTAATTTCTTTAAATTTCTACATTAATACATAACAAAATAAGTTATTCAAATGGAACAAATACTATCAAATAAAATGGTAATGGAAAAATATCCACAAGCGTTGGAAAAGAAAAGAGAAAAATAGTTACAAGTGAATTTGAAGTACTTTCGACAGATTGCAAAAAAGTATTAGAGAAATTGAGTAATTCCATTGAGATGTGATTGATTGCATGTATTTGAGGTCAATAATCGCGGGTGTCTAAAAGGGTTACCCTTCTCCCCCAGAGGCGCGTACTGCCACCCCAATGCATGCTGCGCCGCACAGCAGGGAGAGAGGATTTCACAGCGCCAAAATCAAGGCGAGAGCAACAGCGAACAAGGCACGCAAAAATATAGCACGCATTTCAAAATGCAAATATAGCACTCATGACTAGTTTAATTTAATTAAAAAAAAAAAGAATTGTGGGCAATCCAAAAGTGTGACCTTGCATGAAGCACGAAGCTGTGACTATAAATTAATAAGATTGGTGACTTTTGCCATTTATGGTCTAACAATAAGAAATTCACTCTGGAAGTTTTCGATTATTAAACTAGATAATGGTTCTCTGTTAATTCAATGGTTTACTAACATAAAAAAAATGCAATTTTCTAACGATAAAACTTGACAATGTATCTGAAAGCCTTTTTAAATTTTGTTAGCAATAATATTAAAAGTTATTTCTAACAATAAGAGTCGGAAGTCTGAGGAGTCAATAGAACCTCATAAAAACTCAGGCTTTTTGACATCACCTTTAAAATTTCTTAAAATATAGGAAGTTGAAATTATTATTTTTTTTTCATGAGCAGTTAGTGTTGAAAATTGGGAAAAAATAAATCAAAAAGTTCTAGTCAGCCTTTCATTATATCGATTTGTAAAAATTTCTCTCTATTTACAAAAATGATTTGAATCAAATGGATTTAGCCAAGACCAATTACCCTTTTGTTGTATGGCAAAAAAGTAAAGGGAAAAATCATCAATCTGAGCAAGAGATTGGTAAACCGCACTGGCTGCGGGGTTGACAAATAGGGGTGGGGTGACGCATTTAAAGGGTCGTGGCGCGGCCGCAGCAGCAGAGACGCTCTGATTGTCGCTCCGAGATGAGCACTGGCTGGCTGCAGGCGCTGCTCTCGGTGGCCGTCGGCCTGCTGGCGGTGGCCGCTGCAGACGAGTGCTCGGTCACGCCCGTCATCCACGTGCTGCAGTACCCGGGCTGCGTCCCCAAACCCATCCCCAGCTTTGCCTGCACCGGCAGATGTACCAGCTACCTTCAGGTAACGACTGGTATGGTAGGGTATTCATTTTCCATTCGATTCATTCACATTTCAAAATTGTTACAAAGATAAAAGATTTCATGATTTTTTTCTTTTTGGGCAAAGGTTTCTGGGTCTAAGATTTGGCAAATGGAACGGTCATGCATGTGCTGCCAGGAAAGTGGCGAGAGGGAGGCCAGTGTGACCCTCTTCTGTCCCAAAGCAAAGCCCGGAGAACGAAAATTCAGAAAGGTTAGTAAATTTTTGGCCAAAATCGATGTTTTTTAATTGTTTGAATTACTTCAAGGTGGTAACAAAAGCTCCCCTGGAGTGCATGTGCCGCCCGTGCACTGGGGTGGAGGAGAGCGCCGTCATACCCCAGGAAATTGCTGCTTATGGAGACCAAGGACATCTGACGGCCCACTTTATCAGAAGCAACCAACTCTAAAAACCGTTTTTCGATTCTGCTCGGCTGCTGTGCAAAATTGCGTTGAAATAAATTGAGGGTGTAATATTATTCGTATATAACAAACGATTTTCTTATTTTCTTTGAATCAAAATTCCCAATATATCCGATTTAATTCAGGCGTCACCTGCGTTGTTTTTTATTTGTTACCTTAACAAACTACTGCTACCCATAAGTGTTGTTATCAATATTATGTTTAAAAAAATAAAATTGAGAGGTATTGAGTCTACGTTACTTTGATGGCTCCTCCGATGTCAGATCCAGAGTTAAGTAATTGACCAGCCTTACATTTCCAAACCTTAAGTAGTAACTCTCGTGGTTGTCATCAAAAATGGGCAAATTTAGAGATGCGTAAATTAATAAATAAGGAGGAATGCGCAGCGGCTTGTTTAGATGTTGTAGACAGGCAGATCGGCCAGATTAGCCTTATCTTGCTCAGACTCGTCCCTGCAGATCATCAGGGTGTGCCCCATGCCCATTTCGATTGCGTGCACATGAATACCATCCATCAACTTCACTTCCGTCGGGTTTGCAGATGACTTTTTTGTCTCTCCAAGTCCCTGAAAACCAAAAGATAAATGGTAAAAAATCTACCAATCCTTATTAAAAAATATATTTATTTTCTTATTTTTAAGAAATTTCACACGACTTGTTCAATTTAAGAAGCATAAAAAATTAGCAGAAAAATGTCAAATTGAAATAAATTGATCTGTTTGAATTTAAATGTGTCGTTTATCCATTTATAATTTGTATAATAAACACTTTTATTCAGAAATATCCTATTTACCAGTTCACCATAGGTGGGGGAGCATCCCCAGCCTATGACAGACTCATCAGCGGCCACCATGACACTTGTCACGGAGCAGCCAATGCTCCTAACGTCCCATCCACAGAGATCCTGCACTGGTTTGGGATACATGTTGGCCTCCCCTGTGCGTTTGGTCATGCCCCATGAGAAAACATTTCCTGCAAATTGAACGGTTGAGAAAAAAAATCTATGAGACAACTTCTTTTGGTACCATTTTCAGCCAGAGCCAGACTGTATGTGGACCCAGCAAATACTTTCTTAATGCCTCGGGTCTGTGTGTCGAAATACTTGATTCTCCTGGGCACCATTTCGTCTTTGGTTTCGGCATGTCCAAGGCGGCCGTAGCCACCGAAGCCCCAGGAGAACACTCTCCCCTTGGAGTCGACAGCCACTGTGTGGTTGACACCACAGGCCACATCCTGAATGTCAACGTCATCCACAGGAGTGCTGTGGTTGTCCCGACCCTGCTTTTCGATGTACATTAGAATGCGTTTCGGCTTTGTCTCGTTATTGAAGCCCAGTTTGGTGCTTGTGATGAAGTACTTTCCATCGGTATTGTGACCTAGTTTAAATAATTCAATCATTAAACAGGTTTTTAGTTATTAATTAACTTTATAAAAAAGATTTTAAAATAATTTTAATAGTGGCAATGCCATGTATTTTAATTTAAAAAATCCTCCCTAAAATAATTTATTCCTTCCTCTTTATATGAAAGTAACTTTTAAAGTAATAGATTTTTTATACCATACCTAACTGGCCATATTCAGGCAGTCCAAAAGTGAACAAAACTCCACGGCAATCAAGGATAGCAGAGAACTCTGCGCCACAAGAAACCTTCACAATTGGCGCTCCCTGATGTTTGATCTGTGGTTCTTTCACATTATAAAGTGATACAAAATGTTAACAAATTGCACCTTTGTTGCAGTCAAAACAGGGTTTGTATTGCCAACCCCACACTGGCCACATTTGTTATCTCCGGCACTGTATACTTCGCCTCGATCTTAAATGGAACAAATTTTTAAATCAACAAAATTTTAAATTTTATTTAATTATTATGAAAATCTAATGAAATTTTAACAACATTTCTATGTAATATTGTTTACCAGTGAGGAACAAAGTGTGATGTCTGCCACAAGCAGCTCCAACAATTTTTTCACCCTTGAGACTCTCCACTAACGTTGGAATGTCTCGTCTTTCCTCATCACCCAAACCAAGTTGCCCTTTAACATTCCTTCCAAAAGTGAAGCACTTTCCATCCTCAGTGACAATAACATTATGTCCTGCAATCGAAAATAATCATTTTCTCGATATTAATTGAATTTAGAGACAATTTACCTGAGCAACCTCCAGAGGTGGCGACCCGAACGCGGACATCCTTCAGTGGGCCGAAGATATGAGGGCTCCAGAGCGTGCGCCCCTGAGGCACTGCAGGGGCGGCCTGCTTGCTGTCGCGTTTGCCGACCATGTCCCAGTTGAACTGACCGCAGACAACAAGCGTGCCAGCGTGTTCAGGACCCTGCACCAGCTGGAAAATGCAGAAGTTTCGAATTTGAAAAGTAGCGCAGGTTCAATGGACGAAGTCGAGCATACCGGCTTAGCGTCTCCGCTGCTGTCGGCGGCATCAGGCTCCTTTTTTTCCTCCTCCTCGAGCTGCGGCTTTTTGGCCTCACTGCCGTCCAGCTCCTCGTCGGCCTTGCGTTTCTCGCTCATTTTCTGCGCCGGTTGCCGAAAATTCGTCCGGGGACGTCAGTCACAGATCCGCAAACGGTGTACGCAGTAAATCTGCAAAGCTTCGCTTTTTGGTTTTTATGTCTGCTGATGGGAAAATTTGCGGAAGATGCGATGCGTCAACCAAAATCACAGAAAACGACGCTGACAACGACATCTGTGAGCCCGCCAAAAAACGAAATTGATTACCAACATTGAATTAAAAATAACTGTTTTAATGATCTTTAATTCCTAGATGACGATTTCAGAATTATTAACCGTGGAATTTATGAAAATAAATTTTCTTAACGGAAAGATAAGATTAAGTATGTGATTACACTTAATTTAAATAGGGAAAAATGGGAAATGATATTATTTTTTAAAGTAAATTCTTTAACTGTTAAAAACCGGTCAATTAAAAAAATAATTGAAAATATTTTCGATCTTTCGAATTCCGCTAATCCTTTTAAAAGCATTTTCAATTTTTTTATGAATATGAATATGAAGAAAATGTATTACTTACATTTTAAAATGTTGCATCAATCTGCTCAAAATCTAGAGATTATTTCAGAAAAATAAAACACCGGTATCATTGTTGTAAAAAAATCGTCTCGCGGTCGCTGCTCCTCCGAGAGAGCGTGAACCGCCGTCGGTGTGGCAACGCTGTGTTTCTGGCATGTATTTATCTGCGGCCGACATGAATGGTCTAATTCAAGCGGGCGAACAGTGAGATCGGTCGGAAAATCGCGGTTTATCTCGGCCATCGGCAGTGTTCGAGGCTGGACGAGTGTCCGGAAGGGTGCAGCGAGAATGGCAGGAGGCGCAGACGGGCGCAGTTTTCAATGAGAGCGTGAACAAGAGCCAAGTGTCATGAGTCTCCAGAAGGGCAAACACCCTAGTGCAGGACAGATTCAGCAGCCCCAGCAGCGGCCGCCGTACCCTTCGTCTGCCTACGCGGCGCCCCCGCCGACTGGCTACCCCCAGTATATTCTTACCGGCCGGACGCCGCAGGATCCATCCAGAGTCGGTAAGCAAAGCCATAAATTCAAATGCTCCACCCCAGCAAGCTCTCGTTTTCGGACGCCGGACGTCCGCCGGAGGGCCTCTGCCCTGACTTCCGGATACGTCCTCTCACCACGCTTTCCGAAAAGGACGTCGTTGCATTTCCGCAATCTTAATTTTCATCTCAAATATCAATGAATGCTTTTAAAACCACGCTTTATGTAAGTTCCGAGATGCTTCGGGAAATTTGAGACAAATTTGCAATCTTTCTCGAAGGAAAGTCAAGTTGAAATTGAAAATCAGGGCTGATGTTTTGATTGTTTGCGGTGGTGTTTTCATCACAATGGCGCTGACGAGCGAACTGAAGTAGAGTCTGTCGTCCCCATTTCGCAACCGGACGATTTCTAAAGTCTAAAGACGTGCCAGGGTCCTGGAATTTTCCAACTCTCGTAATCTCCCCTCGGGTCTCTTTGAAATCTTTGAATGCATTATAATCAAATCAAATATAAATAAATGCCAAAAAATTCAAACTTATCCTTTGAAACCAACAGGTGGAAAAATGAAAGAAAATTTGCAAGGCGGATTTTTAAATTTGATTATCAAACTTTTCATTCTTAAAGAAATTTTTTATTTTGTAATATATCAGAACACTGGGTGACCTTTTGTCATTTCGGCACAAGCTGAGCAGTGACCTTGCCAAAACTAGGTCACTTCAAATAAGAAACTTGATCGCTCAAACGTGATCTTCAGGGTACATATTATTTCTAGAAATTTTGCACTTGGCCCATCTTTGGGATTCATGAGGTATTTTTTAGTTCCTTGGGAAGGGTGCTTAATACAAAATGAGAGCTCAGAGAGCATAAATGTTAGTTCTATTTTTAAGGGGGTAGAGCAATTTGTTTATTATGTTTTAAACTCAACATGCAAAATTTAAAAATAATTAAATAATATGTAAAAATTGTCAACTTAAGAGCAAATGATAAAATTTTCGTTAGGAATTTTCTTTTAAAAAATTGGTTTCTTTTGTGTTCGACGAAAATGGTTTTTAATTAAAAACAAAAAAAGAAACGTTTTTTGTGACTTTTTGCTCTTATAGTTGATTCAAAGGAATCTCCACTTTCGCTTGCTTATCTTCAAGAGATATCATTCTATTTTTGCCTAACGTCATTTTTCTCGTGATCATTTCAACTTTTAGCTGATTATAAAATGACAGAGAGTGTGCGATTTAAACGGTCTTTTAATTAAATCAAAGGAAATAAAATTAATTTACTATGATTTACTAAGAAAAGTCTATGACTTTCAATCTTGGATTATTATTTTCTGATCATGTGCAATCAATTTGCAAACATTTTACAGTGTGGTTTCGAGGTCCAAGACTGCTAAGAATTCAAATCATATATTTTTTCACACAAAATTTATAATATTCTGAAATTAAGCCTCATTCTTTGTTGATATTTGATAAAAAATAATTAAATTTTTGCAATATTGAGATAAAATGTAAATTTTATGAGCCAAAGTTAAGCTTGATTGTTTAAAAATCAAAATTACTTGATTTTTCTTTTCATCGTGCCAAATGTTTTAAAAAAACTTTACGAAATGAAATAATATTTTAAAAAATGACATTTAATTTCACATTTTTTTTTTCATACAGTGTAGTGTTTTTTTTTTCATTTGTTTGTGATAATAGTGAGCAAGCAAGTTCCTCATGGAAATTCATGCAGACGGATATTTAACACAACTTTTTAGTCAAAATTTTGATTACTTCTTGAAAGAGTTGGAATATCATTCCTGAACTTTGGTAAAAAAAATCTAATATCGGCTTGATTGTTTAATTAAACTTAATCATCAGGGCTGTATCTTGGAATTTGCACTCAGCTCATCTTTGGGACTCATGAGGCATTTTTTGAGTTCCTTGAGAAGAGTGCCAAATAAAATGAGAGCTGCATTTATAAATGTTAGCTCCATTATTTAATGGAGCGATTCGTTTATGGATATAAACTCCCAACATTCAAAATATAAATGTTAATTATAAAAAAGTTATTTTCAAATTCTCGTAAAAGTTCATTACCAAATTTACTCAATAGGTTATCAAACTAGTTCTTAATGAGTTCTTTAATGAAAAATTGTTAAATGCCACAGCAATTATATTTCAAAGAATGTGAGTTAAATTCTGTACCTTATTTCTATTTAAAAACTGCAATCTCAGGGTAGAAAATGTAAGCGAGTGATTCCAAAATAACGTTACTTTTGTCTTGCTCTTGTGCTTCAAATTATGGAATTAGCCCATGTGACAGGGGGAGAAATACTTCAACCAATGTAAAGCCACGTTCAAACTTCAAACCAACAAAAGAGACCACAGTGAGCATCCTGTTTATCACATTGGGAGATAAATCTATAATTGGACAACTCGGTGCTACTAATCCATAGTTCTCTCCGTTGTTTAAAAAAATTAATTATGATAACTATACAGAAATCAGCTATGTTCCTTAAAAAATGCTGTGAATTTTCCAAATAATTGATTTAGATATTATTTAATTAAAAATACTCTGGATTGGCGAAAGTTATCTCTTACAACGGCAACAGTTTAATCTGTGGGAAAAAAATTGGCGTGAACTTGGAGGCGGCACAGTTGGTGGGGCGGCAGCTAGATGTCGCGGGGGTCGGGGTCGTTGATCTGTCTGCCACCACATGCACCCCCGTCGCACCGCTCCCTCATGCAGCAGCCCCTGATCGCGCGAGTCAGGCGAATAGCCACAGATCGATGACAACACAAGCTGCATCTGCAGCACGCCCATCCGACTTTCGCCGCCCCCGGCCGCCTCCGAGGCCGCCCCTCGCACGCCACGGCCCCCACATGGTGCAGCACCGGTTCGCGAGTGGCGCCAAACCCCCGCCGGGGGGCTGCCTCATGCCCGGGGGGCCGCCAAGGGCCCATCAGGTGGCTGCCCTCGCCGCCCCCTTCTTGCACAGTGAGTCACCCCCAAAACGCCAATTAAAGCTACAATCCTCTCATATGTCATGGCAATTATTATAAAATTATATTTCAATTTGTCAACTAGAAATACATTCAAAATTAATAATTAAAATTTGTGTCCAAAGTGAATGATTCGACGTGCTTTATATGTTCAAAAATGTTTAAAAAAATTAACATTTATACTAATTTTAATTCATTTTTATTAAAAAAATTTGCGAATCACTTTGATGCAAGTGACTGACGCAGATTTTTATTATCACCATTCCCGCAGTAAATAATGGCAGCCATTTTATCCCAGCACTCTGTTGTGCTGCATTCATTGAGATGAACACCTGCCTAGTTTGAAGAAAAGTAAACTGATCAATAAAAAATCAATTTACAAAATCCGTAAGATTTAAATTGTTAAAAAGGGACTCTCCATTAAAACCCCCTCATAACCTGCTATCACATCTGTTGTATTTACAGGGTCAATGACTTAGTTGTTTAGCAAATAAAATCCTGATTTAGTGATTTTCAATGTTTTTTTCTGTTTGACAGGAGCAGACACGGCGTACGGAGGTCCAGGCGGCCACCAGGTGTACGCAGCTGCCGGGCAGAATGTGCAGTCCAACTCGGCCAACATGCGGGCCCAGATGCAGCAGCCGAACCCGTCGTCGACCCCGCCAAGTCAACAGCAGAGCCAGCAAATGGGCGATCTGAGCAAAGGCCCGCACGGCATGCAGCAACAGTCGTTGGCAGGTCAGTTTTTGAAATTTTTCTGTGTTGAAAAAAACTATTTCAATTTTTATGGTGCGTTGCAGGGAACAGTTTCCAGTACATTCAGCAGCACAGAGGAGGTCAGCAGTCTCAGGTGAGTCACCTTTAATTCTCATTGCTAACAGCCGCTTGGTGTTGAGAAGCCACTCCGCAAACTCAGGCTTTTTGCAAGGAAACATTAAAAATCTCTCAAACAGACTGATGAATTATAACTGGGTTTGAACTCAAACCCTGAAAGGGAATTTTTTTGGAAGATTTTTAAATTTTCCTTGCATAAAAGTTTGACTCAGAAAAGCTCGACTGACTATGCTGAGAACCACTCACTCAGATTTGGCTGTTTGCTTTCTTGATCCGTGATCGTGTGGTGATTTCTCTATCTGTGTGTGGTGTAAATAAGCGCAGATCAATTAATTAACTTGTTATTAAGATTAATCAGTGTTCCAATTTGGGTCTTGCTGATTGGGTGCTTTGTTCTGGGAGCTGGACTCTTAACTCCATCATTCCAATCTCAACGCACATTTAAATCTGAATTTTTAAAAAAGTTGTTAATTTACAAACCTAAGGGTATTTATCTGTACATGGGGGAATTAAAGTCAATAATCGCACATTTGAATCCAGCAACTCTAACAGTCACTTTGTGTAATTATTTGTAAAACAAAAAGTTAGTTAATTTAGGTCTGTGCAGAATTTGAAAATTTCTGCACTGGACCACACGAGTTTTTCCAACCTTCGACGTGAGGAAAGAAACCAACCAAAAATGTTGTGTAACTATTTTTCAGTACATGGCGCGCAACCCAATTAACCAAAGGATGCAACAACCAAACCATAGGCCCGTGGCTCCTAACACTATGTCACAAACTCAGCTTGGATATTCCCCTCAGGTTAGCCTCCTGTCTCTATCTCTATCTCACAAACACCCAACACGTACACACACACTTGCCTCTCATGCAGTGCCCAGGTGCTGGTTAATTTTTATTTCAATTTTTCCAAATATTTCAAACTGGTGGTGTGCTTTTTGTTGCCTATTAATACATTTCACCCCGCTTTGTTTTCATTAATCGTCCGCTTAAAACGCCTCGGACTTATCAAAAGGTTTTCCTTCTGTTACAGATGCATCAAACAATGTACGCGATGAATCCCGGCATGGCCGCAAACCAGGCCACAATTATTCCTAATATTTATCAGGTAAGCTGCGCACAAAATATCGTAATAAATTTTATCAGCTGTTCAAAACGGATGTTCCTCCTCAAATAGTCCCAATCTAAACTTTATTGCCCACACCGGAACTATTTATTACTGCTAAGTGGCAAGTGGAGTTCAAGGGCGCAAGCCTAGCTGCTGTCGGAAGCAGAGCAAAGACCCACTGACTTTGTACGAAGCAACGGATTCGCCATTCTTTGCGGTGCACCTGCGATGCCGCTTTGGCTGGTGCTCTCGTTACGTCAGCAGCATCTGATGGATGCACGCACGCACGTACTCTCTCCCTCCCTCGACCGTTTCCCCTCACCTGGCTGACTGTGTGCTTTTTGAGCAGCAGTCGTGGCAATCACGAACTAACTTTCGTCATATGGCCCTTGCCGTTGAATAGAGTTTGCCCCAAAGTCGAAAGCCGCGGCCCTCGTGGGCCTCCAGAACGTCATGTACGAAAACTGGGACCCCAATTACCCGCCCCAAATGGTGAGTGTTTCCCTTTTTAACACGCCTTGCTTCCTGCCAGTAGGACATTTTTGTTTGAGCAGCTGATTGAGACAAAATTCCTAAAAATTTGGCACTTCAAAATTTAAATGATTTCGCTTAAAAATTGTAAATTTATCTATACTTTTGTTGTTAATCAAGTTTCTAGTAATTTATTTTTAAATTTAATATTTTTTTTTCTAATTTTGTAGGGTTGGATTACAAACATATTATCTATTTTGGAATCATGTCTCAAATATTTTAATCCCAAGACTGAAACTATCGAAAACTAAAATTGTGTCACTGGAGAACAGAGTTTTTTGCAATCTCTTTTATTGATATTGAATGTTCATCGGTGATTGGTACCGTGTGAACGGCATGGTGACGTGGGATTCGAACAAGGAAGACTGGAGCAGCCAAAAAACTGCTCTCTTGAGGCGCCTGCCTTCACTTGACTTTCATTTGCGTGAACGCTAAATTATCTCACACCCGTCTTTTTGTGTTGTAGTATGCACCACGAGGGGCGGCTCCCTATTACCCCGGCCAGCCAGCGGTCTATCCGCAATTTTTTGCCGTGCAGTACCCAGGAGGCCAACAGAGTACAGGTGCCCTTTCACTTTTTGACCTCTTTTAGTAACGTTTTTTACTTAAAATTGCAGCCATGATTTACAATGGACAAGGAGTGCCGATGATGCGAAATGCCTTGAGTCAGCCCCAAGCCTCCCAGCACATGATGGCCGCCCCTGCGGCGCCAGCGCCGACACCACCCCATCAGCAACAGCAGCAACAACAACAACAACAGCAGCAGCAGCAGCAACAACAACAGCAACAACAACAAATGGCAACTGCCCAGATGCCAAGTGTCCCCATGCAGCAGCCGCCCCCGCCGCAGAGCTCAAGCTCTGGCAGGAGGAAGAATGCGATCAAAATTATCGACCCTAACTCTGGAAAAGACGTGCTCGAGGAAATGCTCGAGAGTAGTCACAGCAACACGGCCACGCCGCCCAGGTCGGGCGACTCGAGTGCCAGGCAAACTCCTCAACCGGTAAGTTATCTATGCAAAAGTTAATTTCCAGCTGTTTACAAAAGATAAACTATAATTTTCAGCTTTGGAAATGGGAAAGGCTCAGTCAAGTAATGTTATTAGAGTATTTTAAAACAAATTAAATCTTAACATAGGAAGCGTTTCATAATTATCACGTTGACTTATCTTTTTTTCTTTTAATACTGTAATTTAAAACTGTGTAAGCATTTACAAAAAATTATTTAAAATCTTTCATTTTTAATTGCAGAGTCAAGTGGAACACAATGTTGCTGCTGAGTTTGCTGCCAAAGTGGCAATCGCTGCTGGTGAAATTCGTAGGCAGGAAGACTCTGCGGCAGCAGTGGTACCTTCCGCGCCCCAAATATCCGAGCCGCCTCCCCGAGTGCCGAGCGTTGGTCCCACGAACGGACCCGTTCCCCCTGAAGACTCGAAACCGAAATCGAAGACTAAGGTGTGGGTAAAAGAGACGCCGAAAGAGAGTCCCACACCCGCAATTGAGACTGCTGAGGTGGAGGTTCCAAAGGAGGAACCGGCCGCACCTGCTCCCGCGTGGGGCTCTAAACCTCAGAGACTTCCAAAGCAGCAGCAGCAACCAGTGCAGGAGCCGCCCCCTGCTGTGGTGGAGCAGCAGCCAGAGACGCCTGCTGGTCAGACGGAAGCAGCTGAAGGTCAGCCGAAATTTTAAATCATATAATTTATTTTTTATTCTTTGAGATGGTTATCTGGCAAGCATGCCAAATTTAATGCAAAGCCAAATTTGTAAATTAAATTTTTTTGACCAGTTATTACAAACTTTTTGCCACTAAACAAAAACTAGTTTAAATAGCAACTTGAAACATAATCTTTGTGGCATTTTTGCAATTGGCCCATTTTTGGGACTCATGAGGTATTTTTTGAGTTCCTTGGGAAGGGTGCTAAAGCAAATGAGAACTGGAAGCAGCATAGATGTTAGCTCTATTTGCAAGGGGTAGAGCAATTTGTTTATGTTTTTAAACTCTCAACATCCGATTCCTAATTTTTAATATGAGGAAAATAATTTTATAAAAAGTGCATCAAATTTGTAGAAAAGACTATCAAATATAAAAAAAATGATATTAAATTTTGGAGAAAAAATGCTGTAACAAAACAAAATTCAAATCATGTGCAATCATGTGTTGAAAATTGCTTTACACTGTCCGATGTATACTCTTTTGTAAGACAGGTTATGACCGAATTTGCTTAATTATTAAAAAGCAGACTGTGTAAATGAGCGACCTGCGCCTTTAAACCGCGCGACACACTGACTGAATGACGGACGAACTGGCTGGCTGGCTCTCAGCCTGTAAGAAGGCCGTGCCATTCTTTCTTTCTCTCGCTCGGCGGCTGTGCAAAGTCAGTCTGCTCGCTCAAGTGCACGTGGCACCGCTGCGACTTGCGGTCGCTGCCCGTTTCTCTGGCCAAAACACCCTCCCCAAAAGAACAACTGAAGGGTGAGTCAGGCACGCCGAATGCAAAGGACGAATCCATTTGCAGGCGCGATTCGGATTTTCCGCATCTCAAGGTCATTCGGGTAATTCCGTCGCTAAGGCCGCACTAACGGCAGACACTACATGTCGCCTGAACAGAGCCCGGAAGTTTTCCGCTCGTTTTTCCGGACGTTCAAAATGTCACATTTTTTCACGTCTTTTTTTTATTTTTTAATAGAAATTGCTCAAATAGGGTGCGAGCCGCGTTTGACTTATGCTAATCAGAGGTCGCGATCGCGATGACACTTCGGTTTTCTCGTCGTCGACCACTTGGAACAGCTGTGATCGGAAAGCGATCTTTCCCGCTGAACGGGTCACCGTCCTAGATTTGTCCGTCGTTTGGTTGTGACGTCACGCCACTCGCCTGGTAACAATCGGACACATTTCGCTGTAACACTTTCACTCGCAGGTCGACCCTTGCCTTGCACCTGCGGTTCGTACCTACCGCGCTGATTTCTTTCCACTTCAAAATTTTTTCATTTAATTTAGTACGTGGTTATGTCAGAATCGACTAGAAGCGTCGAGTAATTATTATTGAAGAAATTCGGTCAATATGCAATATTGTGTCGATTAATTGCATTAATGCGTTCAGAGCCGCGAGGTCTAGTTGTAGAAAGTAAAAACTTCTTGCTCTCGTTTTGTGAAGGCGTGGTCGTTGCTGTTGCTAATTTACCCACCGATCAGAAAAATTATATAACTCGAGTTGCATTTTTTCGCTCTTATTACGGAGTTGGCTGGTGTGGGCAGGCGACGCCCAGCCCAGAGAGGAAAAACTTGCAACCGCGGGTGGACCGGTTTGTTTTTTGCACCCGACTGGTTCTTTTTGCTTTTCACGCACGACCTTCGACGCATAGTGCATACAATTTTATAAAAGTTTGTTTCACTCTCGGGAAAAAATGGAATGAAAAATATCTTGAATTTATTTAATTAACTTTGGTTTTGCACTGAATCGAAATATTTGCCTGCTAAATTTAATAAGAAAGTCGTCTGTAAATTTATTGTTTAAAATAACTAAAAACCAAAACGCATATGATTGAATTTTGAACTCGAAAAAAGTGAAACATGAAAAAATAGAACAAAAAAGTACCAAGATATTTCTCAATGATCAAAAACTGGGCCAAACTTCTTGACAAAGTAAATCACTAATGAAACTGAGATCGTTTGAAATTTAAAATCTGTGGTGCGGGCGGCGTTTGCGAGAGGGCGTCCGTCTGTGCCTCTGGGGCCGCCGCCAGAGGCGACGGCAGAGCAGCAAGAGCGCCGGCAGCGGTGCTCTCGCGTAGTCGTGGAAAAAGTAGTGTCGAGGGTCGGAATGTGGAGTCGGCGGCCGAAACACTAAGAGGCCATGGACAAGGCCTCGGGCGGCGGGCGCCGCCGCGGAGGCCCCGGAAGCGGCGGCGCCGGCCGCAGAAACTCGACCAAGGGTGAGTGGCCGCCCCCGTTCGCCGCCCCCTAATCCGCTTAGCCACGTCTGTGTACGCAGAGAGGAAAACGTGGTCCTTCATTGATCTTTGCCCGCGGCCATTTACTCTCTGTCTGCACTGCAAAAGTCGACGACTGACCTCTGACCACAGAATTGCGCTTTAAAGTTCAATCAGGCTCTAATTGCAATTTATTTGTCGCTCAAGGATTGCTGAAATAAGTTTTGAAACTTATGCGTTTTTCCCAAAGAATTTTCTGTCTTGGAATTTTCATCTCGAGTCATGGTGCCTGCATAACTTCCTTAAACATGACGTCACTTTTGTTTGTTTAATTTTTGCTCTCTCTTCCCTTTGACATGTCACTGATTATTATTGTCCACTGAAAAGAAAATATATCTGGAAAGTAGCACATAAATTCTATAAAAGTCTCATTGCTAATTTAGTTGTTTTCTAAGGTTGGTATTTATTTGTAAAAATGTTCTTATATCAGTCATAAATTTTGAAATTATTTTTTTATTCAATTAGTGATTGGTTCTAAAAGATTGGAACATTAGAAACCTTACACGACAAAGAAATTAAAAATTTAATCTCTTAATAAAATGTGACAAGATGGAAAAATTTTCAAATCTAAATTATGTAATTTGTGAAATTTGTATCTGCTCCAATTAACGTGCAAGAAGAGCTAATGGACCGGAAAATTCTGTCTTCGATTGGAAGCCTTGGATGAAAATATGCGATCGATCGGTTTGCGTGCATTTGTCTGTGTTGATTCAATTAGCGGATCGATCCGCGGTGTGCCGTTTCGCCGCGGCTCCCCCACACCGGTCGGCCTGACTGGCTACTCTCCTCCGTCTTTCGATTTGTTCTTGTTGGCTATTTTTAGAAAAGCCGTGGATGCGTGGCTATTCTGGATACCAAACCGCGCCGCGCGCGCGAGTGAGAGAATCTTTACACCTCTCACGTCTAATGTATAATTGTGGCACCGACCCCGAACCCGCCCGCCAGCTCCAAACCGAGACATTCCATTGTCTCCAGATGGAACGGAAGTTGGATTAATTTTCTCGGTTTGGAGACGCTTGCCTAGTAGGGGGTTGGAATATCACAAACACATGCAAAAAGAAATAATTAACTTTGATCTTACAAAGTGTTAGAGATTTTTTGGAAGAAAAAAATTGACGTGAAAAACTTCAATGATAATATGAAATAAATAATAAATAGTTTTTCTCCACTTTTCCAAATCTTTTGAAAATTTTGAAACGTTTCTTGATAATTGAATTTTTTTATTATTATTCTTTTAGGGCGAAATCAGTGGCGCCAACCTGCTCGAAAGCCTTCACAGAAAGAAGCAAGCAGCAAAGAGGCACCGCCGGCGCAGACCTCGACGCAGCAGCCCGAGACTCCAGTGCAGCCTCCGCTGCCAAAGGAGCCTCCACCTGTGGAGGAACCGCCGCCGCCACCGCCTCCAGAGCCCGTGGTCGCCCCTAAAGCACCCTCTCCATCGCCGCCAAAAGAAGTCAGAGAGCCCTCGCCGCCGCAGTTGTCAAGTAACGCAAAGACTGCACCAGCCGCCCCCACCAATATCGACCTGCCTCCTGCACTACAGGTTAGTAATCAGAATTTTAATTGACTCAATTTTTAGAGTCAATTTTTTTCAGTTCTTACTTAGTGATGAAAACTTTTATTTTGCCAAACTAGAGTTTCTGAAATTTTGTGATCTTTTTAATAAATATCTGAAAGTTTTAAACCTCTTTTGAATTAATTTTTTTTTACCTTGTTGTGTATTTTGCTAAAACTTCTCTTCTTGCACAGGAGGAGATTAAAATGGTGACCATTGAAGATAAATTGGTGGCAGCTAAAAATGAAGAGAACTCCAGAAGCTCCGTCGTAGCAGACGCCGTCGTTGCCCCTTCTGCAGGTTCTGGCTCAAATACTCCTACTGTGATTGAGCAGCAGCTTCCCGATTTGACGACTAAAATAGTTTATAGTGAAGGTGAGAATCATGCAACCCTTCTGCTAGTCATCCTTTACAAATGATGATAACCTTTGTTAGCCAAACTAGAGTTTCTGAATATTTGTGATCTCAACCAATTAACTATCTGAAGTTTTTTAATCTTATCAGAACTTAATTGCTTGAAAAGGAAGTTCTTAGGAAAATTAATTTATTTCCAGATCAATGGAGTCCTTTTAATAAAGAAGGAAAGAAAAGGTATGATAGAGACTTCCTGATGCAACTACAGTTCGACACGCAGTCCCTCAAAAGGCCAGAAGACCTGCCCAAGCTTGACGTTGTTGTGGACAAGGTACGATAATATCTGTCAAATTTGATTTTTACTTAAAAGACTTCAAGGATGATACCTATTTCCATTTGCCAAACTAGAGTTTCTGATTTGCAGTGATTTATTAGGAAGCTGAATAAATTAAATTTATCAATGAAACACTTTTATTTAATGTGAGGATATCTTGTCTAAAATTTCTATCTGCAGAATCGACCTGTTTCTTCGCGACCTGTGGGTAATTTGAACAGAACTGATGCTGGCTCACTGTTGATGCCAAATTTCATGAATCAAACTCCTAGAGGGGTGAGTTTCCTCCATTTTATGCTACGCGTATTTCTAAATTTTTTTATGTTTTCCTAGTCATTACTCCGTAAGAGTAGTCAACAGGGCAAACCCAAGCCCACCAAAGTGATTCTAAATCTATCGCTCAATGAAGATGTCAAACTGAATGAAACCGAAAATGCATGGAAGCCAACAGTGCTTGGCCAGAAGCCGCAGGGCGACAATGGCGAAGCTGATAATGAAGAGCTTTTCAAGAAGTTCCGCAGCATCCTCAACAAGCTCACCCCGCAAAAGTTTGACCTGCTGGTCGAGCAGGTTAAGAAAATGGAAATTAACACGAGGGAGAGGTTGAAGGGCGTTATTGATCTAGTGTTTGACAAGGTCAGTTATAATTTAAAATAATGCCTGTAGAATTTAAAGCATGTTTTTATTTTCTTTGAAGGCTGTTGACGAGCCTGGTTTTTGCGAGACGTATGCCAAGTTGTGCCAAACTCTGTCCCGACTGAGCGTGCAGACGGGCAAGAGCGACCCCAAAGGAAAGGGCGAGGAGGTTGCCAACTTCAAGAAGGAGTTGCTGCAGAGGTGTCAAGAGGAGTTCCAGAAGGAGAAGCAGCGCAATTTCAAGTTCGCCGAGCAGAGGGAAGACTTGCTCAAGAACATAGCCAATGCTGAGGCTGACAAGAGAAAAGAACTTGAAATGCAGCTTGAGGAAGAGGACAGGCGGATGAGGAAAAAATATGTTGGTGTCAATAGGTGAGAAGGCGGATAATTATAAAATGTCATCAATCCCATTTTTTATGAAAAAAAAAAAAAATTATAGATTCATTGGCGAGCTTTACAAGATTCATATGCTGACTGGCGCCATTATGATGCAGTGCATTTGCAAACTGCTAGAGAGCCACAACGAAGAATCTTTAGAGTGCCTTTGCAAACTCCTCACAACCATTGGCCAAGACCTGGAAACAAGGATTGAAAAGAATGCAAAGGCTTTGGTAGAAATATTTCAATTTCAATTTGATGTGGTTTTAATTGTACTTTGGATTGAAGGACTTGGAAGCTCAAATCAAGGTGATGAAGTCGATCGTCAAGGGCAGGCAGACGTCTTCGCGCATCAGATTCATGCTGCAAGATGTGATTGACTTGCGTGACGACAACTGGAAGCCGAGACGGTCTGACCAGGCGCCCAAGACCATGGATGCCATTGCCAAGGAGGCTGAGCAAGAGCAGATGGCCATCAACCTCAATACGCAAACGCCAATGCGAGGAGGAAAGGATGACCGCGATCGAGACAGGTTAGTACAAAGACGTAATTTGAAACTTGTGGAAATAAATTCACACATTTCTTAACTTGGCAAAAAATTAAAGGAAGGGAAAATAAATGTAAAAAAATTCTATGGTGTATTCATTAGATACAAGTCTCACCACTTTTTTCCACTTCCTGCATAAGAATGAATTTCCCACAATCAAAATTATAAATCATGCCAATGATGAAAATTTTGGAGAAACATGAAATTATAAGCCTTAACATTTATTACCAGATCTGGCAAGAGGGGTCGTGGCGGCATGTCTGACGACGGCTGGCAAGTGAGCGGGGGTGGTCGAATGACATCCTCTTTGACGAGGGCACCTATTGACTCAAACAAGTTGAAGCAGATCAAGCCGCAAGAGGACCACGCTCTTGGTTCTCTCGGTTCGCGGGCGCAGTTCACTAACTGGGGCAAGGGCAGCAGCAGCTCCAGCTCCAAGAAGCCAGAACCAGCAGTGCCTCAGACAGCCAACAAGTACACCCTGCTCTCACAGCAAGACTTAGACAAACCGCCTTTGTGAGTTTGTGTATTTATAATGGAAAAATGAAAACTAATATGAAAATAATTTGCAGGATGAATGTGGGAGGTTCTCACGGGCAAGACTCTAAGGTCAGAAAATCACGGGATATTTTGATTGGCAAAAATAGTTCCTCAGGTAATCTTGAGTTGACCTAAATCCCCACAAAGTTATGTTTACAATTCAATTTTGTTTCACAGAAGGTTCAATGTCGAACCGACACAGCCGTTCCAATTCAAGGGAAGGCTCGCTGCAGCGCCAGGCCGAGCTTTCCAGCGCTTCTCAGGTCAAGAGCAAACCCCCAGTTAAGGAAGAACCTCTGATCATGAGCATGGAAGAGGTTGAGAAGAAGGCAAAGCTCTTGCTTGATGAGTACTTGAATAGTGAAAATAAAGAGGTAAATCAAAATCAAAATTTTGCTGAAGCACTGAGTTCAAAGACAGTTCTTGCTTTCGGAAGCTTTTCTGCAATAATCAGTGCCAAAGAAATTGTGTGGCCGAAGCCTGGCAAATTTCATTAAACTATTTGCCTTCAAAATGGCTACGTACAAATCGCTATTTTAAATTGTATTTCCAAAGAATTGCTTGGGACTATCATGAATTTTATTCACAGGAGCTCATCCTCTGCATAACGGAGGAGGTGAACAGCACACAGTACAAGCTGATGCTGGACCAGTGGATAATTTTAGTGCTCGAGTGGTCGGCAATCAAGCGGAAGAAAATGTTAGACGCTGTATTGCATCTCTACAAATCGGATGTCTTCACAACCACTGTCCTCAAAGAGAGTCTTGATGAAGCCCTTGGTCTTGTCCCCGACTTTATCATAGACATACCTAAAATTTATACCTACTTAGCTGAAGTTTTTGGTGCGTTCTTCCTAATCTATTCAATCTGGGTCAAAAAAACTAATTTGCCATTGTTTTCAGTTCCACTCATTGCTTGTGAAGCTGTGACCTTCAAGATACTCTGCGAGTCGTTAGCATCTTGTGATAAAGACGGCGCCAGCAAAATGTTGGTCGAGTGCCTGCACCTTCTTCAAAAGGACGTGGTCAGTTTATTTCTAGAAGTGTTTATTTCAAAAATTGAATTTCAAATTTACCAGGGACCGGCTTGGATTCAACTACGGTGGCGGAATAGCAAAATCAACTTGGCAAACCTTATTTCTACGGATGTTGACGTATTCCTGGCAAAAAATGTAAGATTTAAAAGGGATTGTCTTATATATTTATTTTCACATTCCTTCCCCAGCAACTGACCTACTTATCAGACACCAGCAAGGAGTGCAGTGTGCCCCCTGCGCCTGCCAAGGAGGTCGAGATTATGACTGCCCAAGAAATGCATGACCGCCTTGTGAATCTGATGGGCTCTATGGGCTTTGATGAAGTGACCAAATACATAGATGTGAGTTGACGCCACACTATCTCCAATTAACTTTTATTTTAATCCAAATTTTGCAGGTTAATGTGGGAAATGCAATTAAGACTCCTAAGTATATCCGTGCCTTGATGACGACAATTTGTGAGGTTTCAGTCCCAAGTGAGTCTCAATCAAACGAAAATTGAATTTTTAAATTGAAAATTTTGTTATTTGATTTGCAGACAAGCAAGGTGATGTGCACAAGTTGAACGAGGACACTTTTAACAAGTTCAACAAGCTTATCTGCCTGTACGTGGACAACTCGCCTAAACTTGAGTCTCAGGCACTGTTTGCCATTCAGGCATTTGTTACAAGACTGCAGCATCCGCCAAGTGAGTTCAAATGCTTTTTAATTTCATGTGTGGTGCATGATTAACTGAGTCGCTCTTCGAATTTGTGCCATTTAACTAATTCATGCATTTTGAAAGTGTTCTTGGGCAAAACGAAAATGCTGATTTTTATATCTAGTCAAAGTTTAACAAGAGTCAAAAGTCATTTTGAGTGTTGGATTTTGTTAATGATTCACGAGTTTTTTGAACTAACAATCAATCCAAAATGATGATTCTTCAAAAAGTGTCCATATTCCATCACATGATGGCACAAATTCTGCTCAACAGGTCTGAGAGGATCCAAATCACACAAATATTTTTTCCATAGACCATTCATTTTCTAACGATTTTTTGTTTTTTATTCCTGATTGCAGGCCTGCTTCGGTCGATCCTGACGCACCTATTGGAGGAGTCGGTTCTCTCGAAGGATGCGATCCGCGCGTGGATCAAGAATGACGATCCGGCCGAGCAGGAGGGGCGTGGCGTCGCCCTCAAGTCGATACACCAGTTCATCACGTGGCTCGAGGAACCCGAGGACTCTGGTGACGAAGGCTCTTGAGCCTCTTCTTTGTGTTAACACATCGATAGTCAAGAAGCGAGGGGCTCTCCTTCCCTTTTTTTACCTCATCCTTTACCTAACTTCTAACCCTGACCCACATATTGTTATTATATCTCAAGTGCCTCCCTCGAAAGAGGCACCCTTTTTATTTTTAATTTTGAAAACTGTTGCGGATTCCCGGGTCGATTTTCTCTCTCTGGAAAGCCGGCCAAATATTTATGACAATTTATGCTCCTTGATCCTCCTTTTCCACCTGCCCCGCCCGCGAACACCCCTCCATAGTGTTTCTCACCGAGAAAGCAGAGCTGAGTCATGAGGCAGACGCATCCCTCGAGATAGTGTGTCTAATTAATATTGCCACTGTGATATTTTCCACTGTCGGATTTTCGGCCCCAAGTGTCTGATTGGTGAATAATTGAGCAGGGGACTGGACAACATAGTTTTTTTTCTCCGTCTCGTTCTTAAGTTGGTTAAAACTAGGACTCGAGTGTTGGATATTTGTAAGACGTCCGGTCTTTCTCTCGGCGGACGAGCTGCTACGCTGTTTTTGTAAGATCTTGATTTTTATAAAACCGATGTAGAGCAAAAGGCTCGCGAGATTTTGTATCTTGGAACAGCTTCCCCATGTCGGGGCTGATGACGCAGCCCGACCGACCGGTCACCCCCCTTGATTCATATCTCCTCCTCCACCACCAAACCCACGAGATCATTTGTTTAAATATGATTATGTCGTAACGAGTATGATTATTATAATTACTTTATTTAACAAACTGATGGAGAATGAAAATGTGTAAAGGTAATTAAACAAAAAAACATTGCCTTCCATCATCAAGATGGAGGGAACCAGTGAAATAAATTATGAACACAAACGCTACTTTTGCTTTCAAAATGACGTTGATCGTATATGCAAATATTCATCTGAAAGCTCAAAAATAAAAACAAAAAACCAAGAAAAAAATATACTATAAAACAATTTTTTCATTTTAAAACCAAACTTCATTCTATTGAACCATAAATAGGATTTTTTTTTAAATGTGTCATCGGTTATCATGGTAGTGTTCGTAAACTCACTGAAACACTTTTATTGAAATCTAACCCCAATTTAAATGGAATAAACGTGAAGCTAGTAATACAAATAATTTTGAAAAGCAAGCGGCTTCCAAGTGTCAAAAGACCTGCGGGGGGAAAAACACGGACATCGCGCGCGGTAAAGCAGCTAAAGTGCTCTCGTTCGCGGCGCGAAATCTGCACGGCTGCTCACCGCGCATGAAAAAATTGGCCTACCAGACGATGGTGAAACCGCTCTTGTTCTACGGCACCCCCGCGTGGCACCCTTCCAACGATATCAACATCAAGAAATTCAAAAAAGAGCCCTCAGGTTTGTGTAAGGGCGGCACTTCCCTGACGCGGCCGAACACGGGTTGCTGTCGGTGCAGCAGCAGCTTAAGTTTAATGACTTGATGTTTTTCAAGAAATGCACCGCAGTGGCGAGACTGACATGGACGCAAAGGCGAGAATCACCACCAGTGATGAGAAATAGTGGTGAGCTCGGTCGACAAAGTTTTTCTTTTCGAATTGCAAGTCGGTGGAATTCCCTTTCCCTGCCAAGTGCGTTAAAAAATTGTACAGTTTCTCAGTTTAAAATTGCATGTAAAGAAGAAGTGACTGTTGTTTAAAATTTTTCCCTTTTCGGCTCCAGCTCGGCAAGCAGTTTTAGTTTGCAAACATTTTGCTTTCAAATTAAGCTTATGAGTTTTAGTAAGTTATTTACTGAGGCTGGCTGCCAATCCTCTCTTGAATGTAATTCCCCCCCCCCCCCCCCCAAATAATATTGACTTGTGAGAGAATAAACGAATTGCAGCAATCCGAGCAGTTTGTTACTGTTGCAGAGCGCTCTAATTGGGTACAATTTTAATTGAACCCATTCATAAAGCTCAAACAACAATGAGATACGCAAACCTTGGCGTTTCATATGAAATACTGCAGTTCTTTCATTGAACACCATTTAAATTTATTCGAGTTCTTCTGAAATGTGTCGTCATGATAACAGTGTGAGTACATTCACAGGAATACATATATGCAGGCACATCCATTGAAACTTAACCCTAATTTAAATAGTAATAAGAATAAACCTTAAAATTATAAGAAATAATTATGAAAAGCAGGCGGTTTGGAAAGATTCTGCCATCCGCTAATGGCAAACTCGAGACCTCCTCAAACGAGGGCCAAAGACCAAACGGCTTTAGTTTTTCATTTCAAGCCAACAAAACCCACTGATTTTTTTTCTTTAAATGAATATTTATGGATAATGGCCAGCGCTCTACAGGTCCCGACAGCCAACAATTTAATCAGCCTCTTTTCGATAACAACGGAATACACAAATCGAACGGTTCGTAACAAAAGTAACTCAAAGGTATAAAGTTTCAATGTGTGGCGTGGGCAGGCAGGCGGGCATTAGCATGCACAAAGATCACAAACACCAACTAGGTCGCAACTCGAGGCGCAGCAAGTCAACCGAGGCTGCAGCAAGAGTTCGTTTTGCGCGCCGTCTTGTAGAAGGCCTTGGACTGGACGCTGAGCCCCTCTGACTTGGAAACCAGGTCGTCCAGTTTCTCTCCGCGCTCCAGCACCGCCTCGATGGTGCTGTGCTGAAATTTCAAATTTTTTGCAAATTCCCATAACAAGAAGTGAAAAAAATGCACTAACTAGAATAATTTTGGTTTCGTCCAACTCTTCCTGGATCTTAGTCATGGCGTCCGCCTCTCTGGGGTTTTGGTATTTGGCGAGGTACGAGTTGAGTTGTGGAAAAGCTGCAGAGTTCTCGGCCAGCGAACTCCACGACGACGGAATGAATTTGGCTGCAAATTCTTCCAAAACCTAAAATTTCATATAAATTAAAAAAAAAATTATATAAAAAGTTGAAAATTTTGCTAAAATCTGCATAACTGGACCAAATTTTTGAAAAGCATAATAATTAAATTGTATTAAATTATAGTAGTTATTTTTAGTTTCACAAAAAGCCATTGGAAAATTTAAAGAATAATTAAAGGCAATATTCAAGATACAAAAAAACTTTAGTTTAATTAAAAAAAAAATCTTTTGTTGGATTTTAGCAAACATTATAATTGTGAAAACAACGTATTTTTAACGAAAGCTTCCAACTTTGATGCCCAAAAAGGAGATGAATGAAATTTGCAGTGCAGATTTCAACTTTGAATTTTGAAAATGACCTTAGTGATCAGTGTATGCGCCACCCTGTGTGGGTACTCTTGGTCCGAAAGAATCACTCCGGCCAGGTTGTCTGCCCGCACGTACACGTGACACATGTAATCTGCAAGAAAATGCAAAAAATAGATGAAGTTTTAGGAACAAATCTAAATTTTCGAACCTCCTTCTTTGACGGACTGCCTGGAGCAGGTGTGGGTGCGCTCGACGATGGTCTTGCTGACGAAGGACATGAACTCCTGGGCGCTGCCCCGTTGGAAGAAGTTGAACGTGGAGAGGTCGTAGGCCGAACTCAGCCAGTTCGCCTTGCCCGGCGCCTTGTAAAGAATGCTCGCGCAAAACAACTTGACCATTTTTGCTCAGCTGGTCTCGACGAATCCTGCGAACATTTTAAAATCAGACAAAGATCGAGGTCGACACGAATTTTTTGTTCGAACCTGTTTTTAATGTCAGGAGGGGTGGCGATGGCGAAGGGACCCCCGCGCGGAATGGCTCAAGCTCGGGAGGTTTGATTCATCTGGAGGCCGAAGATCAATCGGATTTCGAGCGGCGACACGCAGATGATTCACGGAAAATCAAGTGATGAAATATAAAACGAATGTTTTTCTTTCAGGCTGGCAGATCCTGTCTTTTGAGAGATGATGACAAACAGCTGCAGGCAGAGCCACCTGTTTCGCAAATATGGTGGTTCTCGAGGTTCTGGTTGATGGCACAAGATGGCACTGCAATTAAGCATCTGAATCTGAAACAAAATAAGACTTAAAAATTTGTTTAAAATTATATTGCACGGTACGATAAAAATTGGCTTATATATTCTTTAAAATTTGTTCAATGAACATGAACTAAACCAAAAGTGTGAGTTTTGAATTTTTATTTATATCGTTCGAAAAATTTCAATTTCAAAAAATTTCACGTAAAACATCTTGTTAATTAATTAAAATTAGATTTGCATACAACTTAATTAATTTTCCACACTTTTGATCTGAAAAAACCTACAAAATATTTAATTGCGTTTACGAAATAGGAAACCCCTTTTTAATTTAATTTTTATTGTTTTTCACCGTTCCAAATTTTTCTTCTTCAAAAATTAGGAAAAAAATCAATGTGTTGGATTTTACTTCATAATATATATTAATTTGTATAAAAAATTTGAAATTTTTAATGCAGAAATTACTGACAAAAACCAAATTATCTTCACAAAAATTGCCGATCATTACATTTAAAATATAACACTAAAAATTAAAAAAAAAAAAATATTGAGTGTAAAATTGTTCAAAGACAATAATTATACTTTTAATGGCTTTTAACTTGTTATTAGGAAGTTCTGTAAGTATTTTTGTAATTGCTCTACATGAAAAAAAAAACTCAAAAAAATGAATGAAGTAAAAATTTTTACTTATGTTACATTATATAGAAAAATTCTTAGTCAGGATATTTTATAATATTAAATTAATTTAATTTGCCTTATTTCTTGTCATTATTAGGTTTTGCCGATAAAAAAAACCCATCATTTTAAAAGAGGTAAGTTTTAAATTGGTTTTAAGATCATCACCAATCAACCTTAAAAGATTCAACCGAAATTTTAATTTATTTATTTCTTGTTATTTAACTTTTCAAACTTTTGTCGGTGTTTAAAAACTGTCAACATTGCAATTTAATCTTTTAATAAACAATCTCTTATTTGCTAAATTTAAATTTAAAAATGTTGATAAAAATTAAAAATTAAATTTAGAAATATTATTAAAACCAAGCAAATAATCACTCCTTTCTGTTTTTTTTTATCCACAAGAAAATCCCATTATTATAAAAAATCCATCTTTTAGATGTTATTTGTGCGTTCGGGGTGTGCAAAATGATTAAAGGAGCGTGTGTGCGCGTCCCCGGGGAGCATCGAAAGGGTCCCCTTCTCGCTTTTGGTTTGGTGTGTGTGCTATGCTGCCCTTGTCTAATAATTACGAGCGATATTCTATATATATTTTGGAGGGAGGCGGAAGGAGTAGCGGGGATTAGGCCGCAGATTTAGGGCTGCGCGCGATCGCTGGAGGAATGCGCGCGTCCCCCACAATTATTGCAATTAAGCGGACGCCATTACTCACGCACCACCCACACACATATGCTAAAATCTGCGGCCTCATTTGCATGTTAGTTATTGCGTTTCACGGCCCCCGCAACAAAGGGACACACGCGTGAATTATAATTCTTAAAAAAATAGTTGTTTACAAAAAAAATTCAGAATTTCTTGAAAATTTGATTATATCAGTTGACTTTGATGCAAATTTTTCTTACACAGGACGGTAACAATTAAAATTTTCAGACTGTTTTTTTTTTAAATTATAAGGTTAAAAAAGCGCAAGATTATCTTTTATTTTCTTTACGGCAAAATAAACTGGAGAAACTTTCATATGAAGCTGAAAAATGCATTAATGTTAATATTTTTTTTCTACTTTGTGCTTTTTTGTGTGGTTGTTCATAATTCCAGCCCATTTGATTTCAAAAGTTGTAAAGTTTCACATGTGTGGCTTGTTAAATAAATTAATTAGATTTAAAATTTCATTCGACGGAAAATTGGTTTTAGAATAAAATGCAAAAATTCTAATGTTGAACCTCTAAATTAATTTCCCAAAACATAGCCCACTGCCAAGATATTACTCAAACAATGTTGAGTTTTTGAGCTGAAATTTAAATGCCTGTATAAATAAATGGCATCAGAAATTTATAATGAATGAAAATTTCATTTATTGGTTTAAAAATTTTATTTCCAATTGAAACATTTTAACATTTTTAAAAGTAGGTAATAAAATTATGAAAAATTCTTTACACAAGAAGCAGCAACATACATACGTGATTTAAAAATTTATGTGTTAACTTAAACAAGTAAAAAAAACTGGCTTTAATATTATAATTTACATTGTAAAGAAAAGAGCTGTTTATATTAGAGCATTAATTGTGATTTTTTTTATATTTTACAATAATACATTAATATTTATATTATGCGAGTTTTCTTCAATAAAATATTTAAAAAAAATACAAACCGGAATATCGACAACTTTTTCCGTTATTAAAACGATTATTATGTGTTTTGACACCCCTTGTGGGAATGAAAAAGTGAGATCGGTGGGGGATTTACTTGTGCTTGATGTTCGTGTAGAAAAAAAAATCGAAAAACTGACGCAGACAGCGATTCATTTTGCAGAGACGCATCTCTGTTTTTTTTCGCCATCATCTCATCCACGTGTCGCACGCGGGGTGTCATCCCTGGTGGCGAATAATAAAGTTGCTCAAACAATCATAATGCAGAGAGGGAACATTTTATATTTCATAGCGGACAAGGGAACTCCAGCACCTACCGTTTCAAAAATAGTGTTTTATTTGTTTTATTAAAGACTCAAAATTGAGTAAAAAAAACTTTCAAATTGTTATAACAAATGAAATTGAAGATACAAAAGTGATTTATTTTCCGTTATTTTTCGTATTTATAAACTTTTTCAAAAGAAAAAAATAAAGACAATTTGTTTCTTATGTAAAAATTCAATTGGAAATTTTGCCTCTCTTTTATTTATGAATTCACAACAAATGTGAATAAGTTTTTAAAAAATGTATCAATATGAAAAGTTTGTAACGTTTGCAAACTATTTATTTTAGTTACTTTTCTAAAAAATGAGGAAAGAATAAAATAATAAGCCACTTAACATTACCGATGAAAATTATATTTATGCTGGTTGGTGGAGTTCCCTGGATGAAACGTGCCGGTTGCATAAGCCAGACACGGGGAGCCGTTGCATTGGTATGGAAATTAGACTGCTTTTGCTGGTCGCCCCCGACCGGCGTGTGATGTCCTTTTAACTGTTTCTATTAATTCAACCCCTGCAGCCCCCGACCCGCGACCACCCCCGGGCTTTGTTTGCACTTGCAGCGGAAATATCCTTTGTGCCGCCGCCACGCAGAAACAATGAGAGTCTGTTATTTTACGACGGGTGCGCAAGTGTTTGCACTGCTGTGGCCGCGAAAAAATTTGAAATAATGGAATTAAAGCAGCTAAAATAATCAGAATATTGGGCTCTATTGGGCCAATAAATAGTAAAAAGAAACAGGGATTTTAATGATTGGAATTTGGAAAATTTTCAAGCTGTTTTATGAATTAGTGTAATTTTTTTTAATTTGAAGTGTACAAAAATAGTGTTATCATTTTGGCTTTTTTTTAAATTTCAATACAGAAATAACGTGATTGCAAATTAGACTAAAAAGAGGAAAATTTCTTGTAAAATTACGTTGAAACTATGATTGAAGGCGAAATATCAAAGATATCAAAGAATTTATATAACTTATTATTATCACGGAAATATTTAAAAAAAAAATGTAGATTTATTTATTTGTATGAACAATCGAAGAGTATTTTAGGAACATATATAAAAATTAAATATAACGAAAATTATATAAATATCAACTGGAGATTTTTGGGAACAAATATGCTTTTAAACCAGGTTTTTGGAGAGAGTGCGATTAGGCGCTCCTAGGCGCGCTCTGAGGACTGCAAAAATTGGAAATGTACAAAATTCAGTAAATTTTTATCATAGTTTTTGTTCATATTGGCAAATTTTCTTAAATTTTCAGTTCTTAATCAAATTTAACTTGTGCGATTATTACTTTTAATTAAATTTGCGTTGTTTTTATGAATCCATTCGATCCAAATTTTATTTTTTATAGATTTTGTAGTTTCTTTTACGTCAGTCTTGTGATGCAACAATGCAGAAACGAAACTAGATTCACAAGCTAGGCGCTTAAATCATACACATTCGGTTTTCGTGCATTGACCCCATGTGAAAATTATAATTATTATCACATACTCCATTTTTAATCAAATTTCCTTAACGTAGAAAGGCATGCAGACATCACGTAATTGTACCGTAATTACTAATTATACTGCAATTATTGTGTCAGTGTAATTGTTATGTACGTCTAGGTAAAATGTGAAAATAATTAAGGACAGTAAACAAGCAGGAAAGTTGTACCTCATTTTGACGAAAAGAGATAATATAAAAAATTACTGCTGTTTTCATATTTTTTGGGTTTTTTTATTCTATGCAATTTAAGTTTTTTCATAAATTTCCCCGCGAGTTTTGTATAAAACGTGTTCCCTGGAAAAGGACCTCAACACTGAAGTCACAATTGCGCGCACGATGAGGTGTCTTGTTGTGATACTAGTTATTTTTCCACTACAAGTAATAATATTTATGTAATTTTTATTTCTTTAAATATGAGTAAAATTTGTAGACTCTATGGTAAGGTCGTGGGATAGGGGAGGATTTAATGAATATTTTTAATTGTGAATTTATTTCAATTGTATTTTATTTCCTTTTTGAGATATAACCAAATTTAAAACTTAATTCCATTCAAAGAATTTAATAAAATTCATTATTATTTTCAATAATGCAATTTTTTTTCTAAATAAGAAGGCTTTATGGCCTACCCTGAGGGGCAGGGGATAAAACGAAAAATAACCACTTCTAGCATGATAATTTTCTCCAACCCTGGGTTCTGAGCACTCAGTTTCCCGTAACAAAAGAATCGTATGTATAATTTATTTTTCTCTTTGCCAGATCTTAGCTTACAATTTTTCGCATTGGTCACCATCCAATAAAAATGAATCCAAAATCCAAGTTGTGACGGTTGAAGTGTGGCCTGCAATGCAATATAAGGAGCCCATTCTCAAGAACAAGACCTCGGTTGCCAAGAGAAGTTGCTTGAAATTGTGTTGAATCAGTCTTCGGTACTAATCAAAACACCAAAATGCAGGAAGCCAACGATCTGACATTTCTGCTCGCATCGCAGGCGGATCGGATGCCACGTTGACCCAGTTTCCTTTCTTTGCATTCATAATAAATGACGGAGTTACAACTTGTGGTGGATCCTTGATCGACGTCCAGTGGGTTTTAACCGCGGCCAGCTGCATACAGCCAGGGTAAATCAATAAATAATTTCCCACAAGATTTTTACTGAAGGAACAGCACCTCGGCTGAGAATTACGACGTCTTATTGGGCAACATAGCAGGAACAGTACCTTTCTCTTCAAACAGCATAATTAAAGCTGCCGTTTCTTTATTTCAACACGAACAATTTGACCCCAACTTTCTCCAAAATGATATTGCCCTGCTGCAAATTGAGGAAGTCACCCCGTCTGGTATGTGCTTTTTTTATTTTGATGAATGCAACTTTTTAATCTTCGAACAGCCACAATTGCGGTAGTGCCGCTCGTACTTCCCACAGATGCCACTGATAATTATGCAAACGTTCTCGTGACAACAATGGGATTTGGATCTTGTAAATACGAAAAATTTTTAAATTTTTTTCTATAACTGCGTTCCGAATGTTATATTCGTCTGAATATAAGGGAGGCACCAATTAAGTTGAATTTCATATATTTGTCTATCTATGTACTTGCAACGTGTTGAATGTGAATTTTTACTTTAGAAATACTTTCTACAGTAGCTTAGCTTTATTCTGCCAAGTCTACAAATTGCTGGCTGATCAAGAAAAAATTTTCTAAAATTTTGAAATCTGAAAATATTCTTACCCTGAAAATGGGTAAAAAATTTATTTTTGTCAAAAAATATTTAACCCGAAGCGCCCTTTGTGATTCCCTAGATCAGTCTCACTGATTGCGATAATTCAAGCTTATATTATCGGATTTATATCAACAAATGCGTTCCGAATGTTATGTTCGTCTGAATATAAGTGAAGCACCAATTAAGTTGAATTTCATATATTTGCCCATCTTTGTACTTGCAACGTGTTGAATGTGAATTTTTACTTTAGAAATACTTTCTACAGTAGCTTAGCTTTATTCTGCCAAGTCTACAAATTGCTGGCTGATCAAGAAAAAATTTTTCTAAAATTTTGAAATCTGAATATATTCTTACCCTGAAAATTGGTAAAAAATTTATTTTTTTTCAAAAAATATTTAACCAGAAGCGCCCTTGGCAATTCTCTAGGTCGGTCTCACTGATTGCGATAATTCAAGCTTATATTATCGGTTTTATATCAACAATTGCGTGCCGAATGTTATATTCGTCTGAATATAAGTGAAGCGCCAATTAAGTTGAATTTCATATATTTGCCCATCTTTGTACTTGAAACGTGTTGAATGTGTATTTTAACTTGAGAAATACTTTTTACAGTAGCTTAGCTTTATTCTGCCAAGTCTAAAAAATTGCTGGCTGATCAAGAAATAATTTTTCTAAAATTTTGAAATCTGAAAATATTCTTACCCTGAAAATTGGTAAAAAATTTATTTTTTTCAAAAAATATTTACCCAGAAGCGCCCTTGGCAATTCTCTAGATCAGTCTCACTGATTGCGATAATTCAAGCTTATATTATCGGTTTTATATCAACAATTGCGTTCCGAATGTTATATTCGTCTGAATATAAGTGACGCACCAATTAAGTTGAATTTTATATATTTGTCTATCTATGTACTTGCAACGTGTTGAATGTGAATTTTTACTTTAGAAATACTTTCTACAGTAGCTTAGCTTTATTCTGCGACGTCTACAAAATGCTGGCTGATCAAGAAATAATTTTTCTAAAATTTTGAAATCTGAAAATATTCTTACCCTGAAAATTGTTAAAAAATTTATTTTTTTCAAAAAATATTTAACCAGAAGCGCCCTTGGCAATTCTCTAGATCAGTCTCACTGATTGCGATAATTCAAGCTTATATTATCGGATTTATATCAACAAATGCGTTCCGAATGTTATATTCGTCTGAATATAAGTGAAGCACCAATTAAGTTGAATTTCATATATTTGCCCATCTTTGTACTTGCAACGTGTTGAATGTGAATTTTTACTTTAGAAATACTTTCTACAGTAGCTTAGCTTTATTCTGCCAAGTCTACAAATTGCTGGCTGATCAAGAAATAAATTTTCTAAAATTTTGAAATCTGAAAATATTCTTACCCTGAAAATGGGTAAAAAATTTATTTTTGTCAAAAAATATTTAACCCGAAGCGCCCTTTGTGATTCCCTAGATCAGTCTCACTGATTGCGACAATTCAAGCTTATATTATCGGATTTATATCAACAAATGCGTTCCGAATGTTATATTCGTCTGAATATAAGTGAGGCACCAATTTAGTTGAATTTCATATATTTGTCTATCTATGTACTTGCAACGTGTTGAATGTGAATTTTTACTTTAGAAATACTTTCTACAGTAGCTTTGCTTTATTCTGCCAAGTCTACAAATTGCTGGCTGATCAAGAAATAAATTTTCTAAAATTTTGAAATCTGAAAATATTCTTACCCTGAAAATGGGTAAAAAATTTATTTTTGTCAAAAAATATTTAACCCGAAGCGCCCTTTGTGATTCCCTAGATCAGTCTCACTAATTGCGACAATTCAAGCTTATATTATCGGATTTATATCAACAATTGCGTTCCGAATGTTATATTCGTCTGAATATAATTGAGGCACCAATTAAGTTGAATTTCATATATTTGCCCATCTTTGTACTTGCAACGTGTTGAATGTGTATTTTTACTTTAGAAATACTTTCTACAGTAGCTTAGCTTTATTCTGCCAAGTCTACAAATTGCTGGCTGATCAAGAAAAAATTTTCTAAAATTTTGAAATCTGAAAATATTCTTACCCTGAAAATGGGTAAAAAATTTATTTTTGACAAAAAATATTTAATCCGAAGCGCCCTTTGTGATTCCCTAGATCAGTCTCACTGATTGCGACAATTCAAGCTTATATTATCGGATTTATATCAACAATTGCGTTCCGAATGTTATATTCGTCTGAATATAAGTGAGGCACCAATTAAGTTGAATTTCATATATTTGTCTATCTATGTACTTGCAACGTGTTGAATGTGAATTTTTACTTTAGAAATACTTTCTACAGTAGCTTAGCTTTATTCTGCCAAGTCTACAAATTGCTGGCTGATCAAGAAAAAATTTTCTTAAATTTTGAAATCTGAAAATAATCTTACCCTGAAAATGGGTAAAAAATTTATTTTTGACAAAAAATATTTAACCCGAAGCGCCCTTTGTGATTCCCTAGATCAGTCTCACTGATTGCGATAATTCAAGCTTATATTATCGGATTTATATCAACAAATGCGTTCCGAATGTTATATTCGTCTGAATATAAGTGAAGCACCAATTAAGTTGAATTTCATATATTTGCCCATCTTTGTTTTTGCAACGTGTTGAATGTGAATTTTTACTTTAGAAATACTTTCTACAGAAGCTTAGCTTTATTCTGCCAAGTCTACAAATTGCTGGCTGATCAAGAAATAAATTTTCTAAAATTTTGAAATCTGAAAATATTCTTACCCTGAAAATGGGTAAAAAATTTATTTTTGTCAAAAAATATTTAACCCGAAGCGCCCTTTGTGATTCCCTAGATCAGTCTCACTGATTGCGACAATTCAAGCTTATATTATCGGATTTATATCAACAATTGCGTTCCGAATGTTATATTCGTCTGAATATAAGTGAGGCACCAATTAAGTTGAATTTCATATATTTGTCTATCTATGTACTTGCAACGTGTTGAATGTGAATTTTTACTTTAGAAATACTTTCTACAGTAGCTTAGCTTTATTCTGCCAAGTCTACAAATTGCTAGCTGATCAAGAAAAAGTTTTCTAAAATTTTGAAATCTGAAAATATTCTTACCCTGAAAATGGGTAAAAAATTTATTTTTGACAAAAAATATTTAACCCGAAGCGCCCTTTGTGATTCCCTAGATCAGTCTCACTGATTGCGACAATTCAAGCTTATATTATCGGATTTATATCAACAATTGCGTTCCGAATGTTATATTCGTCTGAATATAAGTGAGGCACCAATTTAGTTGAATTTCATATATTTGTCTATCTATGTACTTGCAACGTGTTGAATGTGAATTTTTACTTTAGAAATACTTTCTACAGTAGCTTAGCTTTATTCTGCCAAGTCTACAAATTGCTGGCTGATCAAGAAATAAATTTTCTTAAATTTTGAAATCTGAAAATATTCTTACCCTGAAAATGGGTAAAAAATTTATTTTTGTCAAAAAATATTTAACCCGAAGCGCCCTTTGTGATTCCCTAGATCAGTCTCACTAATTGCGACAATTCAAGCTTATATTATCGGATTTATATCAACAATTGCGTTCCGAATGTTATATTCGTCTGAATATAATTGAGGCACCAATTAAGTTGAATTTCATATATTTGCCCATCTTTGTACTTGCAACGTGTTGAATGTGTATTTTTACTTTAGAAATACTTTCTACAGTAGCTTAGCTTTATTCTGCCAAGTCTACAAATTGCTGGCTGATCAAGAAATAAATTTTCTAAAATTTTGAAATCTGAAAATATTCTTACCCTGAAAATGGGTAAAAAATTAATTTTTGTCAAAAAATATTTAACCCGAAGCGCCCTTTGTGATTCCCTAGATCAGTCTCACTAATTGCGACAATTCAAGCTTATATTATCGGATTTATATCAACAATTGCGTTCCGAATGTTATTTTCGTCTGAATATAATTGAGGCACCAATTAAGTTGAATTTCATATATTTGTCTATCTATGTACTTGCAACGTGTTGAATGTGAATTTTTACTTTAGAAATACTTTCTACAGTAGCTTAGCTTTATTCTGCCAAGTCTACAAATTGCTGGCTGATCAAGAAAAAATTTTCTAAAATTTTGAAATCTGAAAATATTCTTACCCTGAAAATGGGTAAAAAATTTATTTTTGTCAAAAAATATTTAACCCGAAGCGCCCTTTGTGATTCCCTAGATCAGTCTCACTGATTGCGATAATTCAAGCTTATATTATCGGATTTATATCAACAAATGCGTTCCGAATGTTATGTTCGTCTGAATATAAGTGAAGCACCAATTAAGTTGAATTTCATATATTTGCCCATCTTTGTACTTGCAACGTGTTGAATGTGAATTTTTACTTTAGAAATACTTTCTACAGTAGCTTAGCTTTATTCTGCCAAGTCTACAAATTGCTGGCTGATCAAGAAAAAATTTTTCTAAAATTTTGAAATCTGAATATATTCTTACCCTGAAAATTGGTAAAAAATTTATTTTTTTTCAAAAAATATTTAACCAGAAGCGCCCTTGGCAATTCTCTAGGTCGGTCTCACTGATTGCGATAATTCAAGCTTATATTATCGGTTTTATATCAACAATTGCGTGCCGAATGTTATATTCGTCTGAATATAAGTGAAGCGCCAATTAAGTTGAATTTCATATATTTGCCCATCTTTGTACTTGAAACGTGTTGAATGTGTATTTTAACTTGAGAAATACTT